CCACTATACATTATGAAAGAGAAAAGTATGCCACTCCGGTTTGTTTACGTTGTACCCCCCACTGGTCTTTCTGGGTTTAAAAACATGTTTATATTTCATAACAACCTAAAATGTCGGTTCACATTGTCTGTACATATATTTCTGTCTTAGTTCATGCTATCGGATTGACTCTGCATTTCGTAAGAATCCCACAATTAATCCTTCAACAGCATTGCAGTCAGTGCGTTGAAAAATCAGTAAACGCAACGCACGGTGTTGGTGTCAAAAAGTCTAAATTTCCATTGCGGCAGCATTTGCGCTATTTTTATAATTCTGAAACAATTAACTGTATGAAAACTATATATCATTCGGTCGGTAATTGTATACTTGATACATTTTAAAATATATTTTGGTCAAAAAATTCCATTTAACAAATATATGAATTCGACTATTCCGTCAATTAGGCCCAAAACGCATGTAGACGGGTAAGAGCGTCGCACATGCAATAACAAAATGTTGATAACTTCCATAAAACAAACAATAAAAACATAAAATTTAGCAGAAACATTCAAAATATACTAGTAAATGATGTAAGCTCCTACAATTGTGGTGTCATTTAATCCGTATGCTCTGAACGCGTTGCTCAAAATGTAAGACAGAGATGTAGATAAGCATTAACCGAAGACATATGGAATGAAAATGCCTTTGAGTTCTTAGAAAAATATTATATAAGCTAAATCAATTTTGAAATTACATCTCGATAATCCTTTTGGTGTGTAAAGAACTATTTCTTTTAGAATAGAATGATATTGTGAGTTCATATGTATGTTGGGTACCTGATATTTAGAAGAGTCATTGGGAGGATATTGAATAAGATGGTGTGTCACAAAGTTTGGAGGATCAGTGTCAAAAAGTTTTTAAGATCCGTAGAATGGCTAATTTTGTAATACTGAGTGAAAAGTCAACGTTAAATATTTTTTAAATTCTATAAAAACGTTGTCATTTTATTAAGAAAAACATATCTATATAGAATTTTAACTTGGGATGTCGTAAATGTTAAGAATAATTGCCGTGTCACATATATGTACAACATGTAGGTATGTGTCACAATGAAATTTGACGGCAAAAACGTCACATTTAAATATGACACTCAATAAATTGCTTTCATTTTTAGAAATAATTTTTCTAATTTGGCACCATACAACATTAAATACAAAATGTGCAAAATCAAAACTTCAATGAGATATAAAATTGAATTGATTCTTGATAGAAGTGTTTGTTTTAGAGGCTATCTGCAATGTTAACATTGAATGTCACACATTGTCCCAAACTGATAAATCTAATTATTATGGCACAACTGTGGTTGGATAATTCATATATGTAGTCATTTAATATAGACATATTGAAAATTAAACGATTTTTATCAAATGTGCATCTCTTCAAAAAGTTATTAGTATATTCCAAATTAATATCAATAGAATGGTGACAAAATCCTAACAAAAAATAAATGTCAACATGCTATGTCACAGACGTAAAAATAAGGCGTTTTTGACGTTATTACGTGCACTTGCATAAAATACCCTCTAAAACATTTAAAGATTTTATCCAAAAACTTACTCTTTTTGCTTATATGGATGAAATAAAAATGTACCAATAATGATTAATTTTATAAACAAAAATTTAAAGTTCTGACAGGTGTATTTATACATAAAAGCAAACCATGTACATTGTATACACTGTATCAGTATATATCCTTGTCAGAATCTGTCCTAAAGTACTCATCACTCGCAGTTTGAATTTTAGAAAAGAGAGAAAAAAGCACGTACACCAAAATTTATATAAGGATAACGATTTCAAATTTGAATTTCCTGACAATAAAGTTGTGTCAAGTCAATTTGCTGCTGGCAAACCGTACTAAAGCATTTTAGATTGGGTAGTCGAATATTGGATTAAGGGTTGGGGAGGGGGGGGGGGGTTAGTTCGAGGTTGTGATTTGACTTAAATTTTAGATTTTCACTAGCATATTGATAATTATTTCTTTTTGTCAGCAACCCGGTAGCATTTGAAATAAAACAAAGTTGTATTTCATTTATGATGCCGTGAACAAAATTTGGTGTGCAAACAACATTTAAAATGGCCGACGTTGTCATGGAAACAGAATAAGGCGAGATCGGGATATATCACGCTATTTCTTTTAAATACAAATCTTTGTTTTTCATTTGAACTCAAACATGACAATATTTGGATATAGGTAACTGACCCTTCCTTTTTTCATCTTTTCATTATTTATTTATTTAAGTAGTGTTTCATTTTTTTCTTTGAACTTTATAAAAATAATGCTTCCAAACGCATCTAAACTGACCAAAATGGTAACCATTTATTTAAACAAGTCTAGTTTAGGGAAAGGATACTCCATCTATTCTAAAACTATCATACATATATCAATATTCTGACGTATGTGTATCATGATGTGTATTGATACCTATAACTTTCCAATTTTGTTCTATAAAAACCTTTTTAAAACATAACTTTCAAAAATTTCATTTCATTTTTTGATAGGTGTAAATGTATTCTGCAATCTACTCGTACAAATACAAAATAAGAATACAGAAAAAGAAACGCATTACATTTTGTAAAGCAGAAAATGACGTAGATTCTTTTAATAGTTTTTCATTCGTAAAAAAAGAAGGTATTTCAGATAATGGACTTCAAACGAAAAGCATAACCATATCTCGGGATATCGTTACACCTCCTGTTAACAGGCCCGTAGCAACGTTTCAAAGGGGAAGGGGTAATTCCCCCCCCCCCCCCAAAAAAAAAAAAAACTGACAAGCACAAAAAAAAACCTATACTGATCAAAAAAGTGAGGGGGACAACTGGTATAAAACACGCTTCAGGAGTTTGAAATGAGCTGGTCGATTAATACTTAATTCTTTCATTCTTGAAATTGAAATGCAGAAATTTGACAATATTAATAAAATATTTTTGGAAATCTTAAAGAAACCTAAATTTCTGATTTTTTATAAGCTTCTAATATGAAATGAGCTAAAAAATATGTTCAGAGTCTTATCTTTCATGACTTACAGGTTTGGTTTAAAGACTCAAATCTGAATCTTGATGAAAGTATCTACGAAACGGTCTCTGAAACACTCTTTGCTTAAATTTATGAGCGTAACAAAAAAAGTATGCAAACGCATAAAACAGGTAAACTGCATAAGTATCCCAGGGAGTACGAACCTACGATCATTATCCAGATCTGTGAGGCACATTGCAACGCATATAAAAAAAAAAGGGGGGGGTAAGGGAAAAACTTAAATATTTTTTTTAAATAAATACAAAACCTCGAAACTGCCCCGCATTGAAAATCCTTTTCATTGAGAAAGTTGAAGGGGGGGGGGGGTGGTGTTCGATTCTCGGTTTCGTTTCCTCTCCATTTTTTTAATGAATTATTTGAAATAGTTAGATCCACTGTAAGAAATAGAAGTACTCAGTATGTAAGTGTCTATGCGAGGGTGGGGGTTAAAGGTGAGGTGGGGATAGGGGCTTTGAATAAAAAAAATAAATTCAATGCTAAATCAGCAACATCTACACTATACTGAAAACAGAGGGCTGGTACTAGGGCCTGCTGATATGACATGAAATTGTTTTGAATGTATCTCAATGAAATAAAAAGTGTGAAGTTAAACCTGTGACTACTCTTGATGCTGCTAAATTTCAGAAAGTTTTCCAGAATCTTGATTTGAACAACCACACAGGGCACAGATGCGTATTCTATCAGAGGTCTATAAATCTATCTATACAAAAGTATAATTTATGAGAGAGATAAAGTCTCTGTAATAACCTTGGACTGTAATTTATTAAGTAGACATTTTCATAAACATTGGCTACCAGATAATCAATGTATGTTGACCATGCGAAATCTTGTGAGAAAAGAGTACCTAAGTTGTTTGTGTGATGACAAAAATCTAAGTTATGATCTTGAAATTTTAGACACAGAAAATAAACCTTTATCTTTGAACTTAAAAAGACAGCTTAGTTTTCGAAGTATTAAATTTCAAAAGCCAAAGATTAAACCACTGTTCAAGTTGATGTAAATCGTTATTCAATTCCAATTGGATATCATGGATATAATTAGAACAATTCCATGAAGAGTTATCATCAGAGTCTGAGTTATCATCAAACCTGCATAGCCTCGACATATTTTTGCAAAGGTTTCAAATTAGACGGTGTGTTTCTATGTAAAACCATTTGTGTTCTTAAATTCTTATTCTGGGATATTTTTAAACAGTTTAAGTGATCTGAATTTAGATCTAAAATAAAATATCAAATTTAAATCAATTTAAGCATTCATATTTATATTGGCTAAGATAAATTAATTAAACACTTTATTGTGTATTTTCTCCACTTGAATGAAAATCATCGATACTTAGATGTCTTTTTCGTAGGTGTCATGTTGTAAATTTTGAATTTACCGGGTGGCAGTAAATACAAAATTTACAACATGAGTTGTACTGCCACCCGGTAAATTCAAAATTTACACGACATAGGGGTAAATGCCAGCCACTCGATTTGAAAATGAAAGAGATGTTTTAAATATTCACACCTTTTTACCATAAAATTTTCTTAATGTCCAAAAAATCATTTTGCTTTAGTGTATATAGAGGATGCTTGAGAATATATCAGTGGAACCTCCATCGTACATGTACGTGGGTCATACATGTGGCTAATGTATAGATGTTCTTGATTGTCAAAACATGTTAATACTTTATAATAAGGCCATCTTTAAAAAAAATGCTTGCCCCCCCCCCCCCCGGCCGACTGGCTAAAAATGGCCCGATTCAAAAGTTTTTTAACCTTCAGGAAATGTTATTTTTTCTTCCTTTTTATTCTTGAACTTTCTCATCCTGTTAAAAAAAATTCCCACCTACCTACCGACCGAATTTTTTTACCCTGAGCCGGGAGAGGGAAAATAAACATTATTTTCAAGATGGTCTTACCGAGAAATCGAAGAAGAAAACATGTTTCATGGTCGCCATTTTTTACTGTATCATACTCTAGTAAGCAAATATGAGAGAAAATAAATTGACATCGATGACATTATTTCAAACAGCAGCATAAACACTTTGAGCAGTGTTTACTTAAGAAATGTATACATGTATTAAGAATATATTCTTCTAGTCTATATTTAAAGTTCATTTAAAATTTTGGACTTTTAAACATGAACACTGTTCGTTATTTTCACATTTCATTTCTATAATACATGAAAGGAGTCACTTAGGTCTGGAATCTCAACGTCGGGTATTTTTCAGCATTAACTCTTTATTACAACCGTTTTCAGCAAAGTTTCTTTCTGGAAATTAAAGATTTACAAAATATTTAGAAACATCGTGGTTCGCTGGATATTTTTTTTTATTTTGACCTAATCATCATTTTGGTCGATTTCATGTTTTCTGTATTTGTTCCCCAATACTGTCCCTTGTTGTTGTTCCTATTTGAAGTTTGGTAGACACCGTTGAGACTTGACCATGCACAGTTGCCGAACCACCATGCACCAGTGTGTCTGATTGCACAGTTACCGGAACTCTTGTCATTATCACGATCCTTTGTTGTAAAATACGTACCATTCAAACTGTAAGCTTGTATCATGGCATCATCTAAAAGTTGATATTTTACATTTGTAAAGCAATCCATTTTCACTATTTAAAGTGCAATGAATCCTATAATAATCACACGTGTACATCTTCAATTGTAGTCCGAAATATCTGACGTTTTCCAGGCTTTTTGTCACAATTTTGACATTTTACGTGCCGGGAAAACGTCAGAACCGGCGCCATTACTAAAACTGGGAATTCGCCGCCTCCAACCGGAGGCGGCATTCTCGGGTTGATTTTCGATAATTGCGAACCGAATTAAATATAAAACTCGCAACTTATCAATAGTACAATACTTTTAGTACTCATCAACATCGTTTGTATGGTTCGTTTATAAAATATACAATCCGATGAAAACATTTTATCTGACTGTCGAGATTTGTTTTCATTTCGTTCATTTTAAAATCTTGCAAGTCCTGTATCGAAATGTGGAGTTGTGTTTTCTTTTCATCAATCTTGGTGAGTACAAGAAGCATTGTGCTATTGATAAATTGTGATTTTGGCATTTAATTCGGTTCGCAAGTATCGAAAATCAACTCCGGTTGGAGAAGGCGAAATTTCCAGTTTTCGTAATGGCGCCAGTTCTGACGTTTTCCTGGCACATAAAATATCAAATGTAAAAAAGGCCAGGAAAACGTGAGATATTTCGGACTACTTCAATTGAAGCTAATTTATCTTTATTACCATGAATTGATTAATTTTTCAGAATAAACAAGTACAAAAAAGGGGGGGGGGGAAATGAAATGCGGGAAGGAAAAATGAAAAAATAAACAAAATCAATATGTAAGAGAAGTCATTCTCACTGATACCTGCATTTCCACTGTATCCCGCAATAGACAGCTGGTATTTGTCTTCCTCACTTCCGACTGAGAAGCTTGAATATCGAGCATACACCATTGAACCAGAGAATTTTTCTAAGTCTATCCAAAGTTCTTGATTTCTGCCATCGGTAAGATCATGGATTGCGTCATTTCCTGGGAAAATGTTGAAAGGGAAATTTTAATTACAGTATTTCGAAACTCTTATATGTAAATGGACCAGAACATCATTCGAAGTAGACCAGGTATCATTAAATGAAAAGGCAGATGTTGTCGTCTGTAGCTAGCATCCTCCTAAGTCGCAACTTTGGAATCATTATAATAGCAATATTCTTGGCAGCTTTGTGTACCACCGTGCTTGTACACGTGCAACACATTTATCGTTAATGTGCATGTGGAATAAAAAATTAAGTCATTATTTCTTTTTAACATACATTAGCATTAACAATATTTATTATTATATCGCTTACCTAACCAGTATTCTTTACTAGCATCTCCAAATCCTTCCTTATAATCTTCCCAATTTCTGTAAAAATCTGTTGATCCATCAAATCTTCTCTGTATTACCTGAAATATATATCACAGTGATACTTTTATCATTGATATTTAATAAATGGAATAAAAGCGTTTGAGATATTGCATCTTATTTAATATTGCACCTCCATGCATTCTCATTTAAAATTTGAAATGAAATATTCAACGATATATATGAAGTCTTAAAAATCTAAGGTTCTCAGCTTAAAATTCTAATCTATTTAATTTTTTCGAATGCAAATAGTAATCATAAAAATGCTTAACATGTCTGAATTACTGAGAAAAAAGATCATTTAATTTGCTCTCCATGATGTATGAATGCATATATTTAATGATAAAATGATTTTTTATTACATATATAATGATTAAAAAATTGTTGTATACGTGCATTTTTGTGCTTTGATATTGAACACTTGTTTTAATTTTTAGATGATATTTCTAGGTACCGTCCATCCCCCGCCATTGGTGGTCATGTCACAGAAAACCTTCCTTGGTGTGTTGCATCCAAGATAAATTGTATATACACCATTCTGGTTCCTCAGGCTTGTGTTCTTATTCATAATCTCCTGACAATCTCTGTATCTTTTTTCTAATTATAAGTAGACAGAAAAATTGGCCTTCTCAAGGTTTTGGATTTTTAAATCATTTTTATCACATCATTTCTTTATTACATTTTGAACAGTGAAATACTGTAATTTATTACATTTTCCACAGTGAAATACTGTAATTGATTTACTGAATAAAAGTGATATTCTGACACAGTGAGAAAGGATATCAAAATGGTGTTTATTATCACAATGTGAGAATATCAGAAGTGCGGCAAAACTTACGATTTTCCTTCCCTTCCTGAAAAGTGTTTTTTTTAAAAATCCCTGGCCTGTTATAAGATAGAGTTAATGAACCATCCTGACAGAGACTAATAGTTATACTGCCAAAGTTTTTCCGAATATTTCGTTAAAAATCCATGTTTACAACGTTTTTCAATCTCGCAATCTCTTAGCTATGACGTCTCAACCGATCAACTATGACGTCACAGCCTATGACCCTGTGTAACGAAAAGACAGAGGTAAAGGGAAAATCTAAGAAAATGTAATAAAGAGAATATTCAATGTTTTGAAGATGAATATGGAATTTCACTCGTGAGACAGGATTTTTTGATATTTTCACTCGTGCTTCGCACTCGTAAAAATATCAAAAATCCTGTCCCACTCGTGAAATAAATTCCATATTCATCTACAAAACATTGAATATCCTCTATTTAGTTATTGAATAAAAGTGATATTCGTTCACAGTGTGAAAGGATATCAAAATGATATTCTGCCAAAGTGTGACAGAATATCAGAAGTACAGCAAAACTCTCTGTTATAAAATAGAAAGAGTAAAAACCATCCTGATAGAGACTAAAACTGCCTAAGTTTCTCTAAACAAAGTTTACAATCAATCGCTAGGCTATAACGTCTCAACTGATCAACTATGACGTCACAGCCTATAACCGACAGAGGAAAAGGGAAAATCAAAGAAAATGTAATAAACAGAAAATTAAATGTATTTTTAGTTGGATATACCAATTATTTCACTCGTGAGACAGGATTTATATATATATATATATATATATATTCACTCACGCTTCGCACTAATGAAGAAACCGGTATCAAAAAAATCCTGTCCCACTCGTAAAATAAATGCCATATCTAACTACAGTGGATATGTATTCATATCAACAGTTGTAACGTCACCATGGTTTTGCGTAATATTGATGAAGTCACATAAAGTGGATTCATATAAGTAAGTCACATAATTATAAAAACAGTGTTAATCATTATATATATTATACAATTATTGCTGGTTTTTGAGGTCAATACAATGATTTAGACACCTGATGGCGAAGGGCGAGGTGAATATTGTACTTCGAAGGTGTCTAAATCATCGTATTGACATCAAAAACCAGCAATAATTGTTTTATTATATGATTCAATGATTAAATGACACATACTCAAGCAATCCATGCCATCTTACTTGTTCACATCTACTGAAGAATTAGCTGAATATAATGAGAGAAAAGGGGTTAAAAAAAACAACCAGTTTTATTATTTTGGAATTTTTAATTCTAGTTTAGGTTCAATGTAGAAGAAATAAATGTCAGGTATATATATAGGATTGATTCTGAAAAGGGGTGTATTAAAAGGAAAAAATGACATTTTAACGGAAAACAAATCTTTGACTATCCCCCCCCCCCCCCCCAAAAAAAAAAGAAAGAAAGGAAAAGAATTCTCTCAACTCAAAATTTTATTTAGTGGGATGCAAAGGTCCATAAATGAGGGGAGGGAGAAGGGCTTTCATTGAAATTTTTTATCCTTAAAATTTAAATTAAAACTTTACATTCTCAAAAGGTGGGGAGAGGGGCAGGCCTCCTGCAACCCCCCATCCCCCCACCCCTCACCCCAAGAATCTATGTGCCTTAATGTTATGTTCATATGAGTGGAAGTCCGGTGCAAGTGAAATAACTTTCCAAAACTATTTGCATCAATTTGGAATTTCCCTATCTATTTTTGGTCCAATGTAGAATAAATAATTCCTTATATTGACCTGGAAGGTCACGTGCAGGTCAATATAACATAGTATTTTTCTAACATTGTTGGATCTCAGCCAATCAGAGAGATGGGAATTATTCAATCATATATATATATATATATATATATATATATATATATATATATATATATATATATATATATATATATATGTGGGGGGGGGGGGGGGTTGACTGTGTGATTAGATCACATCCACATCTAATTTACCTGATGATGCCACAAACTTGTACAAAATCACTTGTCAATGAGATGAAAATCTAACAAAATCCTTGTTTTTTTTTAAATTTATATATCCTTGTGGCTTAAAAACCACAGGCCCTCAGATCGCTTTAAAAATTTAAGGTGTGAAAAAAATCTTTTTTATACACCCCAATTTTAAGCGATCCAAAGGCCTGTGTTAAAAACCATCCGTTCTACTCTTAGCCAATAATTTAAGTCACCCCCAAGATGATATACCATTTTATGGTCGTTACATTCTTATTGAAGGGATTGTTTTTATCAAATCACTTCAATACACATGCTAAATAAATTGCTTTTGAAAGTTTCCATTACTTACCTACTAAATCAGTTTTCACTTTGATATCCGTTGCATCAGATTTCTGCATTGTGTTTACAGACATATTCTCAAGTCTTTCAAAACCTTTCAAGAGCATCGCCGAGAGCTTTGTAACATTATCAAAAAATTTTGAAAACTGTTGACTTTGTGAAGAAATTTGGTTGCTTATGTTTTCGATTATATGACCACTGACGTTCTCTGCAAGCGTTTGTAACAATGAAGCGTTAATGAAATTTCTCTCTTCTAATACACGGGAGCTCTCCGAAGACATAGTGTGTTCTGCTGTTTCATCCTGTTTTGATAAAAGGTGTTGTTTGAGGCTCTCGACGTCTTTGGTCAAAGCTATTCTGAATAAAGATTCCTGGTTCAATAACTGTCTCAGGATATCTATGTCCTTGGTTTTTACCTCATTATTTTCAGTCATCAGAGAATGAGATTTTGTAAGAAAGCAACATGAAATCACAACAATCAAGAAAATCCAAACTTTGTAATCCAGTGTGATCATTTTGCCTTTCTCTCCTGTATGTTGATGGTAATGATACCGGTATTCTAGATCTCTCCGCTTGCGTCTTGGAAAGATTTGGACTCTTTAATATTTAAATGATTCTTTGGCAGACTTTTAGCTAGCCTTCAATTGCATTCTAAGTAACTTGTATCGTTTGTTATGTAAACTGAACCAAACTCACCTGCTTAATTCAGCAATTTTTTTTTAAAATACATTTTCACAAATAATTTTATCTCCTTTTATGCAAATAAATAAAATTATAGTCAACATATTCCAGGGCCAACATATACATGTAAATGTTTGGTAGTATTTTAACAGCTTAAACAAATTGACTTCCAAAAAAATAACCATGCTTTGTTGCAACCACTATCGAAATAACGTTCACTATTGAAATAATTATTTCAATAGCGGTTGAAAGTGCATTTCAAAACCAAACACAGGTTGCAACCACTATTGAAAATAAACCGTATTTAATTCTTTTTTGTTTGTACCCAATGAATTATGAAGGAAGCCAACCAAAATAATATGCAATAACATGAATATATTTTCAGAAGAGATAATATATGTGTGGAAACAAACGAATGCTGCCGTTGGCGGAATTTTCTGTCATTTTATTCACTGGCCAACTGTTTTTTTTTTTTTTTTTTTTTTTTTTTTATACATCTTTCGAAGAACGATCAACTAAGATTTTACTTGGAATTTTCTTTGTATTTACAAAATGGCAGATATTAAAGAATGCGAGCTAGTTGAGTTGACGTAAGTTTAGTTATGTGTCGTGTTTGTTTGTTTCTGTGTTTCTCCTAATTATTCTACTACTTTCCCTCCTTCAGAAAGTGACTTTAGCAATATAGAGTTGCTGAAGATGTCCCTCTTCAATACACCAATGCCCCTAAATAAATGCTGTCTTTCATTGATTCTCTTCTCATTTAATATGCGTCGTAAAATTTGAGAAGTCTCTAGACAAAGAAAATTCGGACAAAAGTTTCCTGAGCTAAAACTTGTCTCAAAACATCAATGGTCTTGGTTTCTTCTTCACTAGTTTTAGTCAAAAAAGAATTTTCATTGGACAAAAGCAAGCAAAGCAATAAAATTACATGTTTATAGCCCAGTAAGCGCATTTCGTCTTATGATTCTTCCTCACATTATTAGTCCCTTACCGATGAAACGAGGGGACTGTAGGTTTCCTCTGAGTCTGTCCGTCCGTCTGTCTGTCCCTCTGTCTGTCTGTCAGTCTGTCCCACTTGGTTTTCCTCACTTTTTTCTAAACGCTTGCAGATATTGAGCTGATTTTTGGTATGTGAGTGTATCTTGATGAGTTACAGATAATGTTTGCATTTCGTTTCGCTTCAATGATTTTTGACGGAATTACGACCTGTTCAATTTTTCAGAGTTTTCCGCAATTTTTTTTCTAAACGCTTGCAGATATTGAGTTGAATTTTGGTATGTGACTTTACCTTGATGAGATATAGATCAAGTTTGCATTTCACTCCGCTTCATTGATATACAATGTATGACGGAATTATGGCATTTTCAATTTTAAATGGGAACCAGATTACACTTGCCGGTAGGGGACTAGTATTTCTAATGTAATACTCTCAGAATGCTTGTTGATATTTAGATTTCTTCTAAGGTCTCTAAAAATCAAAAGGATGCATAAGCAAATGAAGCCCTGGGGGTAAGCAAATAAATTCCAGTATTTTGCAATTATTCTAAAGAAGAAATGAAATAAACTTCCATGAAAGGAACAGGAGAAGTCCTCCAATCTATGTACTGTATTATCTTAGAGTCCATCGTCGGAACCCACGGGTTTTCTCCCTGGTAACACTATAGAGATTCATTGTGTTCTTTTTTGGAAGTAAAAAAGAAAACTTGAGTACCAGATTATGATTTATTTTCCCAACCATCAAGAGTATATTAAAAAGGAGAGCAATATGCAAATTAAAGTAATCATTGAAAAGAATTAAAACGCTGAAGTCCGTGTATCTCTAACTGTTTGATACCTAGGACGTCCAATTGTCTGGTTCATAAAGACTCGCATCTATGATATATTTCTGATGAGTACTAAAATTATGAAACCAGAAGGAAGGAACCAATGCTGTGACGTTACAACAATTGGTTATTCTAGATAATGGTATTTGATAGACATGTTCATGCTAGCCTGAATGGCCTGTTTGAACATATTTTAACTGTATTATGTATTATCAAATTTTCTTATTTTTATGAAATGTTTCATCATTGCAAAATAAAAATAGTTCTTAAAGTAACAATTCTGCTAAATGCCAAGGCGTGTTTCACAGTTCCCATGATTGCTATCACATTAAATCAACATACACACAGAGCGAAGAAATAGACGCTGTTTGTTACGTTCAATGACGACTGTATATTTATTCCGAAAACATAACCAAACTGTGGTTTTATTCATAGTGAAGTACTCTTAACAAACCCCGTCATTTATAAAATCTGTCAACACAACAAGATATATTTATGAAAAGAAACGTTATAATCGAATACAAAAGAGATTTATAAAGGATAAAATAAACGGGAAATTTAAACACCTTATGCAATGAAATTAAGGAATAACTGTCTAATTTTTTGGATTCATGATGTGATCAATCGAGTGGCTTGCGTGATAATTTGCATAAACGCCGAAGGCGTTTATGCATAAAATTATCACGCAAGCCAATCGATTGATCATCGTCATGAATCCAAAAAAATCTGACAGTTATTCCTTATATTTACATGCTCCTGATTCCGCAAATTCCCCTGCTAATAGCCCCGCTTCTGTCTCTATTTGTCCCGCCCCGCACGTGATTTTTTTTAACCGCGCCTATCGATGATCCAGTAGATTTATGTAGAAATAAAGTATTTTTACAATTTGTAATTTTATCTCGGACAAAGACATTGGAAATGTAAATATTATGGAGCAAATCGAAAAATCTCATCCAACTGAATCATTGTGTGGTGAGCGTAGCGGAAGACAACTCTGGATAGAGAATGCCAACTAAATATGTAATACATGCATGATGCCTGTTTGATTCACTTTTAAATAGGATATTAAAAATCTTCGTCTTCGACTGCATTTTTAAAGTAAAACTTACTCTAAGAAGAACTTAGACAAGGAAAAATAATCATAACATTTTCTGTAAGTATAATTCATTCATTTCTGTTTGAAAATTGCGCGTAAATTTACGTGTGTAAAATACATTTTTCCAGTAGAAGTAAGGATGTACCGTTGACGAAAAATGTAAATTTGAATATACTAGTTATTGCGTTAAACGCTGTAATAAAAATGTATATAAATTTTTTTTAAAAAAAATAAAAAAGACAAAGAAAAAAAGAAAAAACTCTTGAGTCAAGGTAACAAAGCAAGATTCGACTTTTATAACTTAATATTCACAATAAAGATTTAATTATCATTGTTGAAAGAATTTTCAGTCCTTAGGCTTATTTACCTTGAGTTATGATAAGAAGCAGGAAAAAAAACGACAAATTGCAAAAAGTGTAAATATTTAAAAAAAAGGGGGGGGGGGGAGAATACCATGACCTAATTCACATCGTCATTTGTTAAATTAATTTAAATATATATACATGTAATAAATAGGTATTGTTCAGATGATTTAAGTAAGATTACAGACATTGGATTAATTTTGACATTTGTCAGATAACGCTCAGTTCTAAAACAGACAACGAAGATTTGAAGATCTGAACGATGACAGTGTGTGATAAAAGGAGTCTAACAGGATTTTCTCGTCTTAAGCTCTGCTTCTGATCATCATTCTGCTTGACTTCATGTTTTCGTAATCTATCCCCCAAAACAGACCATTGTAGGCTTTTATATTTGAGGATTTGTAGATCCCATTAAGACCAGAGAATCCACAATGATTGTACCACCACCCATTACTATTAACCACTGCACAGTTCTTGTAAATGCTCATATCATTGTCGCGATTTCTGGTTGAGAAAGACATCCCGTTCAGATTATGAGGTTTTATCATCATGTCTCCTGTAAAATTAAGTAAGAACTGTGAATGAATGATTTTCCTATAAAAGGCAGAATTGTGTTTTCTAAAGCAAGAAACATAAAAATATATATAATACACATTCATATTAAAGGAAGCATGCTTTTTGGAGAGTCTTCTGAAAGATAAGCAACACATCTTTTCTTTAACTCTTTACAAAAATTCACAAGAAGGAATTAAATAAGTCATCGTGGAGAATGAAGGAGGTCTATAAGGACATCCCAGAACACAAAGTTTATTGGTTTTATTGAAGATGACAAAAGCAAATGTTAAGAAAGTCGGCTAAGCATTTTCATTTTTTTTTCTTTTTTTCATTAACGTTTACAGTAGTACCTGCATTTCCGCTGTATCCACTGATTGACAGTTTGTACTTGTCAGATTCGCTGCTGATTGAAAAAATCGAATAAACGGCGTAAACAGAGGAACCGGTGAATTTCTCCAAATCTATTCTCAGAACCTGGTTTGTCCTACTTGTAATGTGATGGATTGCATGATTGCCTTTAAAAGGAAAAGAAACTTTAAGATATATTTTAGAGAGACACCTTTGAGAGAGGATGTCAGCATTATCTCTATTCGGTTGTTTGAATGGTACTCTGGCAGTAAAATACTGTACTATAGTTGTTTTTTAATTCAGCTGACAGTATACATTTATTGACTAGGTTCGAGGGCACTATGCGTTTTGTCGGACCCAAGAACCAAACTGTTTGCCTGAGGCCGTTAGGTCGAATGAAAACAGTTTTGTTCGAGGGGTCGACAAAACGCATTTGCCCGAGAACACATCAATAAATGTTTTGTTATACCTTTTATTTATTTCTTTTATTATTTTTTTTTTGGACATACATGTGTGTAGAACACCAACGAATGCAAATGAGATTTAGCTGATCCCGCCCATTTTGTGACGTAAGCGGTCCAACATCTCATCGACAGGTCCAATATCTCGCTCTGCGGTCAAACATCGATTTTTTTTATGCCTGCTCAGTAAAACATTGGAAATGTTAGACTTTTATTAGTATTGATTTACCGGTATATAGCATAGGAACAAATTTTTAAAGGTATAACAATATGAAAATGTTAAGTTCTAGCTTTATTCTTCCTTGCAAACAAGGAAAGTATTAAAGTTAAATATATTTGTCTTTCTGTCCTCTGTTTATCCGCAAAACATTTCAAAAGTTTAATAACAGTCAAGGCATGTGTTGGATTATGAGAAAGCCCCAGTAAAATTTGAGGATTTTTAATTTCTGTTTGCCTGAGGCGGTTAGGTCGAAGGCAAACAGTTTGGTTAGACGGGTCGACAAAACGCATTTTGCCCGAGAACACTGTCAATAAATGTTTTGTTATACCTTTTACTTTTTATTTTGACATAACATGATGTAAATTTTGTTTACCGGCACTGCGATTTAAACTTGGTCAATTCCGTAAAGTTCTGTCGAACTCCAACGAATGCAAATAAGATAAGCTGACCCCGCCCACACTGTGAGGTAAGCAATATCTCGCTCTGCGGTCAAACATCGATTTTTTATGACCGCTCCGTAAAAAATTGGAAGTGTTAGACTTTTTTTAGTATAGAATTTTACAGGAAACAATTTTTAAAGGTAAAGCAAATAATGTTGCTTATCCTTAACTATCGAAAAAACCACAGGTCCCTTTTTTAGAACATTAAATTTTACTTATCGCATAAAAACGTACATTACACAGCTTGTGTTTTATATTCATTAAGTCAAATATATTTTGATGATAGGTGATGCATGTGTCTGATTCTAATTAATATTTTATGCAGCCAACAGTATTTTGAAGAAATTATTAAGTTTAAAACGGTATCGTTTTTGTTCGATTTTCATCCAATTAGAAGCTTTCCGTAAATCTTCTCGACTGTAGTCTCGATCATTCAGACGTAGGCCTATGCCTTTATCACACAAATCGAAGCGGTTTGATGATCAAGATTTTAGTTCATTTATTTCCCGGGCGACAATATTGATGGCAACATCAATGTTTTCTTGTTTCATTCTATTTTAAGCTAAAAAAAAAAATTACTCACCTAGCCAGTATTCCTTATATGGATTACCAAACCCTGCTTTGTAGCCCGCCCAATCTTCTTGAAAATATGTAGAGCCATCAAACCTTTTTTGTATTACCTATAATATAACATTAGAGGGAAGTTTTCCAACACCATGTTAATATAATTTCATTATTCCTCAAAAATTGATTTACATGATCAATCAGATCATTTACGTCCAAGTTACTTTGTTTCTTTATTTTTCATCTCAATCTGCGAAACATCTGAAAATAGATCTACAAGTTTTTCCAGCAATTCTAGTTACCGTCCAGCCCCCTCCTCGTGTCGTCATGTCACAGAAGACTGCCTTGGGCGTGACCAAATCGGGATAAATCTGGTAGACTCCATCTTGATTTTTAAGATTCTCATCGCTATTAAGGATAGCTTCACAGTCACTGAATTTTCCATCTAATGAATAAGTACATGTACGTAATATGTACATATTTGCATATTTAACTTATTCCGACATATATTATAAGCGAAACTCAATTTCGTATAGACGTCGCGCTGAATATTGGGCTAGACAAAATTGCTTATCCACCACTTGCTTTTTTCGTCTGTTAATTGAACATTTGCCTAATCGGCACTGGTAAATCTAATATGCCATCTTTCCCAATACAGTGGAGTTGAAAAATGCCTTGGTGTCAGGACTAGACCCTTAAATGACCTTGCCAAAAAACCAATTTTCCGATGAACACCGTTTTTGCCGAGATATGAATTTGGTGATTTCCTTTGATGGTCAGTGATTATATATTATCACCTAGAAGTCACCCAGTGTATATACTCAGTCCATCCAACTTCCGGTGTTGTAGAGTAGGATTTCCCCTATTTCCCCCGGAAGCTGTACTCTAGAGTCCCCCGGAAGCTGAACTCTAGAGTAGTATTTCTCCCCGAGGGGAAATCTCACACTGGAACCAAAGTTCCCTTTTTTTCTTTCTCAGAGTAGGATTTCCCCTCTTATATCAATGCTTAATTCATATCGACAATATTTCTCTTTAGGTTTTGCACAATTTCAATTTTTTTTAGAAATAAATGACCCATTTTAGGTCAATGGTACGAAAGCCTATTAGGATCAAACTACGGTAAAAAAAATTTAAAAGGCGTTATAACGCCTTTTCAAAAGGCGTTATAACGCGAAAAAAGGCGTTATTACGCCTTTCCAAAAGGCGTTATTACGCCTTTCTAAAAGGCGTTATTACGCCTTTTCAAAAGGCGTTATTACGCCTTTTTAAAAGGCATTAATACGCCTTTCAAAAAGGCGTTATTATGCCTTTTGAAGGGCCATTATTATGTCTTTGACAGGCCTGTGCTTTTAAAGGGGGGGGGGGTTTCCCATAAAATTGACAAGCAAACAAAAAAAAGACCCCCCCCCTTCGAAAAAAATAACTACCTAAACTTGAGGGGAAACTTTTTCTAATTTTTCGGTAAAACTTTTTTTAAATGCAATGACTTGCCCAAGTTTAACCATACTGCAACAAAATGTTAAGGGACCAAGCAATCAATTAATGATTTTTTATATTTAAACTATAGCAAGACTATTCTCCCAAAAAGTGGGGTGGGGGAGTCATTCGTACTACCGGCCTGTTTGAAAAGGAGTTGTATCCAAAAATTGAAAGGCATTATTTTAAAATAGTAAATATATGAAAGATTGAACCAAAGCCATCTTTATTTATGCAATATTTAGATTATAGTTTTAATATTATAAATTATATTATAAATTATAGTATTTTCTATATTCCTGCACATCTCGCAGACGTTGTTTGCATTTTGCATGCATATTAAGAGAAGTCAACACTCTACTTTTGAAAATCCAGGATATAGGCAGAACCAGCTTTGGGCCCTGCTAGCCACGTATTTAAAATTCACTTCAAATTTGAAATATTTTTCTCTCCTCTTGGTAAAAAACAGGCAAAGTATTTGCATAGGTATAATGAGCAATTAGCCTTCGACAAAATTTCTGAAATCCATACACCTTGGTAGAAGCGTCTGGCACCAGAGAAGGACTAAGTTGGTTTAACACTGAAAATATTTTACACATTTAAAAATCTTTTTTCCTACAAATCTAATTATAATCAGCCCCCAGGGTGGGCTAAGTAAGTCATGTATTGAAAAAAAAGAGGCGTAATAACGCCTTTTTAAAAGGCGTAATGACGCCATTTGAAAAGGCGTAATAACGCCTTTTGGAAAGGCGTAATAACGCCTTTTTAAAAGGCGTAATAACGCCTTTTGGAAAGGCGTAATAACGCCTTTTGGAAAGGCGTAATAACGCCTTTTTAAAGGGCGTAATAACGCCTTTTGGACAGGCGTAATAACGCCTTTTGGAAAGGCGTAATAACGCCTTTTGGAAAGGCGTAATAACGCCTTTTTTCGCGTTATAACGCCTTTTGGAAAGGCGTTATTACGCCTTTATTTGCGTTATTACGCCTTTTTTCGCGTTATAACGCCTTTTGGAAAGGCGTTATAACGCCTTTTAATTTTTTTTTTACCGTAGTTTGATCCTAATAGGCTTTCGTACAATGGCAACGGCAGCTGTTTGGATATAAAAAATAGAATCTTGGAGAAACACTTACACATCAATATTATGTACATATAGTTTAAAATACAATTGAAGACTTAAAATAAAATTCTATTTTTGTTTCCACTGAAACAGTTCAAAATTTGTCCATCTGATTACATTGTACATTTTTTCAGAAATTAGTTTGACCAGATGAAAAGAATTTTAATGCTTCAAAGAATTGGTTGGACAGTTTTTGAGAAAAATGAGCTTTTAAATTTTCAATTTTCATTATGTGTATTATGTTTCAATGGAACTGGTCGCCATTTTGAAGAAGAAACACTTGTAACAATGGGTCGCCCCCTCCTCCCTCATACATAAGTACAACCATGATATTTTACTGGAGGGGGAGTTGGCTCTGGGGGAAATCGCATTCTATAACTTACTCAGAGTAGGACCCCCCCCCCCCCCGGAAATTTGAATCTGGAGTGGGATTTCCGTAGGGGAAATCCTACTCAAAAATCATTTTTTCGTGGGAGAAATCCTACTCTAGAGCCTTTTTGCGGGGGGAATTCTACTCTAGAGCTAGCTTTCCGGGAGAAAGATTTTAGAGGGGAAGGACTACTCTACAAGACCGGTTTGCCGCAATTTTGCGGAACAAACTTGAAATTGTCGTTTGATGACTACTTAATGCAGTGGCTACATACAGAAAACTTCTTTTTTATTTTTTTATAATCTATTTTCAACAATTTTTCACTAGAAGAGAAAATAATCCTTTTATTGTTTTAATTTTTAACAAATTCCTCCAAAGGAACATACTGCAGACTCCATACTGACTGCTTTAGCACGCTCTTCTAAGGTCAAACGCCGCATGCGATGTAATTTTTTCTGAGTTTTCAATAAAGAATACAAATACAAAGGGAAAAAAAGAAATTTATTCCTCTAAAAAGTGTGAGCACGATTTTCATTTTTTTTTTAATGAAATGGTTACCCTTCAGTTAACATTGTACTTATTTATCAGTTTAGGCATTTAAATGCCTCATTTTTTTTTACTTTGGTAACATTTTTATATCAAATACATCATCAGCAAGTTTCGAAAAGTAAAGTGTTAATTTTCTTCGGTGGTGATTTTCTTTGAATCTTTAGCAATTTTGTCTAGTGTACACAGATCGGTAAATTCCAGAAAGCGAAAAGATCATCATCATCACTGTGCATCCTTGTTTGTCCCATGCATATGAGGGCTACCGATAACAAATAAATTGTGAGTTATTCCATTAAACAACAAAGTTTTATCATTTTTTAACCATGTTTAGGCAAACTGAATACATACAACTTGAAAAAAAAAACAAAACAATGTGACACAATTTTTCAAGGTTTTTTTTTAATTTTATTTTCTAAAAGAGATTATCCGAGTGCAACATATAAATTGATTCCGAACGTGTATTGCATCGTGGCGTTATAGACGCAAGTATCGGAAAATCACGAATAATGAGGGATCCATTTTGGTAATTTTTGTAATGTTAAATCATCGTAGACTTTGAATTTACTGCAATGTACTAGTTGAAATCGAGGGTTCCTTTCAAAGCAGAGTTTTGTTTGTTTGTTTGTTTGTTTTCGGGGGGGGGGGGGTAATCTGTTGATCGAACCAAGTTAAAAGGCTGATAACGTTTGGTGCCAGTCTTATTTAGGAGAAAATATATAAAAGCATCTCAACTAACTCTTATCCATAAGTTTATCTCAATAATAAAATGAGCACAACTGTTGGAAGAATTAGTGAGATTTAGTGTGTGTTTTTTTTTAAAAGATAGTGTATGGCAGCTGGGCAAAGGGACACATATAATTTCCATGGCACCGGAGGGTAAAAGAAAAAATTGTGAGTATGTCCCATAATTTATATTTATTTCATAAATGATTTCCATCAAAATCTTAGATTTATAATTTCTGGGTCTCTTTGCAAGACATTGCTCTTAAACTCCCCTTCCCTCTATACTAAATGAACATTTTGCAGACCATGTAGTTCATATTAGAATATAGGAATTCATGAATAGCGAAAAAAAATCACATGAGAAGTTTATACTTACATGTACATGTATATTGGTTGATTATATATTTCTTACCAAATAAATATGACTTCCTTTTTGAAGCTGCTTTATCGTTATTCATTGAATCAAGTTTTTCCATCATAGAAACAGATATATTGTCAAGTCTGTCAAGGCCTTTCAACAGCATCGTCGAAAGCATTTTCATATCCTCAAAAACCTTCTCTTCAGTCTTGTTTTGCATCATGTTAAATGAAAAGTTTTCAAAACTCTCAAAATAATTTAATAACACTGTTATGCCATCTGATAATTTTGCAAACTTGTTTATTTGTAACGAAGTTCCATTGCTCATTTCTTCAATTTTGTGACTGCTGATATTTTCTGCAACCATCTTTACTAAATTAGATAAAGCCCCCTCTTCAATTTCCTTAATGCTCTTTGAACAAATTTTGTCTTTCGTTGGTTCATCCTGTTTTGATTCAAAGTTCTCCTTAAGTTTTACGACGTCCTTGGTCAAAGCTATTCTAATCAAAGTTTCCTGATTTAACAATTGTCTCAAGATGTCAATGTCACTGGTTTTTGGTTCAGTATTTTTTGTCACCAAAGATTTTCCATTTGTGAGAAAACTGTATGAAATAATAATACACAAATTGAAATTCAACATTTTTTCATTTCAAAAATCACTGATATAGATGATTCTATCGAGTTTTCTGACAATTTAAAGGATTTCTTTCCATTCTATGACTCAGGGTTTTAGCTTGCATGAGCAAGTGAAGTCTCGAAGATGACTGCATTATATGGAGTTGAAATGAAATAGCGGTCAAAACCTCACGCCTTTATAATGATGCTCTAGCAATTGTTTTTATTAAAGTGTCAGAGATCTACATGTATATGAAACAAATGGACTGTATAGCGCATCATCATGATTTAGTGAGAAAATCGGGAAGATTAATTCAGAAGTCCGTCATGCGAATAAACATTGATAAAATCTTAATTTCTCTCTACATGAAATGTGAAAATAACGAATAGTAACCATGCTCAATGTGCCAATTATAGAAAATACAAAAACACGGACCCCTGAAAACATCAGAGGTAGAATCAGGTGCCACGGAGGAGTAAGCCTCTCCTGTCGACCGGTCACACCCTCCGTAAGTCCCTTGTCATGATCGAATTAACGGAGAAATCTTTTACAATTTACAAATAAAAGTAATGGTCCTATAATTTGTATGAAAAATGTCAGCCAACATTCCACCTGAAGACAGAATGAATTTGAAAACAAAGTTATTATATTGACCATAGAATTTCTGAAAAGTTGACATGTAAAAAGAGATTGTTAGTACCTTTGTATCATCAACTTATTTGTCAGTAGCCTGTCTCGGTTTAGAACTTGTTTGTACGTAGAACATGCTCTTGCATATCGAATGAAATACACGTAAATTAATACGTTTTGTTATATAAATCCTTTTTTCATTCTTGTTCAAATTATTTAAATAACGTTTCAATTTCAAAGTAATAATCAATGCAATCTTCGATCCGAATCCAACTCCGACTTGTGTGTACCAATTCATAAATGTAAACTTCTTGAAAATTCGTTCCAATATTCTGGTGCTATTTTATTGAATGACTTACCTGTACATATAAAATGTCACAAACTCTAAATGCTTTCAAGAAACGAGTAAAAAATTATGTAATTTAATGTCGAAATAATTTGTAATTCTTATTTGCTTGTCTGTATATATTTATGCATTTATATGTATGGTTATTGACAGAAGGCCCTGGGGAATAATAGTGCACTGATCATGTTACCTTCTTTAAAAAAAGTATTGTTATTATTACACGTATTATGTTATATTGTTACACAAATAAAGGGAGTTGGCAATAGAAAAATTGAGCTATCACGTTTGTCATAAAGTTAAGCCGTTAGATAGCCATCAATGTCTTTTCTGGAAAAACATCCATGTAAAACCTGTATAATACTCTGTGGTGTCTTTTATTTCCAGTTCAATGGGACATACCAATTTATGAATCATGAATGAAAATTGAAAATGAATACTTCTAAGTGATAAAACGTCGTCAATATATCTTATTATCGGATTGAAGGCCACAGCAAGAGACTTCTGTTCATGTAGACAGTAGTTTTTGAATAAATTGTGCTTCATAAGAATACAAAAACATGTCTGCTAACAAAGGAACATTAGTATCCATGGACATACCAACAGATCATTGGAAGACCTGGCTCCGGGGCCACAAAACTTAGACGAGCTCACTTTTGCTCTCTGTCTCACTTTTCCACTATTAATTCCTTTGATAAAAGTGAGATTGGGATTAAAACTGAGCTCATGTTTTATGTCCCGGAGTCTGGCTCCGGGGCCATAAAACTTAGACGAGCTCACTTTTGATCTCAGTCTCACTTTTCCATTCCTTTTGTAAAAGTGAGATTGAGATCAAAAGTGAGCTCGTCTAATTTTTATGGCCCCGGAGTCTGGTCTCCAAAGACTACATAACATGTATATATGGTAAAGGAGGAATCTCAAGCATCTTTTTAATATCAACCTCAGAGTACTTGTGTTTAGATACAGAATGGTCAACAAGGTAGTTTTGTAGATGACCAATGACAAAATTATATGAAACTTTGTTAGCATCCACCAAAAATTATTACAAATGTGCAAGATGCTTGTTACTCTGACAGGCCTCTGCTCGTCTGACCTAATTCAAAAGTTCGAGAAAACTTAATCATATAAACTTCATCTTCCTTTGTTTATAAATTGCACCACAAAATAAACAGAAAATTCGCTATGTTATAAACATAACTGAAAAAATTGCGACATCGTGCCATGGGGTTCCCACAAAAAATCCCGTCACAAAAAATTATTTATAGCTTATTCAACTTGCACATCTTTTGTTATAACAAAGATGTCAAGTTTTAAAAAAGTTCTCTGTGAAGAATAAATATTTTCTTTGTGTCGAACTTCATTTTTTACGAGAAAGTACAGATGGACTTAATCAAAATTACCGAAATAAAACGAAGGTCATCCAATACTGGATGTTTTATATAACAAACAAGATGCATTTCCGAATGGCAAGTATGCACTGACAAAACGTCAGAAATACTCAAGCTATATTAAGTAAATTGAATATGAAATGTCATAAATATTCTAACATGACATAGAACATATTTATAAAGTTATTGTTTTTGACCTGCAAACTGACTATCAGTTTTAGCACACAGCTATGATTTTAAGTGATAGCATCTCTAGGGGTCGCATGAAGTTTAAGAATGTTTGGTTTCCAATTTGATCTTTTTGCTTCAAATCTAATGTACATTCTGCTTTTGAAAACAAACGGCACAAAAAGCTTATCTGCAAAAATTTAGTTACATAGTTTGAGCAATATTGTACATCTATAATTTATACATGAATAACAATATTAACTCACTTTCCTGAACAAAATACATTTAGAAATTTATCTCTAATGAAAAATTTGAAAATTGCTCCAATCTATCACATCCATGTCAGTATGTTTGCTGTAAATTAAAATCAACCATTTTACAGTACATGTATTACAATTACTGATGTATACCTTGTGATTTTTTTTATTCTACAGACTAAGGCTGTTATTGTTGAGAAGTGGACTATATATCTGTCATCCTTCTGATCTCGGTACTCTAGGCCTATTAAGATTTATTTACACTGTCTGTAATACATAATGTTCTACATGAAATAAAATCATTCAAAAACTCTTTCAAATGATATTTTTAAATTGTATAAAATCCAAGAAGAGCCAAGACTTTATAAAAGTAGTGCATTCATGTAAATATATTACCGGGTATTTGCAACTTCTAAAACATCTGTATATTATATATTTCTTTAATCCAATGAATGTATAACATAGTATAACAGAATATAATGCATCATATACAGGGAATACACTATTTTACATAATCTGATTAATAATATGCTGCATATCTGCATACAAGAAAAAAAACATCACAATATATTGTATTCTTATATCAGCATATTCAATATTTTTACATCAGTATATTCAATACCAGTACACCAATACCAGTATAGACACATGTGGATTTTTTTTAGTCATGCGAAATAAACCAGACAAAAATTTAATTACTAATATGGTATATACAATGTAGTTTTTCACACAAAAAAGATGTTCTCTAGGAAGATGAGCTTCCATAATTGGACATATAAATCTAAATGTAATAATCTTTTTTTTTTAATAGATATTTGTTAGAATAGATATCTTATGGAACAAAAACCACCTTATATGATATCTATTATGATTATCATGCTGTGTGTTCAGATCATGAATTCTGCGTGTCTAGTTTTAAGGTATAGTATGATATCCACATGCCAAAAATTATCCATTTAAAACAATGGAATCTGCGAAGAGACCCTTGCTTGCATATGTAGAAGACAAAATGGACGTTTGGAACAAAACAAAATGAAAATGATGACTCTCTACCTATGCACCAGGCAGCTGGCATGGTGTTGCTGAGAATTATGCCTTCGTCCAAGTTTCTGGCTGGTCTTCCATTTCTCTGTGTCTTTCTACATGTCGATTCACATGCACAATTTCCCATTTCTTCATCCATGGCCCTTGAATGGTTGTATCAAACTCATCAATTTCTTCCTGTGAAGAGTAAAAATTATTCATATTATCTTCCGTTTCAGCCTAACGCAACGCCTTCAGTCTGGGTAAATCCACTAAAGAATGCAATTCACGTCCAGTTACCCACCATAACACGGACAGGGGGTTAAGGGTTAAAGTATGCGTTATATTTTGACGTGACAAACGTTGAAAGCCATGTAAGTGCAACGTCATAAGCGAAAATCAAAATTCACGCTCACATTGAACAAAAGCTGTTGCAATAGCTCTTCCATGAATTGTACTTACCCGAAGGAAAATACAGGGATTTTGAAATATAAATCACATCTGGAGTCAAGGCAAGGAAGTAAAAATGTAAATATCTTTCAAAAAATAATGATTCAGTCCTTAAATGTCCCTACCGATTTGGCATTGCTGCGATTAAATTTAGAGCGGAGCCCATTTTTAGTGACGTAATGAGTTAACAGATTTGCACAGACGATAAAATAATTCAATTTTAATCGATCTCGGTAGGTTTGTTAACTGTTATTGGTTCTCGACAAAACAAAACACTTATATGGTTTGATACTGTCCTCAGAAATATTACGGGTTGTTCAAGTCCATGGAAGGCGAAGCACAGTTACTGACATATAATTCAGTGGACATCATTTAGCTCATACAAAACCATTAACTAGAATTAGTGCTGCATGTATACAGTGTATTGTAATATTTTTATTTGAAAAATGTGGTTTGAAATAAGTGTAATATTTATATCTTGTTAAAATTTTATTTCCACCTACTTGGTTAACTGTGGACAGTCGGTGACAAACCTAAAGTAATTGTAGGGTTCATATGCCTCACCTTGCCAGTCATTGCAGACGTTTGTTTATCATGTCGGTTAATGGCGTCGAATGACTCCCAGTCAATCTTCATGTTGGGATCTTTGGAAGACCTCATTAGAATTCCCTCTTTCAGTCCATAGAAACCCACAGGTTCACTTGGTCTCTGCCAACGAAGGTCTAAACTCCAACGAATCGACTTTGATAGATTTGGTAAACTTGTAAGAAGGAAAAAAATATTGAATATTACCTTATATATACATGAAGATAAACTTTGAAGAAAGAATATGAAAAAACCTAAACAATAATTTCGTAATCCTTGAAAAAATCATTCTTTCTTGAAATTTTACCATCAAATTAATTTTTTAAAGATTAAAATATCATTGAGATTTATATTATATAGAAATATGTGTAAGTTCTATTGATTTAATGAAAAATACAAAAGGTGATACAATTTCCAAACTTTATTCTATTTGATAACTCTTTAAAAATTAAGTGTGTTAATTCTAAACAATAAAATGCTTTCTTTGTTAGTACGGTAAATAATGTTGCAGCTGTTGTAGAAAAAATGCATAACCCACGTAAGCGGATATGTATTTTTTCTGCAATAGATGCAACGTTAATCCCAGTACTAACAAACAAAGAAAGACATTTTATTGTTTATATTTATATAGATCTGTACAAATAATCATTTAAAGTAGAATTTAGTACATGGAATATTATTGATTTATACGCCATTGTACGTTTAATTGATGGAACAGCCACTGCTCAAGAAATCTACACAGTGATATGCAATGTTTTTCTTGAGAAATAAATTAAGGAGATAATATTCAGTGGATGTAAATATTTCTCGATATTGATATCATACTGTAATTTTTTAATTTACCGGGTGGTAGTAAATACAAAAATTACAATGTTGTCATATTGTAATTTTTGTATTTACTACCACCCGGTAAATTCAAAAATTACAATATGACATTGACAACTGAATGTAAATTTCGTCAAATGAAAGGTCAGGTGCTTAATATGCAAATATTTACATTTCCAATGTCTTTGTCCGAGATAAAATTACAAATTGTAAAAATACTTTATTTCTACATAAATCTACTGGTTCATCGATAGGCGCGGTTAAAAAAAAATCACGTGCGGGGCGTGACAAATAAAGACAAATAAAGACAGAAGCGGGGCTATTAGCACGGGAATTTGCAGAATCAGGAGCATGTAAATATAAGGAATAACTGTCAAATTTTTTGGATTCATGACGATGATCAATCGATTGGCTTGCGTGATAATTTTATGCATAAACGCCTTCGGCGTTTATGCAAATTATCACGCAAGCCTCTCGATTGATCACATCACGAATCCAAAAAATAAGACAGTTATTCCTTAAGTCAATTTCCCGGGCTGCCGTTGCGTTTGACATCAATGGCCGGGGACTATGGGAATTAACACGAATATTTTTGTATATTTCAATTCTACAAGACAACATTTTTGATTTTACATTTTATTTTTTATTTTACGTATAAATGTTAATGTAAGGAATCACTGACTAGTTTGTTGGGTATGCCAGGTCATTAACAAAAGCTGGAAACGTGGGATAGTTTGCATAGCGGCGAATCCCGTTATGCATAAATTACCCCACATTTCCACGTGTCGTTCGTGTCCCTGACATTCCCAGCTATACCTTTAAAAAACATTACAAAAGTACACATATGCATTTGCTACTATTTTGTCAATAATAACCAATAAAACCTGGAATTATACCTAACCCTATTCCTAACCCTTCATAAAATCGTATAAGTTGCTTAAGAAAAAGGCGACCCAAAATAGTGTTATGGCAATACAAAGAAAATTGTGTGTGCGTTAAAATGCAGCAAGTAATAATGTGCCTAGGAGGTGGACAAAGTGGCTTCAACAAGGTGGGAAGAACTTGTAAAATGTTAAGAAAGCTCTAAACACTGCTCACTAAAGAGTTCAAATTCTATGGCAGTTTTATGCGGTTAGAGTGATCTGCTCTTTGATGTAAAATGGAATACATGGAACTCTACATTAAATGACACAATTTAAAATAGATTAAAGCATTCTTAATATTATATTAGACCAAGATAAAGTAATTGAAAACATTATTTTCAAGTACTTTCCCAATTTAAGTAAACAGAGGTTATTTAAGTTCAATAATACTTCACTGTTTTTGAACATTTTTTCTGCAGAAATACGACAGGTACCCTATGTTGAAAATGAAAGAAAAATTCAATATGTATATCTTTATATGAAAAATTTTCTCAAAGTCCCAAAAACATTTTATGTCAGTGTTTATAGAGCTTCCTTAATATTAGGAGTGATACGTGAAAATGAAGTACAAGATAATGCAAGTTCCTTTTCCGTTTATGTGCACTATGACAATAACCTTTTAGATATGCAATAGGAATGTGCGATTTTATCGGTATACCGGTATATCGCAATTTTTTATTGCGTGATACGTATCGTGATACGGAGACTAAAATACCAGTATTTGGTACATAATTATAAATTCCGGAAATTATTCATTTATTTAATCAAACTATTGAATGACATAGGAAGTGTAAAAAATGTTAAAAACAGTTAAACAACGGTATCCAAACATGCTTTAAATTAAATAAATAAAAATTCAAAAAGTTAAGTTATGTTTTTAAGGGCATATTTTTAAGAAATTTTACGGAAATTCATTTGAAATTGTAGTAAAAATTGTGTGTAAAAAATCACGATTTATCGTGATATTTTTTTTTGGGAAAATCGTGATATATCACGATACGAAAATTTTGCCGATACCCATCTCTAATATGCAATTACATAATTGTCTTTTCTATGTGAAAACGTGGAATAAATAGGTAAACATACATCGCAGAAACTTGAATTAAACAATTAGTTTTCAGTTCTTCCTCCTCCTCTAGCCACTTTCTCGCTTCCTAAACGACACTATAGCTACACAATATCAAAACAAAATCAAATAAGCTCACATAAGAATTATTTATTATATAAATATTGCATGTAGTTGAGCAGGGATTTATCAGTACCTTCTCAGGGGCCGAAATTCGGCCCCATTCCCAATTGAAAATGAGTTCATTTTTCCCCAATTTGGCAGTATTTTTTCCCAATTGGTGAACAATGCTTTTATATTTAATTATCTTGGAAAACACTAAGTAAAATTGTCAGAATGTCTGTAATTTTCATCTATTTAACTTGTTTAGCAAAGCTACAATCATAACACACATTTAAAAACACTGTAAAAACATCGACAACTTTTAATCCGAATTTCCTCCATTTTTCTGAAAATGGTGATATTGTGTTATTATATAGATTTATTAAGTTATTTCTACCTACTCAATTGATCTATGAGTAAATGGTAAGGACTGTAGGCATTATTTCAAATAGAAAAATATATTTTCAATGCATAATAATACATATTAAAAGAGGACTTTGAGAAAATGTGTTCTTCTTATAATTTTTTGCAGGAGGTTTATAATCAGATTCTATAATGACCTAAATTGGAATCTCATACACACTTGTACTACCCTAAGTTGTATAAACACTTTATACTCATTGAAGTCAATTTTACTTTTATTAGTCTATTATTTATAATTGCATGATCTTGTATGAAGTTGGATCATGATTTAATTGTCTGTTTTAGGTTGCCCAAATTAGAGTTCATGCTGAAATGTTAAATGAATTACGCCTGAATACATGATTTAAGCAACATTTTTAATTTTTCCCAATTTCATCAAAAAGCCGATAATTTTTTCCCAATTCCCCCAAAATGGCGTTTCCCAAAATAGGCTGATAAATCCCTGTTGAGTGTAACATTGAAAATTTTCACCCCAAGAAAACCATTGTCAACCGATGCGCAGTCGAGGTTGACAATGGTTTTCGAGGGGAGAAAATTTTCAATGTTACACTCAACTACATGCAATATTTATTATATTATACTGAATGTTTATACAAATACATTTTACAGTGAACCTTGCCCGCATAAATTCTGCGCAGTCAATATTTTTTTGAGTATCACCCATCGTAAAGCAATGTCGACTGCTGCTGCGCTGGAGGGCGTGGCTTCATTACTCAGCGGGTAATAGTGTTTTTTAAAAAATGTTTCTCGACGAATCAGGTTCAACTAATTTACTTGAAAGTATAATATTACAAGTTACACAATATTCCAAAGTTACACAATATTCCATGCTGTTACAAAGTTCTTACCCCAGATTTAATCGGTTTGTAATTAAAGAATGTAAATACATGTATTTTCATTATGTTTACAAGGATGAACCAACCTGGAAATGTATATTTCAAATTGGTTATCATCTCATAAACACCAAATAATAGACACATTTTTAACAGAATGAAAAGGGCAGGTACATTGAAATCAAATAGCTTTAACAATAATTTTGAATCATGACTTAATTACATTAAAATCAAAAGAAAGTCTTGTTACCTCCGATGTGGCACTAAGTTGTTGAACAGTAACATGCCACCGTAATTTATGGGGCATATCTTGAAATCTTTTTCAGTGTCAATATCTGTTATCAAAAATACATAAAAACATTAAATCTTAATGAGTAATCTGCTACTTCTAAGCCTATACAAGTTCTTCGGGACTTTTTAAGAAAACAATTCGAATAGACTCTATTTATCTTTGAATTTTCACCTGTATTCTGAAAGCAAGCAACAAAACGTACATGAACGCACCTAATTTTTTTCTCATTTCTTCCTCCTCCAGCATCACATACCACGTGCCACCATAGCAACATTGATGCGTACCCACCCTTCCGGTCTTGTGACCTTTTACTGCCAACTGCAATTTTCCATAAATGTTCAAGTTCTGCTACATATTGTATTTTTTAAACACATTATTTTTATTCACTGAAGCAGTTTTACCTATGGAGTGATTATAGCATATCAAACTTATGTATTTTAGGAGCGTGTCTCAATACGGAGTATTGTATCCAAAATTTTCACTCAAAGCCTAAAATGGAAGTCTTTGTTGCAATGTTTTGTTTTCTGAAAAGACCGTCGATGACTGGAGGAGAGTCATGGTAATTATATACTGAGAGTGTGTGTAGTCAGTATGGATAGTTTACAATGTACCTGCAAACATCCATTTACTTCGTTGGCATCTAGTAATGGGATCCAAGCAGTCGGTTGTAGGACCTTGTAAGAGTTGTTGTCCAAGTATCCAACATCTTAAAATGTAGAACAAGACATAACTAATAATCAATGTCATTTTAATGTATGTCAAGAGAGAGATATGCGAGTACCTTGATGCCAGGGCACAGTTGTAGCCTCGTTCTGGGGAGTTTTAGTTCTGAGGTTCCACACAGGGTGACCCATTATATCTGGTCCAATCAGCTGTTCGATTATATTTAACAGTCTGTCGTTTGACCAAATGTCACGGAGAGCCTTGAATACCATAAAATGACAAATATAATTAAAATAGGTGAAAATATGAATTTCAAAATAAAACTTTACTTCAAAAATATATATCTTACCTGTGGCATAGAACCTATTTTATGTAACATGATGTTTGCACCTGGACATTCTTTCTCAATCTCGGTGAGTCTTTCGAATAGTCCATACTCTTTGTACAGCTCTGTATTGAAGACATATAGTTACAATACCTTTTTCTACTTGGCAGAATTGTAGGATGTAAATATTTATCGAAAGGCGACAATGCATCGTATATAATTGTTTTAGAAGCATCATTAAGAGGAATACACTGTTCTGCTTTATTGTAGTTACATGTAGATAAAACATAATTTTTCTTACATCTTTATCAGCATTTCATAGTGCATGTAGATTAAAATCATTCACACTCCTTATTATAAAAGGACGTGTCTCATTACGCCTTAGCTTAGAAATCAACCGAAATTGAGAGGCACTACTGCTAAATGATAAATTTTGCAAAGTGGAAATTGAAACTTGACAATTATCAATAATAATATAGACTAAAATATATTTTAATATAATTCATTTAACCCTGATTTCTTAGCTAATTTTACATGAAAATAAATGGAAGATATTATTTTTTTAAGTACTTTTAATGCATATGTGTTACATTCCATTATTTTTATTTCCCAACCATTCCACTGTAATATAGCAAAATTGACATTTAAAAGTTTTTTTCTTAATAGAAAATCCATGGAAACATGTGTACAGACTAATTCTAAAATTTAATAATTCAAAATGTGAATACTCCGTTTGATTGTTACATGTATATAATGAAAATTCTACTGGAATATTAAACCATGGACATACATTACAGAATTATTATATTGTATTATTATTAAAATTGCAAATATGTTCGAGTAAAATAAATATCTGAAAATTGTTATCCCTTTTTAGTACTTGTACTTTTTACTCGATCAAAGACAGACTCGAAGATAAATCCTCACTTGTGATTTTTCCCGCGTTAAACAGCTTGACAACCAGATCATCGACAAGCAATTTGATGGCTTCTCGGCATGCATTTAGTTCCTCTGGCTGGAAAAACTCCTCCACTATCAAATAACCCTAGGATTAAAAAAACTCTCTTCAAATTTTCATCTTATCTAAATAAAACTAGGAGATTCCAAACTTCTACAAAAATATACATTATTGGTCAGGCGCGTACCTAAACGTACGCAAGTGCTTCCATATCATTTTCACAAAAAAGTAATATTAATAATAATAAAACAAAAATTAAATCCCATCATAAATCAGGCAATACTTTAACTTATACTTTTTCTTCTTTGTCGTTTATTTCATGATGAGGAAATAAGCATGTCAAACGTTGAAACTCGGATTATTTTAATGTAACTCTTTTTTCTGGTTACTCAAAATTAAGTGTCAGAAATGCTGAAAACTCGCCAGCTTCCGGGGGCTTCGCCCCCTGGGCCTCCACCATTGGAGCCCTTAAGACGGCCCCCAAAACCCCTGTCTTGATCAGCTTCACATTAAACACCCCTTAGCTACGCCCCTGTTGGTTTTAAAATGCAGGATACTTAGTTTATTTCAATATATATACATATTTATTTTAATCATATGAAAATTTGTGCAAGACGCTACGTGCCTTCCTCCAGGTAATTTGTTTGATAAAGTGTAGTTAATCTTACGTCTGACATGAATTCGGTTTATCATAAGATTTGGGACAGGTGGGCCTGCTTAAAAAAGACAACGATCATTTTAATCTAGCGTGGGGGACACTTGTACTGATATGTTGGTACTAATATTCAAGGTTCTCAGAGATTCTTACAGAAAGACTCAAGTGGTCACTTATGAAATTCTATATTTAATCTCCCCGTTCCTTAGTTATTTATTTAGTGATATTATCTGTTACCTTGGTTATACGACTAAAGAATACTACTACTATACAGTTCTTGACACCTGAAATGTATTTCTTTTTAGCAAAAATGAAATAGTAAACATGGTAAAAAGGAAAATACGTTAAGATTAATACAGAAAAAAATACGGAATCAATGCAATGCTAATAGACTATATGCAATATAAATGTGTGGTTGCTTCCAAAAAATATATACATAAGTAGTCATTCAAGGTTCTTCAATGAGAATATGATCTTGATACATCAACATGGATAAATAGACTTTGTTGAGGAAATATTTAGATTTATATATAGATTTATTCACTGAATTTTGAAAGTTATGAACTATTTTAAGCTAACCAACCAGAAAATAATGTGCCCCCTTCCAGTCTGTACATTGGTTGAAAATTGTTGCTTTTGTTTCAGCATCACACCTATGTGGTTGTGAGTGGGGCTAGGAGGAAGAGCAGAGATAGGACCCCCAATGATAATGAACAGATAATTAAAATAATACTCATTAGCCATGTTTCTGTGAGAACTTCTTTTTTTAATTTGGGGACTTAAATGTTATTATGTCATTATATTACTTATTTGGTCTTATCTTATTTATCCATTAATCTGTTAATAATATTCTATTTATGAATTGCAAGTTCATTTATTGGTGGTGAAAGCAACAAATTGTATTAAATGAAGCAACAAGCACAATACAGACCTCTCTGAAAAAATGTTCGACTTCTTCTTTAGACAGCTGTCCTGGTTTCTTCTCCTTTGGCTGCTCTGGCATGGCATTAATGTTGAAAAGTTCTGGGTGAGCTTCATTTGTGGAGCCTGGAAACGTCTCCATGGCAACAGACTAATGAAACTTTGTTATTATATATTTCACTAAATAATCTGTATAATTAAGAATTTGACAAATTATCAAAATTGTATGCAATTATCATGATTATGTTGTAAGTTTGAGAAAAAAAATGTTTAATAGTATTGCTGTGTTGATTTGATGCTATCAGGAAAGTAGAAAAATGATCTCTGTGTGATTTCTCTCTCTCTCTCAGAAATGAAAAAAATTGGAATTTGGTCATTCTCATAATCCTTTGTAAAAACCTAAACTTGACTTCTTTAAATATTTCCCATAAGGATTTGAGGTTTAAGTTAAATAAAACTTTTGTTGATATGACCTTTGAACAATTGAGCAAAATTTCATCTTCTAACTCAGGAAAACTTTATTTTTATAGTAAAATCTTAAACTGCACTGATTATAAATTGCAGGATTACTTAAAGTTTCCTTTAAAAAAGCATGAAAGATCACAGCTAACAAAATTAAGAATCAGTGCACATTCACTATTCATTGAAACAGGTAGATACTGTAAACCAATAATCCCTAAGGAAAAACATTTATGCTATGCTTGTAAATTATTGGTTGAAAATGAAAAACATTTTGTACTTTACTGTCCTATGTATGACAATCTTCGATTTCAATTTTGTGATATTTTTGATTATAAATTATACTGTAGTACTGATCCCATTAAAGAAATTGTTAACCCATGTGAATATAATACTACAAAACGTTTATGTATCTACTTAGATAAATGCTTTATGCAGAGGAAACAATGCCAAGGACTATATGGAAATGTGTAAAATTGAACTGCATGCAATTATGTTATAACATTCTTCTCTTTTTTTCTGTTATCTGTCATTTGATTTCTTATTTTGACTGTATGCCAACATGGTGATGTCAATAAACTGAATTGAACTGAAAAACCAAAAACCTTATGCATATTTATATGAAGTGCACTGGAGAACTGTACACTTGTGAATTTCCTAAAATCATTTAAGGTTTGATTTTTTGTCAGATGGCAGATAATTCAAAACAAGGGAGTTTATTGGTCTGTAGAGACAACTGTAAAGGGTTAGGAGGTGGATAAAACATATAGGTTGTTTAAAAAATATGTCTTGAATTAGGGAGTGAAAGGTAGTTGATTGACCAATGCTGGAAAGTGGAGAAATTCTCTCCCACTGTGCACAGAAAATCTTGTGCCCTAAATTGCACCATATTTGCAATACGGGATCTGTAGCGCTCTGCATGGTCAAAGAGTAATATATAAAACCATAACGCTACAGTTCTGCAGCTAACCAACTTTCACAATCATAAAGAAGTTGATATACAAATTATACAATATCGGATTTCAATTTATCTTTATGTATACACTGTAAAAGATTTCTCTCTGAATTATAATCGTTCTGTGCCCCTATGATATCAAATCATAAATAAACATTTTGGTTGTTAACATTACCAATAAGAGAAGAAAAGAAAAACGCTCCACGGATACACTAGTAAGCCTAACTCAATATGATTGTAAGCATTGGTCTTTAAAACAAAGAAATTGACATCTTCACAGCGTTAGGGGTCCTGAGTCCACTCGTGGCTGTTGTACCAACAACCACGAGTGTACTCGGAACCCAGATGTTGTGAGAATGAGAAATTGGCTGCGGTTTTTAATGTTATTTACATTAGTAAAACCGTTAAATTGGCATTTTTTCTTTCATTCAGTTATGACAAATGTTTTCTTTCAAAATGACAGTATGACATTATGCATAAATATACCTAAACACTAAATTTTCACTGTGACTGACCAGTAGTGCTTACCTGAGAAGAACGCCTCCTCACTCGGAAGTAAATAAATACTTTGTAAAAACGAAAACAACGCCACGGATTTGATATTTCCGTGCAACATGAAAATCTGAGGATAGCTTACATATAAGAATAATTTTTTTTTTAACAATTTAAGAGTGGTGCTTTATATTTCTCTCTAAAATGTCTTAGTGTTTTGATGGGGCATTTTATTATTTATTTATTATCATGAGAATGCGAGTGATTTTAACGAAATTGCTAACGAACTACATGTACTTTAATTTTACAATAAAGATTCTTTTTAATTTCCGATGTTGTTCCACACTAGCAAATCAGGAGCCCCCTCGCTTTTGACCCAAAATACAGTAAAGATGAATAAATCTATTTTTAGTTAGGATAATCTAAATGTGTCTTGGGACAGACCAGCGGGCACGTAGGTAGTTAGAATAATCTAACTGTGTCTCGGGACAAGCCCTCACCACAAACCGGGTCCGTAGGACAATTTATCATTTTAACGATAGAACGTTCTATCTAGCCCGTAGGGTAATATGACTTTAGCCATAGAACAGTCTAACTAATCCTTTATATTTGTTTTAATTACTTTTTAGATATTGCTTACATATATAATAAAACGTAGGTAACTAAAATAACTTGCAAAACTGTTTTGAAAGTCTTTAAACCCGGGGATTGCCTCCAATAAAACCTTGCTCTAGACGCACGGGGGGTGGGGCGGGGGGTTAAGACGCCCTCACACCCCCAGCCTAATTCCGCCTAACCCCCCTCCCAATTCAAAAATCTTAAGTTCACTACTGCTCCATTTTAAGGCAAAATTACTCAAATTATTAGTTACCAATAGCATAATCTCACACAGAAGAAAATCCCCTGAATTGTATTGCTTTTAATTTAGAAGATAAATTTTCATTTATTTATCAGTTAAAATGGGGAGCCCTTTGGTACATTGTGTGGTACTTTGTCATTATTTCCGCACGATCTGCTTGTCTGTACACTGTACAAGCCCCCCCCCCCCCCCCCCGCCCCCATCAAGATATCAAACAAAACGGTTAAAAAGTTATTTGAAAAAAATGTATATACACAATAGTTAAAACTTTTTTATTATAGTATACGATTCCTGTTTAAAATAAATGTTTTTAACACTGCGGGAGCAAGCATGGATCAATGTCTTTACATATTAGTAAACAGCAAATGATGCTTGGTCTTTATTCTCATTGTCCAGCTACCATTCATTCAGTGGATCCATCTTACATGTCAGAGAAATTCCCAACAGATTTTAAAGTGCAATGATACAGATTTTCTATAGGATAGCAATAATGCTATAGTGTCATAAATATTTATAAATGTAATTAGTGCAGCAATATCTATATAGCTGCTTATCCGTAACTTACTAGTCTTAAGAATTTGGATTGTCAACTACAGCGACAGTCCCATGTGCATTCAGAAAAGTGTTTATCTACTGCGCGCAAAAAAGCCCACAATTGGAGAATTTTATCTCTGTATTGTTAACTTTCCATCTCAAAAAAAATTGCAAACTGTGCTCCTCATAGAGCCTCTATTTTCTTTCACTAATTCTTCTACAGGCACTTGATTCGGTAACAAATTTTTTAACCCGTAGTATAATAATAAGATTATTATACAATGAGTTAAAAAATTATTACCGAATCAAGTGCCTGTGACTTTTACATACATCTTTTCAAAAATCATATTAAAATTATCTTAAATCAATTTAACTTTATAAATTTAAACTTTCTGGATTTAACTAGCCAAATCTAATTTAGATTTAGAATATTTAAATCCAAATTTATGTATAAACAGATAGTGCGCAACCATTACTTTATATTAACGTCAGGTTACGAAAAAAAATACTAGGCGACAGAAAAATCACTGGGTTGAGTATGAATGTACAAATTATACAGTGAGTTGGGCCGAATATTGTCATGCCACCCAAAATAGCAGTATTTATACAAACAAGCGAAATTTTTTTTTTTCGAAGGTCTCAATTTCAGACAGAGGAGAGCTTTGAGAATGCTTTGTTTGTTCCAGCTGCGAAGATGCAGCTGGAAATAATGAGATTTTTTATTCTCGTATTATGCGCAATAATACATTTTTTACTGCATTTAATTGTAGTTTTTTTGGTCTTCATCCCAATTTTTCAGGTACTGAACTACAAATCTGTAGGAACATTATTTCTCAATGCATATATGAATAATGGCAGGAGTTTAAACCTCCTTAAATAAGTAGAATAGTCAAACCTGAACTTAAGTGTTCTCTTTTTTCATATACATACATGTATATTAGAGTGATCTTCGTAACCCATTCAATATTGAATTGCGTATGAACATGCATACACCTTTTAAAAGGTTTCTGGAACGTTATTAAACAAACGTAGCTTGTCAATTGAGAATATGAAATCTTCGTAGAATAGGCGTTTATAACGTAGAAAAATTTATTTCTCAATCTTACATTTGACAACGCCAAAACAGACCTTTAAACTGTGGGATTATTTAGTAACTGTCATCAAACCACTCCAATCCCTTTCACCATCTAAAGAAAAATAAGTAACGTCAGGTGCCTGTGGTACACAGCACTGACACGCAATACTTTACAACTTTTTTTTAAAATTAATGAGCCACTGTGTTTACTACTTTTAATTTCCATATTCAATCCAGTCGAAATTTTGTCTTTTTTCATGAACTACATGTATTCTTTCCAAGCTTGGTCCGTATGTTTGTTCGAATGGACAAGTTCCCACTTCCGAATCCAGGGACCAGAAATAATGGTGTCGAATTCATCATCCTTCCTCTACAATCATTATGTGTAATATCGATCATTAATGTATGTCTAACAAATCAAAAAATTAAATGTAAAGTACTTTAAGTTTCAAAAGAAGATTCATTCTTTTTAACGGTATATCTAATAAGTAAACAAGTTATATTAAATGTGTCTAATGTATGAAATGTATTGGAACAATCAATAGCTGAAATAAATTATTTCACTGAGAGAGAAAAATAAATAACAAGAGGCGCATGGACCACATCGCTCACCTGAGCACTGTGGCTAGGAGAGCAAAAATCAGTTCAGTATTGAAAAGCTTAAATGCATTTAAGTGGTACCAACCTAACCAAAAAACGATTTTGGGGTGGGTGGGGTGGGGAGTGGGGTCATGATTTGAACAAAATTGAATCTACACTAAGGATGCTTACATATTTCTTTGACTAACTGTGGCTTTTTTCCTACAAGTTTGAACTTTTATTGTGGCCCCACCCTACCCATTCATGATCATGATTTGAACAAACTTGAATCTACACTACCTGAGGATGCTTCCATATAAATAAGAGCAATCATGGCTTTGCTGTTCTTGAGAAGAAGATTTTTAAAGATTTTTCCTTTATATCCTATGTAAAACTTTGATCGTCCATTGTTGCCCCACCCTACCCCCGGGAGTCATGATTTGAACAAACCTGAATCTACACTACCTGAGAATGCTTCCGTATAAATATGACCAATCATGGGTACGCTGTTCTTGAGCAGAAGGTTTTTGAAGATTTTTCCTATATACTCCTATGTAAAACTTCAATTGTCCATCGTGGCCTCACCCTACCCCCGGGGGTCATGATTGGAACAAACTTGAATCTACACCATCTGAGGATGTTTCCATATAAATATGACCAATCATAGCTTTGCTGTTCTTGAGAAGAAGATTTTTAAAGATTTTTCCTTTATATTCCTATGTAAAACTTTGATCGTCCATTGTGGCCCCACCCTACTCCCAGGGGTCATGATTTGAACAAACTTGAATCTACACTACCTGAGAATGCTTCCATATAAATATGACCAATCATGGCTTGCTGTTCTTGAGACGAAAATTTTTGAAGATTTTTCCTACATACTCCTATGTAAAACTTTGATCGTCCATTGTGGCCCCACCTAGGGTGGGAGTCATGATTTGAACAAACTTGAATCTTCACCACCTGAGGATATTTCCATATAAATATGACCAATCATAGCTTTGCTGTTCTTGAGAAGAAGATTTTTAAAGATTTTTCCTATATATTCCTATGTAAAACTTTGATCATTCATTGTGGCCCCGCCCTACCCCCAGGGGTCATGATTTGAACAAATTTTAATCTACACTATCTGAGGATGATTCCACATAAGTTTCATTTTTCCTGGCCCATTGGTTCTTGAGAAGAAGATTTTTAAAAGATGCCATAATTTTTTCACTATTTTATAATTATCTCCCCTTGGAAGAGGACGTGGCCCTTTATTTGAATAAATTTGAATTCCCTTCTCCCAAGGATACTCTGTGTGAAGTTTGGTAGAAATTGGCCCAGTGGTTCTGGAGAAGAAGATGATTTTGTGAACGACAACGACGACACATAACGGACAAATTTTGATCAGAAAAGCTCACTTCAGCCTTCGGCTCAGGTGAGCTAAAAAGAGGGAAAATTTATTTTCTCCAGTAACAACTTTGACTAAGTATATCATTATGCATGTAAGTTAGCTAGTAAATTGGTGCTATGGAGCTTATAAGCAGCTTCAGTTTGTGGATATGAATTAAAAAAATAATGAAAACCATGATGAATAATTTTGTTAACGCTTACGTCTACAATGCTGCCATCCTTGTTGCGCAAAAGTTTTAGTCTTTCCACTGAATTAAACATGCTCCAGTCAATTTTCATATCCGGGTCCTTGGATGAGCGAAGTATGACATCATCCTTCAGACCATGCATGCCATTCGGGAGACCTGTTTTCTTAAATCGGAAATCAACGCTCCATCGGATTCCGTTGGAATAATTTTCGAGACTAAATAGAAAAAAAATTAGTGGAACTTTTAGGTAGTTTCTTACTTCTTAAATGAAAATTACCAATATTTTCACTAGTCTTGTGGAAAGTCCATACCTTCGATGTGACAGGAAGTTACTGAAGACTAGTATTCCACCGTAAGGAACAGGACAGATTTTTGCGTTTTTGACGTCAACACCTGTAGAAAAAAATATTTTGATATTCTGTGGCAAATTCTCATTACCCGACTCTGATTAACATTAATGACCAATCGTAACTACTAGGCCATTTCCGTGAACGATAATTTCTCTCTCGGAAAATGGCCGAGTTGCTAGGAATGCATTAATGGAGAATAAAATAGTGCATTTTCTTTGAATTTTTGTTTAAATTTTAAAGAATAAAGTACAAAATATTTCATCATACCGAGATTATTTTTCATTTCCTCTTCCGGTAAATTAACATACCAAGTGTCACCAACACAACTATAATGGCGTCCAACTTTGCCTTTCAAATGGCCTCGTGGAAGAATCTGAAATAATGCCAGGAAATCTCGAATGACATACATGTAACTTTCTGAATGTGACAAAAGTATTCCATTAACTTACTTGTTTCTTTCACAAACAGACGACAGCAAGCATTTCAATTGTTTTATAAAAAATCTGGAATTCACTAAGGGTCTTGATACAGTACTTTATATTATAAAACATTAAGAATGTCTCACTTGATATTGCAAATTAATTGACATGATCATAGAATCATTAGGTTGCCTTCAAACATACATTTTCCAATGGGCAGTGTGAAGTTACGTAGTCAATATGAAGATATATCATTTCTGTTACAGTATAACGAAGGTAATACCTGCATGCAACCGTTTTGTTCATTAGCATCAACAAATGGAATCCACACTGTCACAACAAGAGTCTGATAAGCATCGACACTCTGGTAGCCTAAATCTGAAATTTGGAATCAAGACAGTTTGTATGTAAAGAATCTATATGAATCTATAGTTTTCTGTATAGAAAGGAGATGGGTGAACAAGGCGTGCAGAATGCCTATAGCTTTAGATATATAAAAATCATGTTGAATTTGTGAATTGGTATTCAGAGTAAAGTTCTCATTATTGAAATTTATGAAATTATGATAAACAAAAATTTTCGAAGGAAAATTTTCTCGGCAGAAATTATCTTGTTATTGAAAAATAATGTGGTATTCGTGGGGTTCGAACCCTAACAATAAAACTCCTGAGTATCATTTTCCTTTGAGACCATTACGCTATACAACTCCTAATAATAGTGGCAGGTGGCAACGCACTTTGAAAAAAAAATTCAAAGTGCGTTAAAATTAGGACAAAATCAACGCACTTTAAAAAAAAATGTTCAAAGTGCGCTAAATTTGGGACAAAATCAACGCACTTTGAAATTTTTTTTCAAAGTGCGTTTGTACATCAACATATTTTACCATGGAGACACTTAACGCACTTTGAAAACAAAAATTCTGGACTTAGATTTTAGTAATAGACAGCAATAATTTATTATATTTCTTCCGAAAAACTGATAAATTGATCTACCCTCATCGAGAAAGAGAAGACGGGTAGAAAGTCCCTCAGCCCAACTCTCTATCTTTCCTACACAAATATATGTATTTACATAACTGGTATGACATTGATATTATTTCTCTCAATAAATTTGAGTTAGCGTAAAATAGATGATAAAATTGAGATGAGCACTCCTGAAAAAAAATTACGCACCCTATTATATTAGAGAGCCGCATAACCTTTATTCAAAATGTATCCACAATGATTCCTCAGAAAAAAGGCATTTACATGGTTGTTAAAACATGCTATTTGACATGTCTAGCGTTTTTATGATATCAAATTACAGATTTAGAAGTAATCTGACTGCATAACTTCTTTGAGAAAAAGTTATTAGTGAACGAGGTAAAAATTTCAGTCGAGTGAGTAATGTGGCTAAGGTTTATTTTTCTTACTATCAAATAAATGAGTCAACCATTGTTTCATATGTTCACAATAGATAGATAGATGAATATGATAGAAACATAGATGAGAGAGAGAGAGAGAGAGAATTTTCATGGTATGGAAAATCATAATTGCTCCCTTTTCCCTAAGAAAAATGCGATGCTTTAAGTCACTTATCGACACCTATATCTACCGAACTTATTCGAGACTGGATAAAATTTTAAAAAGAAAAGAAAAAAAAACGAAACTGTGCTATAAAACAATCATTCCTCCATTATTTCTAAAAGACCCATTTCACTTTTATAACAGTTACGAGACACTTTGGAAACAAGGTAACTCCTAAAATTCTTTAAAACGTTTATATCTCAGATCCTGACGTCATAACCGAAAAGTTATCCAACCAGGTTCAAATAATTATTTATCATATCTAAAATTTGCAAGAATATTTGACCAAGCCGTGCACATTTTTTTTCAAAGTGCGTTAATATGGTCGATATTAACGCACTTTAAAAAGATTTTTTTTTTCAAATTGCGTTAACATGATTCCAAAATTAACGCACTTTGAATTTTTTTTTCAAAGTGCGTAATTTTTTAAAGTGCGTCTTAACAGTGGCATTTAAATTGTTTGTGATATGACCCTTGACAAGGTGCGAATCTTATGTCAAAAAAGTGGGTTTTTTAAAAGGATAGTGGGTCTTTGCTCCATATTTTTGTTAACCAAACAAAATATGTTTTTTACGCAGACGTTGAAGATAAACTTTCAAAAAAAAAAAAAATGAAGCGAAGACCCAATCATATCGAAAATTATTACGTACGAAAAAATTATCCTTTTTGCCTTCTTTCGTGTATGTATGTTATTTCATAGGCAAATAACTTCAATCTGTAATATTTTTGAAAATTGTGGAAGTTTAACATAAAGTTTATTTAAATGTTAGATGAAATATCAAAAAAAAGTTTGGTACAATTGAGATTTAATTTTTCACCTTTATGTTTGCATTCAATATAGGCATTCCCTCGTCTTGTTCGCCCATCTTCTTAAAAGATCACAGTTATGAAAATGAAATTAAAATTGTCACCTTGGTGCCATGGTACCGTAGCGGCTTCGGTTGTAGGTATCTTACATCGAAGACTCCAGTCTGGCATTCCAGCTATGTCCGGTCCGAGAATCTGCTCCATCAGATTCAGTAACCTCTCGTTACCCCAAATTTTCATGAAAGCCTGTGTATAATGAGGAACTTTTATTTATTTTCATTTATTTATGAACATCTTTAAGAGGTTATTACAGGATGTAAATTCCATGCAGTGAAAACATACCTCTGGAAGTTTTCCAGTCTTGTGAAGTAATACATTGGCACCTGGAAATTCTTCGTCCAGCTTGGTAAGTCTTTCGAAGACCCCACAATCTTCATGCAAATCTAGAGAAAGTAATCGGTGTTATCGAATAGAACGAAATCCATTTTTTTTTTTAGAAATTAGGACTACATGTATTGTTATGGAAAGTCATTCAAGATCTCTGTACTTTGCTTTAATCAGAAAATAGGGAATTTCACATTTTTTTTTTCTATTAACCCACTTTTGATTTTGCCGCCCTTGTATAGTTTCTGAGCCAACTCGTCCACCAGTTCATTGATAGCTTTCCGGCAAGGATCAAGCTCCGTAGACGGATCAAAGAATTTATCCAGTTGAAAATAACCCTACAATTAGTGCACACTGCTTATTTTTAATGTACTCAAATCAAAGAGGACCCATGCAGTAACGGTGACGTTCTTTTGGGTCAATGCAAGAAGTTAGACTTTACCCTAATCAATATAAAAAAGTTTAGGGACTTTGCCCTTCCTATACAGTATGAAATGATTTCAGCAAAAATTTAGCAATTAATATTTAACTGCAATTTTGTCAAAATGAACTGTCTCATTTAATCTGCAAAAGTACCAACGTAATAGTAATTCAAGTAATTTTAAAGTCCTTACTACTTACCTCTTCGAAGTACTGCTTGATAAGATTTTCGGGGACCTGGCCAGGTTTTAGCTCCTTGGGTTGAGGTGGCATTGCCCGGATGTCTACGATTTCAGGGTGTTCCTCGCCCGTATATCCAGGAGCCGCTTTCCGGGGATCCATTTCTTACCACCAAATATGAATATGCGATGTGCAAATATTTGTGTACTTAGGAGTTATCTATGCTCAAGTTGAAGGACAATAAATTAGGCATATAGTAAAATATGGTTGTGTTGGGCCATCTTTACGTACTCCGTCAACCTGTTGTTATGCCCCCGTAATCGAAGATTTCGGGGGCATAAAGTTTTTGGCCTGTCCGTCCGTCTGTCTGTTTGTCTGTTAATCTGTTTGTCTGCGAATACTTTAACCTTGCCCATAACTTTTGATTGGCTGGAGCTATGGCTTTCATATTGTACAGGTGTATTCCTTGTGACAAGACTTTCTTTGGGTGTGAACATACTTGACCTTGACCCACTTTTGAAAAAAATTACCAAACTTTTACCTTGGCCATAACTTTTGAATGGTTGGTGCTTAGGCTTTCAAAGTCTATTGCATATTTCTAATGATAATACCTTTCCTTGGATACAAATATTTTTTACCTCTTGACCTTAACCGTGGAGTTTGACCTACTTTCAAAAAACTTTAACCTTGGCCATAACTTTTCAACAGTTAGTGCTAGGGCTTTCATATTTCACAGGTATATTCCTTGTGACAAGGCCATCCCTAAGGTACCAACAATTCTGACCCTTTGACCTTTGAGTTTGACTTACTTTAGAAAAACTTGTCCAATAACTTTTGAATGGTTAGAGCAAGGGCTTTTATATTTCACAGGTGTATTTCTTGTGGCAAGGCCTCCCTTGCGTACCAACAATTTTCAACCTTTGACCCTGAACTTGGAGTTTGACCTACTTTTGAAAAAAATTAACCTTGGTCATACCTTCTGAACAGTTGGTGCTAGGACTTTCATATTTCAAATGTGTATTTCTTGTGGAAAAAAAACCTTCCCTGGGGCTCCATTAAGTTTGACCCTTTGACATTTTTTGAAAAAACTTTAACCTTGGCCATACCTTTTGAACAGTTTGTACTTGGACTGTCTTATTTCACAGGTGTTTTTCTTGTGACAATACATTTCTTCGGGTACCATTATTTTTTATCTCTTGGCTTTGACCTTAGAGTTTGACTTGCATTTGAGAAACTTTAACCTTCGCCACGAGCTGCCGTACGGGGGCATCAGTGTTTCACAAACACATCTTGTTTTTTTTATGTTCGTTATGAAGATTGTACATGTATAATTTTTTTTGTTTTAAAAAGGTACAATAGCATTCATGGTTTTAAAGGGTTTAATTAAGTAGATCAAGTGATAGATGATTGTCGTCAGAGTATTTTCATCAACTTGTTCAACAAAAATAATCCATAATATGAAAATTCTTATGAATTGAATTTGTACAAGAGTCACGTATTCATCCTTAGTGCAACAAATTCTAAATACCCAGTTATATAACATTCTCAAACGTTTAAGATTTGTTTATTTTGTGTATGACTATCAAGGAAGAGAAAATAAACTTACTATAGATGGATTAAAAATAAATTGCATGTTAGTTATTCTTTTAAAACCCTTTCTTCCTGAGGGTGTGTCTCTGCCCTTTTGCGCCCCGGACTTATTTAGTGCAAAGCGAAAATGATAGTAAAAAGACATGTAGTATATGTGTTGATTAATCTATTTGGTAGCTTTTTCCTTCGACAAACCCATGATTATGTTCTCCTTGGCAGTGATTTGATTAAAAGATCTCACTTCTTATGCATCACACCAAACCAAAAATACGTTCATGTCCTTTATGAAATTTAAAGCATGTATATAACATCTAACTTTCTCTATTTCACCATGTCTACACCGTCTTCCTGCCTCCCCTGAGCATCCCCTGCCGACCGGTCACACCCGCCGTGTTCTTCTTGTCATGATCGGTAAGAAAAAAACGGAAAAATCCGTAGACAGGTTAGTGTATAAGTAATGGCCTAACAATAAGTATGAAAAACATCAGTCAGCATTTGACTTAATGATAGGTTGTATGTGCTGACAAGGTCATTGTATCAACCGTAAAACCTGCGAAATGATGACTTCAAACGAGACTGTTGATATCCTTGTTTTATCAACTTGTTTGTCAATAGTTTGCCTCGTTTTAGAAATTGTTCATACGTAGAACATGCTCTTGCTCAAGCTACATCTAGATGTAGATCAATATCTGTGCATACGTATATTTACTAAACAGCATATTTAGGTATACTAATAATACAGCTACATATCTTAAAACCAAACCGAAAAAATTTCGAAAATGTGATTGATGAAACATGATGATGAATGGTTGTATTGACAGAACAAAGCTGCATTATTACATGCCAAATGCAAACATTGATTGTCGTAGAAACGTTAACACCTGGAATAAAAATTAAAACATGTGGTTCCGCTTTTTTTCTTTAAAAAAATTGAATGATACTTTACCGTTCATATCAATAGCCTATTTTGTATTGAATCATGTATATCATTGAATAAATCATGAATAAAATTCTAATGAAACACCCTGCTGTCATAACAAATATCACAGAAACGAGCACAAATATACTTGCATTGTTGTTAACTATAAGATGTAAAAATCTTAGAATTGTTGTTGATAATTAACAATTGTATCATATATTTGTCCAAAAGAGACCCAATGAATCCAGCGAAAAGTTTGTTGTAGATAACTGAGAAAAACAACCCTTCCCTCTCTCGGAAATCTAAACTTTTCCCTCCTTTGGGGAGGGGGATCATCACTTTAAGTAAATCGATATCGCACTGACATGCATATTACAACATTTTTAGCAAACGAACCAGTGAATTTACGCCTTTTTATTTCCATTTTCATTGCAGTCCGAATTTTCTCTTTCTTCATGAACTACATGTATTCTTTCCAAGCTTGGTCCGTGTGTTTGTTTGAGTGGACAAGTTCCCACTTCCGGATCCAGGGACCAGAAATGATGGTGTCAAATTCATCATCCTTCCTCTACAATAGAAAAACATTAAAGTCTAATATTATTCTAATATTTATCCAACAAATCAAAAATAAGCTCTGTAAAGTACCTAAGATACAAAGCAGATTCATTTCTTTTAATAACACATATTTAATTGCTTTGTATCTTATCTATTAATTGAGCTGAATAATCAATAGTTGAAACAAAACAAAGGGGGGGGGGTACTTTCACCAGAAGAAACTTTAATTAAGTAACTTAAACCCCTCCCTTCCTCTGTTGTTGGTTACTCACTTAGGGAATCGGTTCTATTGGGCTTATCAGCAGCTTCAGTTTGAAGAAATCAATCAACATCAAATGAAAATTGTTCTTTATATTTAACTCTTACGTCTATAATGCTGCCATCCTTGTTGCGCAAAATTTTCAGTCTTTCCACTGAATTAAACATGCTCCAGTCAATTTTCATATCCGGGTCCTTGGATGAGCGAAGTATGACGTCATCCTTCAGACCATGCATGCCATTCGGAAGATCTTTTTTCTTGAATCGCAGATCAACGCTCCATCGGATTCCGTTGGAATAATTTTCGAGACTAAATAGAACAAATTTAACAGATTTTTTTCTATAATGTAAATAGCCATATATTTACATCCACTGAATATTATTTCCTTTATTTCTTATGAAAACCATTGCCGTTTATCAGCCAGTAAATGCCACTAAGCAAGCCACTTCCCAGCTGCAGATTTCTTGAGCAATGGCCCTTCCATCAATTATGCATACAATGACATACACGTCTATAATACAATTTTTAACATATTAAGATTTACTTTAATTTTTTTTCATACAGATATAAATATAAATAAAATGCCTTTCTTAGTTCGTTAGTACGGGAAATTGCAGAAAAAATACATAACCCGCGTAAGCTGCGACATTAATTCTCGTACTAACGACCAAAGAAAGCATTTTATTGTTTAAATTTAAGCTAGTCCTGTGGAAAATCAGAACATACCTTCGATGTGGCAAGAAGTTACTGAAGACTAGTATTCCACCGTAAGGGACGGGACAGATTTTTGCGTCTTTTACGTCAACACCTGTAGCAAGCATTAATTCTTGCAAATTTGTTTTTATCAAACTCTGTTTTACTTTATATTTTGGATTGAAATACATTTTCCGTATTCCAATTACCATTTTTATTATTTTTAATCAAAGACCAGATTTACGAATTGTTTCACCATACCGAGATTATTTTTCATTTCCTCTTCTGGTAAATTAATATACCACGTGTCACCAACACAACTGTAATGGCGTCCAACTTTGCCTTTCAAATGACCACGTGGAAGAATCTGAATTTATTTTAAAGAATCTTAATTGGCATAATTTTTTGGATGTCGTAAAGCTCTTAATAGTTATATTAATAGTTATATAACACTTTGCTTTTTTATTTTACGAGTGAACCAAAGAACAAAACAAACACCCCACCCCCAAACTGTAAAACACTCAGGTCCCAGGATAATAAATTATCTTAAGCTTAAGTTAGAATCTATATATTGTTCTGCAAGTATTTACGATTCAATCATTTCAAAGTGAAAACGCAATTCATAATCATCTGCAGATTTAGAGTATCGGTTCACCGATATAAATATGTTGCAGATGACTGAAGTTTCATTCTTTCCCATCATCCCAGGGCTAAAAATCACTCAAACTTAATGCATCAATTAATTTATCTTAAATAGCGGTAATGGAAAATCTTGAGCTGTATATTGCACTTTATTTATTTTAATAGAATGCGCAAGGGTTTGTGTGAACTGAGTTATAGATTTTAATAACAGTATAGAGTAGAGTAATACCTGCATGCAACCGTTTTGTTCATTAGCATCAACGAATGGAATCCATGCTGTCACCACAAGAGTCTGATAGGCGTCAACACTCTGGTAGCCTGAATCTGAAATTTGAAATAGACTTTATTTATACTTTATCTTTTGAATCTAGAGCTTACCTAAAAGGAATAAATTAAAAGATCTAAAATGTGGAAATGAAATTAAAATCGTCACCTTGGTGCCATGGTACTGTTGCAGCTTTTGTTGTAGGTGTCTTACAACGCAAACTCCAGCTTGGCATTCCAGCAATATCCGGTCCGAGAATCTGCTCCATCAGATTCAATAACCTCTCATTACCCCAAACTTTCATGAAAGCCTGTTTATGATTTATGATGGGGTGTTTATACATGTAAATTGTAGATACATAATTCAAAGGCTCTTCCTTCATGTAAACTCAAAATAATACCTCTGGGAGCTTTCCAGTCTTGTGAAGCAAAACATTGGCACCAGGAAATTCTTCGTCCAGCTTGGTAAGTCTTTGGGTGAGCCCTAACTCTTCATGCAAGTCTACATTTAGAAGCGAAAATAATTGTGCAACTGTTGGATACTATAATGATATACATGAAATTAGAAATTAGAACAACTACTTGTCATGGAAAGAAGCTGTCCAACTACGTTCTCCATTCACTGCTTTTATAGATGGAAAGTTTAAGACGTTTTATTCTTCTTTTGTATTCAAAGCATAACTCACTCTTGATTTTGCCGCCTTTATATAGCTTTTGGGCTAACTCATCCACCAGTTCACTGATAGCTTCCCGGCAAGGATCAAGCTCCGTAGGCGGATCAAAGAATTTATCGAGTTGCAAATAACCCTAAAATTGGTTCACACTGCTATTTTTAAATGTATCGGAATTATAAAAGACCCACTTAGTAAAAGGAATATCCTGAAAAGTTTTTGCAAGAATCCACATAAGCATATAAAAGATCTTTTCCCTTGGTTTAGTATGTGAATAAAATATTTTTAAATTATCAAAAGGCAGCGAATATGATATTGCAAATTTGTCAAAATGAATTCCCTTTTGCAAAAGTATCATATCAAGTAATTTTGCTAACCTCTTCAAAAAATTGCTTGATAAGATTTTCGGGGACCTGGCCAGGTTTTAGCTCCTTGGGTTGAGGTGACATTGCCCGGATGTCTACGATCTCAGGGTGTTCCTCGCCCGTATATCCAGGTGCCGCTTTCCGGGGATCCATTGCTGACCACCAAATCTGAATGGTGCATATAAGTGTGTACTTTGGAGTTATCTGTGTGTGCATAAGTCAGGCATGTACTAAAATATGGTTATCTTGTATCTCCTTAATAGAAATTCAATTTGTATTCATGTATGTTTTTTTTAATCTCAAATAACCTTTTTAAGGAAATGACGTGGGTTTTTTTCTAACTGTGTAAGCATGCAAGTCTTAGTTGAAAAGGTAGAAAAATCAATGTCAAGTCTTTTCATTCAACAGAATAAAGATACTCGAGTGACTCGTAAAAGTGCTTAAAATAAAATCAGAATTTGTTTTGAACATATTTTATTCACAATATATCATATTTTTTCTGCAGAAACTGCAACGTTAATTCCCGTACTATCAACCAAAGAAAGAATTTTATATCTAGGAAATAATTGTCTAGTTTTTTGGTTTATTTAAGTGATCAATCAGTTTGCTTGCGTGATAATTAGCAAAAGCGCCGAAGGTGTCTATGCATAAAATTATCACGCGAGCAAATTGATTGATCATCATCATAAAACCAACACGCATACAAAAGACAGTTTTTCCTTATATTTATATTTTTACCCGATCCTTGTCTCAATGAAAAATGTTTTTATTCAATAATAAGGAATCTGCGCCAGCGCCATCCAATGTATTACAAAGCAACACACAGCGAGAAAGCATGCAGTTCTGCTACGTGCTGAGCAAATGGCTTTATGAGGATATAAATCTGTTACCTAATTTGTAGTTTTATCTCGGACAAAAACATTCGAAATTGTAAATATTGTTTAATTAAATGTTGATCATAAGTAGTCAGTGTCATATGTGCTTCCTTCACTAGAATTTGTTACAACCCTCGTAACCCCTCGCTTTAATCGACTCTTGCAGGGCGAAAAGGAAAGTCATGCACACTATACAAAAAGCCAAAGAGAAAGTAAAAATCAGAATATCAATTGTCATAAAAATATGAGCTTTCTTATTTTCAAATTCAGAAATTTTGTACTAATGTTTCTGACACAGCTAGCTACATGTACATTGTAGGAAGAGGAATAGCTGGCGCTTCTCACACTTTCACAGATTTTTTGATTGACAGTGGCATTCATTGCTACTTTTCAGCATTGCAGTAACTCTAAAGTGCATTTTATTTTGTGTTTGAACGAACTTTTTTCATGCATGTTATAAAAATTTTCTTAAATATGATTAAACTCTTCTTGCGCATAATCAAAATACTTTATTTTTATTCACCCACTTAAACAAGAATTAATAATCAAAAACTGTTTTATGTCTTAATATCACAAATAATTGTACATGTACATGGAAAGTATAGATAAAAAATTAAAATGATCCTGTCAGCCATGATATATGGCTGATTGCACAAACATAGTTTTTTAAGAGAGATAGGTAAGTATAGTCTTCAGCTCTTTGACTTTTCTTTCTGTTGGTGCTTTTGGACATGCGTATTAATGTGAGTTATCTCCCATTTTCTCATCCAGGGCCCCTGCACGGTTGTATCGAATTCTTGGTCCTCTTTCACCTGCAGTGATACAAATCATTGTAAGAGAGTAATGGTATAAATGAATATATATTTTTACATTACAATATGATTTTAATCTCATGCTCCTATCACTTGGTTGAGTTTCTCTATGGCAGTGATTAGAATCTAATCTAAATACCTTCTGAATCGGTATGCTACGATTCGGAAAAAGTCCCAAACAATGTTAATAGAGTTCTGGTATAAACTGAAATGACCATATCCTTGTATGGTTTTTCTCTTATTTATTTATTTATTTATTTATTTATTTATTTATTTATTTTGGGACAAAATATAGTCTAAGAACAATAATTTATGAAAAATGTCGAAAAGTCCTCAGGGTGTATAGGGGGAGGGGGGGGGTCTTATCCACAAGTGACCATTTACTAAAGAAAGGGGACTGAGTCCATTCCATAACATCTGGTCCCTTTGGACTAAATAAAACTAAATAATCAACTGTAAATTAATGCATACGTCAACAATATCTTTGACGGATTTCATCTGGAGTTCCGTTCTGTTTAGAGAATCAAAGGTTTCCCAGTCGATCTCCATGTTAGGTTTCTCTTTCGTGCGCATTATGACGTCAGGTTTGAGCCCAAACATCCCGTTATTTTCGCCTGGAACTTTGAACCTAAGGTCTACACTCCAGCGGATGTGGTCCGATTTGTTGTCAAGACTTTAATGAAGAATTTTTTTTAAGTAAGTAATTTAGATCTATTTTCAAATCATGAAAATGACTAGACTTAATGATATTTGAAGCAAATCATCAATGGGACTTTTTTTTATTCTTTCGAAATCTATGACATAATAGTACACAGTACTTTGATAATATTTTACCTTCGGTGGGGAATGAAATTATTGAAAAGTAGAAATCCTCCGTAGGGAATTTCACACACAACCGCATCTTTTGTTGAGCAACCTACAAACAAAAAAAAGTTCTTTATAATAATGTTTAAACTAGGATTGCATAAATTACATTTTTTTCTGAACCTTTGTCGTAGCTTTGGTCTCTTCACGGCCTGTAATGAGCAGATATAACAACCAGAAACAGTTGAAATTCTGTGCTGAAACATAAGGAAGTATACGATTCGTCCGACATTTTCTCCAAAATAGATTGTCACAATAATTTTATTGTTCCAAAGCACATTCAGCATTACTTTCCGAGTTTCATTAAGATTCACTGACCCTCTGATAAGAGAGATAACTTTTGCTGTGATATACTAGTAAGAAAATAATGTGATTTTTTTTCCACTTTGCCCCGTAAATGTACGGTTTAATTCTGTGCATTTTATTAATAAATTAGATTTATTAAAGCATTGCCGTTAAAGCAAAATTTATATCATGGACAGGGAGACCCTCAAATGTGTATTGCGTTATCAATCACTTTACTGAGACAGACAGCAGGGTACAGAGTTCTCACCCAGCCTCTTTTTCATTTCCTCATCCTCCAACATGATATACCATGTGTCCCCTGCACAGCACTGGTGCACCGCAACCTTTCCGCTCAAATGACCCTTCGGTATTACCTTTAATATACAATGGACAGTAAATTAAATTGACAATGAATTTTGAGTTATGCTTTGTTGTAGATCTATTGTATTTCGTAAAAGTTTTTATTTTTCCTTTCAAATATCTGTGATATTAATGTATCTTTAAAAATATCGATTTTTGGACAAATTTTGAGTTTTATTTGTATGGCATATTTCTCTTTCTACATTACCTCCATACAACCATTCTTTTTGTTTGTGTTGACAAATGGGATCCAAACAGTAGGCATGAAGACTTTGTAAATGTCTTTGGACAGATATCCTGCATCTAAAATCATCAATAACTGTAAACAACTACTGTTGCCTGTATTCTACTTATGTAGTAAGTTTTATTGAGATACATGGACGTCTAAAACGTTAGGAGAAGTAGCATTTTAAAAGGAAATTTCTATTTTTAGAAAGCATTAGAATATCGTTCGTCGAAATCAAAATCCGATACATGTACTGTAAAATCACTCATTTTCGTGGGATCAAATTTTCCTGATTTATGAAAAAATACAATTCAAGGTGATTTCATTTATTAGTTAGTAGACACGTACACGATACTGTACTCTGTAATTTTTAAAATTTCGTGGAGGACATGAATTCGTGGGAATCTCCATACCATGAAACAACGAAAAATTAAACCCCAACGAAAATTTGTTATTTCACAGTATATAAAATTATGTATCTTAGTGTAGTATAGTTGCGTACTTTTTCAAATCGGATTAAAACTGTAGGAGGAAGAGCGTTTTGAGAAAATGTTTATTAACAAACAGACAGTCGTACAGATATGTGACCATTGCATAAACTCTTCCGGTCTCTGGCCAGTAGAGCTAAAATGTGCTTGACGAATGTAAAAAAAAAAAAAAAGACTTTCTCAAGAAAATTCTCATTAATTTTGACACCATTACTGAGATGACATGCACTGCTCCAGCACAAAGATTTTATGATTGTTTACTAATCGAAAGATCTGGAACGATCAGTAACTCAGGCATTACTTCTGGTTATATTCAATATTTTGTGAATCACATTATTTTACGTTTTTTATTTGTGATTAGACCTTTTTTCTCCGAAAGTACAAATTCTGACATATTACAAGTATGCTATTATATATAGGCATTATATAAAAACTAAATTAGTGAATGTTTGGATTGAAACCGTAAACATTTATTGACTAGGTTTGAGGACAACGTGTTTTTCGGACCCGAAAACCGAACTGTTTGCTTGAGGCCGTTAGGCCTTTCTTTAAGAATATCCATGGTTTCAAAGGCTCTCCATAAATAACATTTTCATTAAATTTCAAAAATGAAATTAGAAATACATAATAAATTTACTGAAGACAAGAAGAAATATTCATATCAATTCAGCCTTGATCACCACAAAGAGAAAAGTATTTTTGCTAACTAAAGGGCTTGGATGGTGCTTATGGATGGATGTTAATCACAAATAAATACCAGTTTAGGTTCAGGTAAGTCAGATTAAAGATAACTGTATTTCCAATTCCCGCGGGTAGGGTTTTTAAAATTCATTTTCTTCCACCCAAACTGTCATTTTGCTAATATCCTTATGAAAACTGAAAAAAAAAATCATGCAATGTATAAGGGCTACTAATACGTTCTCAATACCTTGGTGCCATGGTACTGTTGTGGCCTCGTTGTGAGGTGTTTTATCCCGCAAATTCCAGTTGGGCATACCCGCAATGTCTGGACCAATCAGCTGTTCTATTAGGTTTAAAAGTCTCTCGTTGCCCCATAGTTTCCTGAAGGACTGTTAAAAAGACAAAAGTATTGTTTACATAAATCCAAAGTAATTTTGACTCTGATACAATCCGTAAGTAGGCTGTTTTTCATGAATCCAATTAACTCAGGTTGATGCGTAATTATGCAAAGTTCACAAATGCTTCCTTCCTTCAAGAAAAAAAATTATCTACCGATATACATACATGTCCAGTTGATGTTTTAAACACATAATAAAAATTTTACTTAGGCCCTATAGCTATATACACTTACCGGCGGTAAACGGCCGATTTTGTGCAGCAAAATGACCGCTCCAGGGAACTCTTCATCTATCTTAATCAAACGATGATCGAGGTCGTATTCCTCGTAGAGATCTGAAAAAATGCCATTGTGATATTCAGTTTCAGAATTTTTTTTCACATTTGTTCAATAATTTTTTTTTCTTTTTACCATCGCATCCATTTGCAAAAGAAGTATAAAATAATAAGTAGTTTAACTTTTTATTTTTCCCGCCTTGTACAGCTTGTTTGCTAGTTGATCAACTTCGTCCTCTAGATCGTCCCTACAAGCCTGGAGCTCGTCATCCGTAAAGAAGTCCTTTATTATCAAGTAACCCTGAAATACGAGACGATGTTCATCACAAAATTGTGTAATGTTAATGAAAAGTGTTTGATCAATATTTCCGAGTCATGAGTCATGACAATCTAATTAAAATCAGATATTCCGAATCCGCTACCCCTTCTCAAGCGGTAGCGGATTCGGAACATCTAAGTTTAATTAGATTGGAGTCATGATACGTTAGGCTAGTATTCAAGGGAAACCACGTGTTTTCCTGGAATTATTCAGAATGTCAAGGCTATATACGTGTTCACGCATTGTCGATTCCAAATTGGCCTAGGCATGCATAATGTTTCAGAGCAATAGTATCCGTTTTAATTTCATTTTCCTAAAATATTTGCCTTCCATCTATATTTACCAAAATGCACTACATTGTATCGCTGTGTTTTCTACTGTGCCTCTCCTTAAGACTGACCTTTACCCTCAGATAAGACAGCCAAGGGTTTTTACAATCACTGTTTCAGAAAATTTAAAATGGTTGTTGAACCAAATTTAGAAATAATCCCTAGCTATGAAAATCAAAAGAATTTAAAGAAGGTGGTGCATAAGCCCAGACTTGGCTCAATTTCTGCGATAAGTTATCTCCAGTAACACTTCACATTGCCTCTTATCTAATCCACGTTTCGGATGTCCTCTTTATAGATGTCTCTGCTAAAAATAGCATCTACATTTTACATACTGCCTTCAAAATTGATCCATCACGTGGAATCACACAAGGAAAATAAAGTATTTACAAAAAAAGGGGGAAATAGTATTATATTTTAGTTGATATTTTGAAAATTTCAGATATAGATTCATAAGAGATATGAGACTCTGAGTCTCAGTTTAGTTAACACCTAAAGTTAATGTGGCTCATACCTCTTCAAAATATTGCCGAATCAGGTCTTCCTTAAGCTGTCCGGGCTTTAGTTCTTTCGGCTGCGGGGGCATCGCACGAATGTCACACAGTTCTGGGTACGCTTCGCCTGTGTACCCAGGCCATCTGAAAGGGTCGTCTTCAAGTCGGGCCTTTTTGGGATTTTCGGCACCATTTTCTGTCATCTTCAATTCTACACGCACTTGGCTAATTTATTGCATAAAGAGAAGTAAATATATATATATACAAAATCTCATACCGAAGATGTTCTGTTTAAAAAATACACCAACGTTTTCTTCGTAACTGTAGTTATCAATAAGAAGTTGAAATAAAATTTACTACCGCTTTGGCAAGATTTATGTTTTGGACCAACCGAACTGAACAAAGTGAAAGAAGATGCAGATCACTGGACACAAAGAAATAACCAGTGACACTTTCCCTCTACGCAGAGGGCTAGTGGCTAAAATAATATAAGCATATATAAAGCTGTAAAAAGTCGTGTCCAGTTTACCTGAGATCTCCGGAAAAGCACCGGACCTTATCTTGTTTTACAATAAACAAATGTCACATGTTAATGGCATGTTGTAAAATATTGGCTGAGATTAAAGCTCTCCAAACCAGGGATGTTGTGACATCATGCATTGCATAGTATGACAAGGAGATAAAAGAAAATCTTGTGAATCCTATAAACAATTACAAGTCGAGAACCGGACAAAACACGGAACCCTGGAACTATTAGTGGTGGAATCAGGTACCTAAGAGGACAAAGTATTCCCTGTCCACTGGTGAACCGCCGTGAATTGATTAGATAAACACAGTAATCTGTAGTCAAATTAAGTGTGAAATGAAAAAGGACAAGATAACGAACAGTGATTCATTTTTTAAAAAAACTACAAACAATACAAATTTATGAACATGGTTTTAATTATATTAACACCTTGTTGACTACTATGAACCTTGTATATATTGCCTCTTTATTTTGGTTTTCCGAGCAGTGATCCTTTCTGACCAATTTCTTCTGATCTATGATAAATATTGCTTCAAGTATCTTTTCACCCTTGACCTCTCACATAACCTGCATTTTGTCCATATAACTCTTTAATACAGATAACTGTAGGTACTATGGGAAATTAATTAAAGCATCAAGAGGATGCAAAACATTTCAATATACCCAAACATATTAGCAGGTGATTGTTTATTCATCTCTTCATCTATGTCATAGACTTATAGAAATTCCAGATCGCATTATTGGTCATTATTCTACCTTATACACAATTCCGGTAGATATAGACGTTGTTCTTCCTAGGAAAACCTGTCCGCTTTCTAGATATCACTTTTCTTGCTCATTTTTGTTCTCAGTGTACTCCACTGCCTCAGCATCCCACTCCCTTACCATTTATATTGAGATTTCTATGATTGGCAGCTTTTTCTCCTATTCATAAATCATAATTAAATTTAGACCTATACTCGCATTGAGCAGTGAGGGATCTTTTTCGTGCCAGCATCTACTGCGACACGGGAACTCGGTTTATACGGTATCATCCGATATCTTTGTACGTAAACTTCGTGAAGATGAACTCTATTGGGACCTTATGTCTGTTTCATGATCCATCTTTGGTGGGGTCGTTCATGAACTTTTTTCTGGTGCATACATATACTGCAAATGACCCTTTGATAAGTAGCTTAAATATCATTTAAGTTACAATGTGCCATATCACATTCAAATCATTTGTTTATAAATTAGCTGTAAAATGCTATTATACTTTTTTCTGGACAATACTTACTCCGTTTTCATCGAATATTTTTGTTGGTTCTAATACAAACGGAATAATGTTTTTGTTAATACTTCTCCAAGCATTACAGATGTGTACCTCGTGTGTCATTTCTGCTTTCAAAAAAGCAAAAAATGTCCTCAAATATTATTTTGAAATGTTCGTTCAGTTGTAAGCCGTGCAACTAATACTGGGTACTTTATATTGAATCCTTTTAGGTAAGTAATCTGACCCCACTGTGTAGACAAACAAATTATCAACAGTGATTTTCTTATTTCTCCTAAGAAACTTTTATTACATTTTGCAGCGAGAATGGTTGGACAATAAAAATGGAAGAAGCGGTAACTTGATGGAAACTGATCTTGCATGGTTTATTTCGGCAGCATGATTCTGACTGTTGTGTTTCTTTTTTGATGATTTATGTAAATTCTTAGTCATTCTCTTTTTCTTATTTGAGTTATACCGATATTTTGATCCTGGAGACTACCCCCTGTTCAAAAACAATAAACCACTGTTGTATCACACCCTGACACTGGGGTGACATACTTTCAACAACACAACATTAGTATTTATGCCTCTTAATCCGAAACAAAAGATTTATCATTGGACAATGCGATACTTAAAAGACTTATATTTGCCAAATTTCAACTGCAAAACAAGTCTAGTGTTACAGTCACCTATCAAGGGGAAGGGGTCCTCTCTGCCACTTTGCCCCAGAATGGACTTTTTCTGTTTATTTAGTATGAAAATTATGATTGAAAGGCGCCTCCCCCACTCTTTATAGCAGTACATGTATCACCCTCTGGTTTTCACCCTCGTGATTATTTGGGGAATTAGCTGTGTCTGATGTGAGTAAATCACAATCACAGTATAAATCTAAAAAGACAGAATCAAATCTGTAGAATTACAATGAACTTTATTTCTTTAGACCAGATCGGAAAGTGATCTTTTCAATACAAATCAATATCAATCAATAATAATAAAGTTTACAAACTGTAGTAGTCATAAACAACATCGGAAGTAAACATCATTATTTATTAAACAAAGTCACGAACACTATCGGAGAAATATCCATTTATGAAAGAAAATAAACTTTTTACCAAAATAAAGAATAATTAAGCTTACCGATTAAACTGTTACAAATGTCTGTCATAATGATCAATAGATAAATAAGCGAGTATCAAAGATTAAATAAATTTAAGCAGTTTTAGAATTTAGTGCTACTACTTTCGGTTTTAGCTTGTAAACACTAAGCTATTCGCCTCCGCTTACTAAAGAGTTACACATAAAATTTTAGCGGTAAATTCGAAACACAAAAATTTCCAAGTAAACAAAAAGTAAAAATTCAAAGAAAAACTTTCAGAAAATTATAAACAAAATATGATTTAGAGATTAAGTAAAAATAAAATGAATTGATATGAATTTGCAAATTACAATAAAATATTTTCTACCAGTAAGTAAGTTATAAATGAAAAATAATTTTAAACACAATACTTAAACAGTAAAAATAATCAAACAAAGAAGTCTACAAATTCCTTTTAAAATTCTTAACTTAACCTAAATGAAAACTTTCAATCTTATTTAAATATCGTTATTTTAAGATGAAAATTCTTTAAGTAATTAGAATAAAAATTCAAGCTTACCTAAAAAGACAGAATCAAATCTGTAGAATTACAATGAACTTTATTTCTTCAGACCAGATCAGAAAGTGATTTTGCTGAAATCACTAACCGATGCGGTCATTCTACAGACTTGAATTCTGACCAATCAGGAAGCATGTTACAGAATAGTTTTAGCCAATTTCGGCAAAATTTCTTTTATGTTTGACACTAATCGCTCAACTAATGAAAGTGTTACTTCAATTACTTATCTGTCCGCGGACACTTTTTTAATAACAAAAACGGATTAAGAAAAGCCGAAACAAAGTAAACATTTTCCGTGATGAGGAATTTCGAAGTGTCAAGTTAAGTGTATAAAGAATTTATTTCCAAAGATGCCGAAATAAAGAAGAATTTATTTATTTACTCATTGGCTTGATATGACTATTTGATCTTAAGAGACATGCTAATTTAATACAAAGGAAGTGAGAATTAACTTTGTTACCTAGAAATCTAACGTCTAAATCTTCACGAGTAACGACAAGTCACATCAAAAGAACAAAAGATTTTTCTTCAATTAAACTAAACACTACAAGAAACTGTGCAAAATTGAGTAACCTTACATTTTGACAATTTAAACAGACAGACGGACAGACAGACAAACTTTAGATTTAAACTCTTAGTGTAACACATGTATAATCAACCCTCACACATAATTGCATCCTTTCTTTGCGGAAAGTTTGAATCGCTGAACCCCCTCCATGAAATAGGTTTTTCAAATTTGGGCAGTTATCGCTTTGTTCAGCAATTTTCATTCCTTTTTAATTTTTTTCTGCCACTACTCCTTCCTAACTTTGAAAACATGCTACGTGCCTAATGTCATAAGCACACTCCTCTTTAAACAGTCTCTTTATTTCATTGAAATTTGAAATACCTTTTGTGAATAGGACAATCAATCATCTAAACTGCAGAAAGAAGTAGCTTCATTGCATAGATACAGCAAATCGACTGAAAGCCAGGTATAGCTAGGTCTGCTCATCGAACATCAACCTCTTTTAAGAAAAAGAAAATTATTAAAGATTAACAATGACACCTTTGGATCTGAAAGGAGGATGTAAGCTAGCAGCTGTTTTTTCCACTGGATATATGGCCGGAGCTGGAATTTACGTTTCTCTGGTGGAAGTTCAAAGCAGACGATCATTGCCAGCCAAAGCATTGTGGCAGCAGTTTACACGAAGTTTTAAAGTGGCGGCCCAGTCAATGGTAATTTCAGGGTTATTTCAAGTTACATTAATTAGATGAATTTAAGTCTTCCAACATGAGAAATTACAGTTCTACTGATGGATTTTATACTAGCAGAAATTGCAATATGCTGGCAACTAGAATTATACTAAAATAAATAAGATTCTCATACTCTACTGCATATAAAAAGAATTTATAGCAAATTTTGAAACAACTGTGATTATTATCTTGTTTTATGTAAAGGCATTTTAGTCTCGCCAGATCATACATGTAAACAAGAAATGTTCGTTCTCTTTTAGCTGATTTCCTCTCTTGTTACCGCTGTTGCCCCCACCTATCTCTATTTCGTCCTGGAGGGGTCGCCGTCTCGGAACTTATGGTTAGTTTCCCCTGCCTGTTCCCTCATTTTGTCAATCTACACCTTCACGATTTTCATTCCAGAGGTCAACGTTATTTTGGACGAGAAGGTTATCGAGAAAAAAGGTGCTCTTTTTTTTTTTTTTTTTTTTTTTTTTTGGATTTATTCAATCACTGTTACCTACTTATTCTTTCAAAGTCTATTACTTCAATTAATTTCAGTACAATGTTACAATTTCAAAATATCCGAAAAATTATAGCAATATCAAGAAGTGACAATATCATATTAGATTTAGGGACCTAAGTTATGCATTTTGTCCCTGCATTGAACCTGTACAGTTTATTCATACTGTTTATTATTTTGCATTATGTTCCATTTTGTCATTTATAAAAATATTGTTTTCAATTTTTCTAATTGTTTTATTCATATATTGACATACTTGCCAAGCACTTGCCTAAATGGAAGTAAGTATCATATCAAATTTGCGAAAAGCAATCATACAAAGCGAAAGTTCTTAAATGGAATGACCTTCTACATGCTCTTTTAATTTGATCAGCGTATGTGGACATCCAGATGTTTTAATTGAAAATGGCAGGTATGGAGATATATATATATATATATATATATATATATATATATATATATATATATATATATATATATATATATATATATATATATATATATATATATTTCTCTTAGTCAATTTTTACTCGGGGCGCTACATATACTTTCAGTTAAATTAGACATTAAATATATTCAGTATGATTTATTCCGTACTCTCTATCTATACCTATTTTGCTTAAGTGTTGTTTTACGGTTTACGCTTATTAACTGAAAAAAATCCGAGTCTTAATACGTGTCAATCTTGCAGGGAACACATCGGATTAAATGTTTTCATTTTTAATGGTGCAATCTGATCGCAGTGTGTACACAAAGAAATTACCAACCGTGGAATCTTTCAAATATTAAGCGATATTAATGGTGTTTTTCAGGTGAAAAATGGCTGGAAGACGCGGTAGAGCGTTGGAATAGCAGACATCTCTTCAGGACAGTTATGAACGCGGTCAATTTCGGCTGCATGATTCTGGCTGCGATTAGATCATAGCAAAGAAATTTTACCAACTCACTGTTCCTGGCCAAAATTAACTGAATTAGTCAATTTTTATCCTTTGTGACGTCCATTTCTATACATTCATCAATTATTTTAGTGTTCTATAGGTGCTTATTATGATCATGTTGTAACATGTGTAGGAAAGTACTTTGCTTTCTTTCTCTCTTTTTCTGTAAAGCAGTTTCATAATAAACGTGATATTTTGACATATTAGACTTTAATTGCAAACGCTCATGTTTCAAAAGGAGCAATCAGCACGATAGACATTACTAATATAGCCTTCTTTTAGTTCAAGTTGATGTATTCTATTGTTCATTAGCATTGCATTCTCTATCGTTATGAGTAAACTTTCCGGAACTTCCACGCAAGAAGAACATGGCATATGTAAACCTATCCCCTCCGCAGATAATATATCCCTTTCAAATATCCCTTTTTTCTAACAAGTTTATATCTGTATGCCTTGCACTTTTCTCTGGTATATTACCTCCATATCCAGATTCCTTGATCAAAAGTGATATTAACAATAATGAAAAGTTTACTTAGGAGAAATCACAAAAATTCAGTCTCAAAGCAAAGAAGATTGTATTTTTGCCTATGTAAGTGTGGTGTTTTAAGATGCTCAAAAAAGTTTAGGGTCAGGTAACTCATATTGGAGTTATCTTTCACACCATTCCAAAAGTTATTTGAAACACATAAGTTTACACCAGAAACTATTAGTGCATCGTATAAACATTATCATTTTTTCCTTATCAAATAATAACATCAGCCATCAAGCACTATGAAGTTGTTATAAAAAAGATGCAGGAGTTCCTCATTTACAATATCTGTGTTGTCTTTGGAGACCAGGTCCTCCAATAATATGTTGGAATTCCCATGCTCACGAATTGTGTTTCTTTGTTAGTGAATTTTAATTTTCTAAAAAGTTAAAGTTCTGATGAGGTTTTCAGAATCCACAGTTGAATTATACCACCACATTGAACATTCTGATTGTACGCACAAGTACTTCGAAGTTGATATTAAATTTCTTATTGACTATATCTATGTAGTATTTGGAGTTCAAGTCCTCCAACAACCTGTCGGAAATCCCTTGGGTATAAATTGTGCTCCTTTTTTAGCAGACCTATCTTTAGATTCATATGAAGAAGAAAAAAACGTATACATGAGATGAAGAAAACACTTGTTGTGACCTTCAGCTCTACATTTCGATATATCAACGACGCATTATCAATTAATAAAAGTTACCTCCATTCATATGTTGACTCGATATATCCTAGTGAACTTGAAATAAAAGATATCACAGAGTCTGACACCATCTGTTTCACATTTGGACATATGGAGTTAATGTCTCCCAGTTGATTCGATACACAAGAGCATACTCTACGTTCGAACAATTTCTAAAACGAGGCAAGCTATTGACAAACAAGTTGATGAAACAAGGATATCAACAGTCTCGTTGAAGTAAACATTTCGCAAGTTCTATGGTCGATACAATGACCTTGTCAGCAAACACAGTCTATCATTAAGTCGAATGCTGACTGGCGTTCTTCATACTATTTGTTAGGCCATTACTTACACACTGAATTGTCTGCGGATTTTTCCATTTGTCCGATCATGACAAGGAGCAACGGTGTGACCGGTCGACTGGGGATGCTTACTCTTCCATAGTACCCGATCCCACCTCTGATGCTTTTAGAGGTTCGTATTTGCTCTGCTCCCGATTTGTATTGTTTCAATGAACTTTTGAGCTTGATTACTGTTCGTTATCTCCATATTTTCATACAATGTATTTTTCTAACTTAGCTGTATAATGTTCTTTCCAGAAGACTGATTAGGAATAGTTTTGTTTCGAGTACCAAGAGAATATGTTGCATTTTGTTAATGCTCTCCATACTTTACAATTCTATACTCAATTTAATTTCTTCTTTCGAAAAAGAGAATATAATCTTAATGTCCTCAAATATCCTTTCGAAATGTGGATTCAGGTGTCAGCCGTGCATATAATATGAATCCTTTCAGCTAAGCAATCGTGAATGAACTGTGTAAACAAAAATAATTCAACAGTGGATTTTTACATTATTTATTTAAGAAACTTAAATTATCTTTTTCAGGTGAAAAGTGGTTGTACTTTAGACTGACAGAACTTTTCAAGCTTTATTTAGGCTGCATGATCTCATTGATATGACTGTTTCGCTAATTAGTTGTACGAAAATCAGTTTCGTTACTGTTTGAGTAATACCAATATTTTGATTCCCCAGCCCCTGTTCAAAACTATGAACAACTATTGTGTTTCATCCTGACCCTGGGTTTTGGAGGAGTGACATACTTAAACAACTCAGCATAAGGACTTTTACCTTTTTTCCATTAGATAAAAAGATACTTTAGATATTTAGATTTTAACTGCAAAATATGTAATGTCCTATATCTGAAGTTTGAAAACATATTTCTCTTTAAACTTGTTTTTTTCTTCGTCTGTGGGTTATGGAACTTTGAAGTACGTGTTAATATTACAATTCGAAATGTCTTCTGTGCATAGGGTTTTCAATCATCTTAATCTCAGCAAAGCGTAGCACATTGTAAAGTAGGGCAAATCAACTGAAAGCCAGGTATAGCAAGGTGCGCACGTCGAACGTCAACCTTATTTAAGGAAAAGAGTTTCAAGATTAACGATGGCACCTTTGGATCTGATAGAAGGATGTAAGCTAGCGGCTGTTTTTTCCACGGGATACATGGCTGGAGCTGGAATTTACGTTTCTCTGGTGGAAGTTCAAAGCAGACGATCGTTGCCAGCCAAAGCATTGTGGCAGCAGTTTACAAGAAGTTTTAAAATGGCGGCCAAATCAATGGTATTCAAGTTACGTTAAATGCATTTAAGCCTTTTAATTTAAGAATAAGCTGCAGAAAAACTGGTTAATTTTATACCGGGCTCGAGATTTATAAGAAATTGCGACATTTTAATAATTAATACTAAGTTAGTTATCTAGAACTGCATTTAATTCCAATGCATATGAAACAATAAGAAGCATTTATTGATAATGTTTGTTTATTATTTCGTTCATTATTATTTTGGTTGAATTAAAAAAAAAATTAGCTAAATATGAAAAAGTATTTCGTTTTCCTCTCCAGATGAAATCTTTTCGTTCTCTTTCAGTTGGCTTCCACTCTTGTTACTGCTTCCGCCCCCACCTACCTCTATTTCGCCCTTGAGGAGTCGCCGTCTAGGAATTTATGGTTGGTGTCCCCTGCCTGTTTCCTCATTGGATCAATCTATACCTTTACTATTATCATTCCAGAGGTCAACGTTATTTTAGACGAGAAAGTTATAGAGAAAAAAGGTACTCATTATTTTGATTTATTTTATCTATATTAAAATTAATTATTCTGTCCAAGTTATTGACCGAGTTGAATATATGCCATTTGATTATTTGATTTCATTTTAATTTTTTTTTCTTTGTGAAAAAATCGGGAAAATTCGTTGCATTAGTAGTATCATGAAGCAGCATCATACATATAGGGACCTAAGTAAATAGTATGTATTTTGACTCGCAAACAGGAATTGAAGCTGTACGTTTTTTAAATCCTGTTTACTAGTAATTTTTTTTCATTATTGATTCTCACTTTGATGTATAGAATTGTCTTCTCTTTTATTAAGTCACTTTCCATGCACCTACTCATATTTTCGTAGGTTTTGATCATCAAATCTATTTACGATATACATTGGTACATAGAGCGAAAGTTCTCAAATGGGATGACCTAGCTGCTACATGCCCTTAATATTGCATCAGTATGATTCCATCATTGTGATCCAGTAAAAAAAAATTCAACATTCACATAGGTTACTACTACTGGTAATAGAAAAATTAGGCTTAAGAGTACTAGGTGTAACTGCCTCCTTTTACAAGAATAGTTCATACTGTCTGTGTATTGATCCTTATCATGACAGAGGCATGAAGTTCACTTTATTGTGGAGACTTAGAGTTTATAATAAAATATTTTCAATTATTAAGTGAGACTTTGCTTATGAGAAGTATAAATTTCTTTGTTTTTTTCCCTTTCATCTGAAGCTTTTACAATATTTCAACACTTATATTTCCTTGTATTGAATGAAACCCTATCAAAATGTACTTTAAAGAAAAAAAAAATCAAAAGTATTGTCAGCTTTTGTGTAACTTTTATTCTATATTTAAATAGTGAACAATTGAAGTAATTTGTGTCTTGCAGAGATTTTAATTTTCTGTCCGAGAATTCATATTCAGGGTGTTATTTTCTATAATTCATCAGAGGTCAAAATTATCCAGATTCCAAGTAGATGATAAATTCATTCAGTGGTTTTTATTTAAAACAATTTAAGATATAGTGTAAAAAGTCCCAGTCTCCCTATAGAACTTAAAGGTATTTGTACAAGTGTCAGTCTGCGGATTAAATGCTTTATTTTTAAATCGTGCAATCTGATCGCACTGTGTACACAAAGAAATTATCAACGATGGAATCTTTCAAATATTAAGAAAATTTTAAAATATTTTTTGCAGGTGAAAAATGGCTGGAAGACGCGGTAGAGCGTTGGAATAGCAGACATCTCTTTAGAACTGTTCTGAACGCGGTCAATTTTGGCTGCATGATTCTAGCTGCGATTCGATCATAGTAAAGAACTGTTTCTGACTATAACTAAACTGCATTGGTCAATTTTTATGCTTTGTGACTCCTACCTCTCAATTTTTCTCTATGCATTTTTTTTCATATGCACTAGTATTCTTTTAGTACTTATTTGGAACACGCTGAAACATGTTTAGTGAAGCCCTTTGCACAATTTTTTTTCTTTTTTTGAATGTGATTTAGTACAGTTTTATTGTTCTTTTTCGAATAAACATGATATTTTGACATTTCTGACTTTAACATGAATACTTACACGTACTTGCACACGATCAGGTTACAAAGGGAGCAACGAGCGTGATAGATAAATTACCAATATTACCATTCTTTTAATTCATATATGCATATCCTCTTTTCCATTCACACTGTGTTCTCTAAAGGCAAGGGTAAGTTTTCGTTATTTTGTATGTACGAAGAACATGGCATACGTAAAAAGAATTTCTCAAGACACCCAAAGTGATGGGGATATAAAATGTGAAGTTCATAAACCCTTGATCCTGAACTGTTTTTGTAAATCGTGTGACGTTTTAGTGTGCATGGACTGTATTTTAAATCTTCACAAGTCACACGATTGGTGCAAAGTTAGCGATATCGTTACTATAAAAAAATACGAACTCTCGGAAAATTTGCGTCAAATTCAAAGAGATCACCTTCGTCTTTTGTCGGCAAGTATTTCCAATACCAAAAGGGCTACCAATGATATAAGTGACCAGTTGGCAAGAATTGACGCTCAGGGCGACAAAATAATATCCATTGTGCGGGACATCCAAGAAAAATTGAAACAGAATTGTAGGGATAAAGTCAAATTATCTAGAAATGCAGTTGGAAAGGCAGAATCCGACAAGATTTATTTAGAGAGCGTCCGACGGATTTGCGCAGAGAAATCAAAATCTGGATCTGATGCAGAAATAATACTAGCTAATCGCAATTTGAAGATGGCAATGGATGAATATTCGCCCGATAACTTTCGGAAACAGATGGTATCGTGGTCTTTCGAGCAAGGAAACATTGATAAAGATCTTCTGGCAGACATGTTTGGGCGATTTACTCCTAAAGAAAGTATCTATGAAAAGACACCATTAAAGCGACCAGTCGATGTTAAAACACCAAGGTCTGCACATCGACCACGTGATCAAGAGATGGACTTTAAGATCACCTTTGATGTTATTTCCATATTTAGGCACGGAATATTTGATATACAGTCAATATGTCCAATTGCAGAAAAGGCATGGATCCATCAACGAGAAGGCCATACGAACGCTTTGGTGGACAAAGATGGAGAGGTCATCAAAAAGCTTAACTTCCACTTCATTGTAAATTCATTCAGTAAAACACGCGATGGAACGTTGTTTTGTGCAGACTTCCGCAACAAAAGCATTTACAGAGTAATATCATCCGACGGTTCTATCGTGAAGTTGTTTGAAACAAAAAAGCTACGTCCAACAAGTGTTTCTTTAACCCATGATGGTCATCTTTTAGTCAGCTTGGTGGACAAGTTTGAATTCATACTTTCCAGGCAAAGCCAAAGAAAAATATCAAAAATGAAAATGGATGGAATAGAGGTTCAAGTTTATGGAACAGAAAACTTATTTACAGCACCAAGAAAGGCCGTCGAAAACGGAAACCGAGATATCTGCGTCATTGATGTTTTAGGGGAAAATAAGGGTCGTTTGTGCGTTCTGGATAGTGATGGCCGTCTGAAGTTTATTTATAAAGAATACAACAAGAAGGCGCCTCTTTGGGACCGCTGGGTGGTTGATATATCTGCATGGGACGTGTGCTGTGATGATCGCCATAGAATCATTGTTAGTGGCTGTCAAAGTCGTGAGGTTCGATTTATCGATAGTTACGGGAAGCTGTTGGAGAAATTCGTCACGACTGGGCACGGTCTCGACAAGCATCCTATTTGTCTGGGCGTTGATCACTACACCTTGTGGTTAGGATTTGAGGAAGGTCACGTCATGGTGTTTAAGTATGATCAATGATATATAGAGGGGGTACTGGGAACGAAATAAATGTTTAAATGTAAACATATATATGTAGATAATAAAGGCATTACGTAATTGATTTCAAAAAAGTTTTTTTTTCTCAATTCATTCGATTCATTTTTCTAAATAGAAAATTATTATTTTTATCTTAAGAAGATTGTTCAAAGTTTATCATGTTTTATTTATGACCGCTTGTGTAATAAATCGCACATTCATATAAATTATATAAATATATATTTTATACGTCTAAACCCAAGGGTAGTCCATGAAAGCCTTAGTGCGCGCCTCTTTTGTGAGGGATCGTGTATTGAAAGAATTGGTAATGCTATTGAGGGAAATCGTGTCTTATCATTAATTTCTAAAACGAGGTAAGTTATTGACAAACAAGTTGATGGAACCAAAATATCAGCAGTCTCGTTTAAAGTCGTCATTTACTAAGTTCTATGGTCGATGCAATGACCTTGTCAGCAAATACAATTTATCATTAAGTCAAATGCTGACTGACGTTTTTCATACTAATTGTTAGGCCATTATTTAAACACAGAATTGTCGAATGATTTTTTTTTTCGTTATTTCCCGATCATGACATGGAGCATACGGCGGATGTGACCGGTCGGCAGGGGAGGCTCACTCCTCCATGACACCTGATCCCACTTCTGATGTTTTAGAGGTCCGTGTTTGCTCTGCTCCAAAATTTGTATTGTTTAATGAGCATGAATACTGTTCGTTATTTCCATATATTTCATTAGAATAGATATTTTTATAAAGCCTGTCCTTCTTTGAAGCTTACTGCGTAGGCAATGTGTCATTGTGAGTGAATCACTGTCCAAGCTTTGTCTCTGAGACCTATGTCTCTTGTTGTCTCTGGGATATGTTACACATTGCCATACGTAGATGCGGGGAGCGGATTCTTGCACAGATGGTGAAGGTCAGTTTCTTATTATTATATAAAAGTAAAATAGATCATCAAAAAATCAAAACAAATTGTCCATCAAATGAAGACGCTCTTGTTGCGGAATCCCAGACAGTATGCCAGATAGCGTGTTCTGTCTTATATCCCCAGTAGCATGATACTGTATCCAGAATAGTGTGTTTAGTATATCCCCAGTAGCGTATCCCGAATAGCATATTACTACTTTCCAAGTTAGTCAAAACTTCTGGGTTAAAAAGAAGCTATAAAATACGAGTTATTGTCAATTGCTGTAAACAATTGTTGAATCGGTTATCATCGTAAGTATCAGTTTAAAATAAAAATTAAAATAAAATGAAATTAGCACGTTTTGAAAATCATATCACTGTATTCTTATATATATATATATATATATATATATATATATATATATATATATATATATATATATATATATATATATATATATATATATATATATATATATATTTTTTTTTTTTCAGTACTATAATGACATTTTTAAATCGTGCTAATTTCAGTGATTTTTTTATTTTTATTTTAATGAGTATATTCAGACACACCTAGAAAAACACACAATACACAAAATGCACCCCCCTTAAACAAAGCGCCTATGATTTCAAAAGATGAAATGGCTACTGTGTTAACTGTAAGAGGAGTTCTGGGAACCAGATTTTTGTAGAAAAAACGTCGCTTTTCAATCCAAATTTGCCCCTACAATAAAAAGGAAACCTCCAAAATCTTATGTCACATCTGCATGGACACCACCAATCATATTCTAAAAAATAAGATTATAAGTGGAGAGGGCCGGTATAATAACTGACCATCGCGGGGCCTCAGCTGTCCAATACTAATTTTCACTCCAGATGACCAGTTCAAGATTTTATCAGGGAGCGTTCAATATGTACTTTTTAAGTATCACCCAAATTCAGTTGTGTCAATGACCATGAAAAAAATCCACTATATTTCACACCTTACACTTTAAAAGAGAACATTTTCGGTAGTTTTCTTTAGTACGCCAACTCTTGATGAAAAAAATATTTAAATGAAAGATGTTATTAAATATTAATAATCGCTAAGAAAAAAAAGTTCGGTTTTGGATACAATATAATATAAATTAAATGTAACGTAAATCACTGTAACATATGGCACAAAAAAGATGATTAATTGGTCCTTTAAAAATTCACAGCATACTTTTTGATAAAGTAAATTAATTGATAGTTTCAGTTCAATGATTTGCATTCCATATAGCTGGTGTGTTAAAAAGGTAGACATATATGATAACACAGGTGACAAGATAATAGAAGTTTGGAATTCTATGAAATACAGTATATGGATTTTTTTTAAATTAATGAATTTGTAATTAAGACAGAAAAAATAATTTTCTTACAAAACAATTTATTTCCAACAAAGAACTACATGTACGTAATCAATTTAAACAAGGAAAGCATCAAAAGTTATATGCTTCATGGCAACATTCACTATACTTTTTGTGACAATGAGAAATTACAAATTTTCATTTCATTACATGAACTATTCTGTCAACTTCTTTTTGCTACAGTAGTTTCCATATTTTACTTCTGTGATAAGAATCAATGAAATATATTGGCTAAGATTATATTTGTTCAGTAAAAATACAATATTCTTTTCATATAGTCAGTTTGTGATAAGAGTTTTTGAGATTTTCTCGATACTTTTATGTTTATAATGATATATTTCATGATGATTTTTTATTTCTTTATTTTATAGGTTAATACACCTTTATTCTTTGAAATAAAACACTCCTTTTGTGTATGAAGTACTTTTAAAAAATATTTCTTTTTGTCTGTGACCAAAAATAAGTAAATAAATAAATAAATAAATAAATAAATAAATAAATAAATAAATAAATAAATAAATTTAAAATAAATAAATAAAATACTAAATAAATAAATCAAGCAATCAATTAAAAAAATTAAAAAAAAATAAGACTGGCACAACTTAACCGAATTTAGACGATTATAGGTCCCTGATTTCTCATATTTCTCACAAGGGAAAAACAGCATAAGGGGCCGTTTTCAGTAAATTTTTGTTGTTCTAAAAAAGGGGGTGAATGAGCACATTGTAAGTATGTCCAAACAAAAAAAGCCAGGTTTTTCTCTTTTTAAAATAGAATGACATACAAAATTCTCTTTATAAATAGAATTACATATAATTATATTTAAAAAAAAAAGTCATGCAACATTCCCAAATAGTTATATGCACGAATTATTTTCAAAACATTGTGAATGCGAAAACGAGGCTGAGAGGAAGTTAACTGTCAGAAATTCTGTCTGTGTGTCATGCCAACTCAGTGCTTGAACGATTTTCATCTTGACAAGATTAATTAACACTGATTTCTAGCGGTTTATTTGATGAAATATGGATGTTCCATCGGAATTCAGAAATCGTAAGTGTATGTCAGTTTAATCACTCATAGATGTTGTGTTCTGCAGTTTAATGTAAGTATGCATGAACTTACAGCACCCTACCTCCACTGGCGTCAGGCCGATCCGTCATATTGGAATTAATGGTAAGCACCGAGCCTTTATTGTGTATAATTGGTGCATGTCACAAGGGACTACTCTCTTTGAAAAGTCACAGGTGCTTTATTTTCAATCTATACAACCTGTGTATAGAACACTCTGAACAGGAAAAAAACGTAGTATTGTTTATGAGCTGCATTATTCTGTCATTAACAGATTAAGCTCGAGGGAGTCTACTTAGCCTGGATACTTTAGGACAGCACTGTAGTACCACCCCCTCCAAAACCCTCAGATAGAAAGCCTTCCTAAAGTTCCTTTGACCAATCCAATATAGTTAGAATAATCTAACTGTGTCTTGGGACAAGCCCTCACCACAGGAATACACCCCATATACTTGCAATGTAGCAAATCGAAGCGGATCCACTCCAAAATGAATTTGAAGAATACAAAAGGAGTTGCACTGAAAATAACTACCAAAGGAATCATAACAAACCTTTTTGAGATTGTATATGCCATTTAACCTAAAAAATAATCCATATAAATATGAAAATTCAACTCATTTTGTCAACATTTTTTCCTTGCTTCAGATTTAACACCATGGTAACATTCAGAACTCTCTGGATTGTTCATAGAAAATGCACAGAATTCAAGTTATTGCCCGTGTTTATTTTGCTACATTGCCAATACATGAATGAATTCTATCGTTAAACCAGGTCCGTAGGACAATATCATTTTAACAATAGAACGTTCTATCTAAATCCAATATTCTTCTGGCTCTAACCTCGCTTTTATATTGTGACATATCACATGTGCGGGGGAAAGTAAAAAAAAAAGGCCATATTGGAAATATGCGACACCAGCTAGTGTCGCAACTATGCCTACCTTTTACAGTGTGATGTAGAGAGCTCTATAAGTATCCTCTTGACTGTGGCTTGAGACAATGCCACGATGCCCTTGTCTCACTAGTCACACTTTGTATGATTTCCTCCTCTTTTTTTTTTAATTGGTTTTTCTTTGTTGTTGTTTTTTCAAGCCAGCTCGTGAATTATGAAGAACATTATATGAACATGTCTAGTCAATGAACAACAATCTTTCATATTAGATATTTCTGAAAATTTAAGAAAAAATATAGCTTGCCTTACTATTTAAATCAGTTTTGAATCTCCTTTTCATGAATCTTTAGTAACTAGATGAATAAAAGACTGTAATTTTAAGAAATTGAAATAAAGTGGCTTGAAATAGTTTGGGACTGTGCATACTTTTTTTCTTATGTCTAATTTGTTGGTTTTATAGCTGGTAAAAGGAGGCCAAAGAAAGGAGGTTCTAAACCTCAGCTTTATGAAGACACAAGTATGCAGCCCCCTCCACCTCAACACTATGGAGCCCATCAGGGGCAAGGTAAGATAGGGTTTCACCTATTCTCACACTAAGGCTTCTGAAATTAAGAGTGTATAACATTTTTTTCTATTATAACTCAAAATAACAACTCTGCAATATACTGGATTACACAGTAATTACAGGAAGAAAACATGCCACTTTTTTGTCCAACTTTTAAGAATTCTGTGTTTCATACCACAAATTTTAAGCAGTGGTACAAAGGATAGATATACGTACATGTCTTTTATAATAATCCGACATATTAACTTAGTGAAATTATAGAAACTCTCTTTTAGGAATAGATATGGAAGGTAATCATGGTACAAAATAATGCATGTCAGGCATAAGGAGTGAGAGTTCATGTGTTAAAGAATCATATATCTATAAGAAGTATATTACAATGTAACGTGTTATATGTTACAATTTCACATTTTTTTAATGTATGTTTACTTGTGCATACAGTTTACCTGTATCTGCTCACAAAACAGTGCACTAAATGTCATGAACAGTAGATCAATACTATACATTTATTGAGTGGGTTTGGAGGGCTACATGCAGTTTGTTTGACTGAAGAAGCAAACTGTTTGACTGAGGCCTTAGGCTGACAGATCAACAGATTGGTTTGAAGGTTCGACAAAACCCATTTTCCCCTCCAACCCAATCAATAAATGCTTTTAATATACCTTTTACTTTTTATTATTATGGCATCCAGCAGAGCTTGAATGTCATCTAGCCAGCAGGTCATAGAAATCGCTATGCCATCCAAAGTTACACAACCAAAGGTGTCGGTGGATGCATCCATAAAAGAAAATAGCAATATATCAATTTCTTCGAAAATTCTCACAATGAATAATAACTTGAAAATAAAATTGCATCAATTATATCTATAATTAATTCTGATACAAAACACAGATGCTTTGTTTATTTTCACACACAAAAAAAAATGTGATAGTTGTTGCGGATGAATTTTTTAAGGTAGCGGTGCATCAAATGACATGAGAAACATTTCAGAAGGATGACCAAAACAAAGAAAAAGAAAAAGCCTACCAGGCAGTAAAAATAATCACAAAATTACTTAAATACAGATACTAGAAGACTAAAAACATTGAATTTCAATCTTTTAACCTTGCTTTTACAAATTTGTAACTAATTTTATTATTAAAACCGAAGTTATCGTATTCTGTTACAGTATTTTTCTATTTCCTTCATTTCGTAGTATACTCTATACCACGCCCAGTTGTAACTTGTAGTCATAGCAGAGCAATCACTGTTCACTAGAACAATGCTTAGACATTGACAATTAGAACAAATATCATATAAATTCATTAAATCCTTCATAGTCTTTCAACTGACTAAAAAGAGATGAACATGTTCGATGGTGTATGGTTAATTCTAACCCTACTCTATTTGGATCATGTATAAGGCCCCAGAACTGTAATTGTCACATTTTGTATAAAGTTAAAATTTATCAAATTCAAAAAGGACTTTTGAAATTGTTTTTCAAGTTCAACACCATTGAAGACTTTCAGGCTTTTGATGATGTATCTTGTTTGCAATGAAGATGCAGTATTTTCATGTAAATTCATTTACCTGCACTGCATGGTCAATTCTGTAGCTATCAAACACCAGGTCCAACATCTCATCGACCAGTCCAACATTTCATCAGCTGGTCCAACATCTCACAGACCGTTGTAGCATAATATTTTGATACTACAAAATATTGAAGGGGGTTTAATATATCACATAATATTTTGAACCTTGGTTCACTTTCTAGCTGTGACATAGTGACACCCCCCCCCCCCCCCCTTAAAATATTGAACCTGGGGTCCATAATTCTATATTCATAGGAAACAATTTTCAAAGGTATAATGAATATATTAAAGAGCTGCAAGCTACTTTTCTGGTGTATTTGACGGTATTTTCTAATATTAAAGCTTTGGTATATTTTAAAGTATATTTTAAAGTGCCAAGCTTATACCACAGAGTATGGATAGCACACTAATAAATTAAGAGCAAACAAAATTTGCTTTTGTACAGTATATGTATTGAATAATATCAGAGAAAATGCACTTTATGCATTTAATAAAGGAAAAAAACATGAATTTTATGGATAACAAGAATACTGGTATAGTGTACAGTAAAACATGTTTATCATGTTTATAGCTAAGGACCAAGGATGACGGAATTTGATTCATTATAAACATATTTTTTACATTAGATAAGTTAATAATACATTTTAAAACCACATGGATTGAAAATGGCTTTGCTGTAATAGTGAATTCATTATAAGCATGTACACTGTAACCATGTTTTACTGTATTGGGATTCAGGTTGAATTAATTTTAATCAGCCCTGTATACATTATTTACTAATTAGTTTATACATGTACATGTATGTACTGCATATATAAAGAGCTGTCAGATTTTTATGCACAAATTACTGTAGTATTTTCTACTAGAAAATAAAATTCAGTACATCTTTTTATTAATATATAGCAAATTAATAGTCTAATGATAAAAGAGGACTAAAAGTCTAGAGAATTTTAACATTCAATATCTTGGCATTTTATTGAACGCATTTTGTTTGCATTACTGAAACGAGTATGTCCCAAAACATTCCGAATACGAGCGTTCAATATTGCACGCCCTGTTGTAAACAAAAAATGCCTGATAGGGTCATTGGAATGATGTGATATTGAACACTTACAGGAAAGACGCTGATATTGGACAGTTTTATTTTGAATACAGATACTGAAAAATTCTCATTAATTTTGAGTTATTCAATTGAAATAGTTAATATAAATCAATGGGAAATGTTTTAGCTATATAATAAAGGCGGTATTGAACTTATATTGGTGAATATTGGCACTCATTGGCAGTACAAATGCACTTGCAAGCTCATGCATTTGTATAGCCAACTTGTGCCAATATTCACCAGTATAAGTTCGGTAACCCTATAGTATTCAAGTTCTTAAAAAAATCACTGATTGTCATATAGTGTTTTGTACTGTTTGAAATTTTTGAACCATCTCTGTTATGTTTCACATTCTAGATACTAGTTTCTCATTAATTATGATGCATTATGCCTTATATTATGTGTTTGTTCTTTTTGCACTGTACATTTTTTGATTATTTGCAGTGTATTTGTGTAATATAACCCAGTGAATACCCAGTACATGTATTACTTAATATATTTATATGGTTTGTGTCTTGTCCAATTCTGTTTTGCTTTAACACTGGAAATTGAGTTAGAAGTTGACAAATTTCACAAGACTGCGTCTTTCTACCTTAACTTAATTGTGCATTTTTCCATGCCATACCATTCTTTTTATCTAAACAAGTCTTTTAGCCATGATTTTTGTTGCCTGTATGATTGATAATTCATTCACATTTCTATTCCATGATTTAAAAAAAAGTAATGTAATTTTCTCATAAATTTGCACATGCCACTACTATCCGAACTCAATTCTATTATGTTATTACATTTACTTCACTTGTATTTGAACTTCAAACTTTTCTGTTCTATTTTTGTTTTTTTACTTTATGGTTGACTAGCAAGTGTGATAATGCTTTTACTTTATTTCAGACTAAGTCTAACTCTAAGTTTGATATATGTTGACAGGATATGATCCGTCTGGTTATGGTGGACCTCCAGGAATGAGTCAGATACCAGGAGCCCAGTACCTCAATGATCCCATGGCTAATATGGCCATGCAGTATGGGCAATCCCTAGCAGGCCAAGGCACAGAATTTGTACATAAAAATGTGAGGATTTTAATTATGCAAGACTATAGGTCTTAATTTCAACTATATACACTATCTTATTGGAATAAGTTAATGTGTATTAAATGATCATTCTCAATTCTTTTTAAATTTCAGATAGAAAAATATGTTTCAACATCCAGAATGAAGTATTATTTTGCAGTAGATACAACATATGTAATGAAGAAATTGGGATTGTTATGTTTTCCTTTTACCCAAACTGTAAGTGATGCTACTTTCAGCAACTTGTTAAAAATTATGATGTAAGAATTTTAAAATGCTTTATTTTTTTTTTCCAGGACTGGTCAATAAAATTCAACCAAGACCAACCAGTGGCACCTAGAGATGATTGTAATGCACCTGATTTGTATATACCATGTAAGTATAAGTCTTTTTTATTGTTTATCAGTCATTTAGCCTAAAGATTGTGTGCATTTCAGACAGTCAGTTATTGTATATCACAGTTTCAGCTTGTCTAGATAAAGTGAATTTTTGGAGCTGAGCTTTTCCTTTGTAAGGGTTCACCTTTATATCAAACTCATGGTAATACTATCATACATGTATTAATTTTGCTTTAACATCTACATTTACTCTGTGTGTAATAAAGCTCAGGGTCCTATAATATGTATATACATGCACTAAGGATTCACTTCTAGATGACTTTTATGGAGGTGTTCATAAGCTTTTCTTGGAAATCATGTAAGTTGAGCAACATCCTAAATGTGTATGTTATAGTAGTGAATGTCTACAAATGCTTCATTTCAGCCATGGCATTTGTCACATACATCCTTGTTGCTGGACTAGTATTGGGAACACATAACAAGTAAGATCTTGCTAAAATACATTTTAGACTTTTCAGCTAACCAAAGCTATATGCTCACAAACTTTTCTGATTACCCATTGTTTGATGTCCATCTGCTACTACCTGTCTATCCAAAAATCTGCCCCTCTGTAGTATTAACTTTACAATTTTTTAGCTCACCTGAGCTGAAGGCTCAAGTGAGCTTTTCTGATCGAAATTTGTCCGTTGTCTGTTGGCGTCGTCGTTGTTGTTGTTCTAAACTTTTCACATTTTCATCTTCTTCTCCAGAACTACAGGGCCAATTTCAATCAAACTTGGCACAAAGTATCCTTGGGTGAAGGGGATTCAAGTTTCTTCAAATGAAGGGCCATGCCCTCCTCCAAGGGGAGATAATTACGAAATGGCAAAAAATTAATGGCATTATTGAAAAATCTTCTCAAGAACCAATGGGCCAGGAAAGATGAAACTCATGTGGAATTATTGTCAGGTGGTGTAGATTCAAGTTTTTTCAAATCATGACCCCCGGGGGCAGGGTGGGGCCACAAAAGGACAATCAAAGTTTTACATAGGAATATGTAGGAAAAATCTTCAAAAATCTTCTTCTCAAGAACAGCAAAGCTATGATTGGTCATATTTATATGGAAGCATCCTCAGGTGGTGTAGATTCAAGTTTGTTCAAATCATGACCCCCAGGGGTAGGGTGGGGCCACAATGGACGATTAAAGTTTAACGTAGGAGTATATAGGAAAAATCTTCAAAAATCTTCTTCTCAAGAACAGCAAAGCCATGATTGGTCAAATTTATATGGAAGCATCTGAAGGTGGTGTAGATTCAAATTTCTTCAAATCGTGACCCCCGGGGGTAGGGTTGGGCCACAATGGACGATCAAAGTTTTCATAGAGTATATAGGAAAAATCTTCTTCTCAAGAACAGCAAAGCTATGATTGGTCATATTTATTTGGTAGCATCCTCAGGTGGTGTAGATTCAAGTTTGTTCAAATCATGACCCCGGGGGGTAGGGTGGGGCCACAATGAGCGATCAAAGTTTTACATAGGAATATATAGGAAAAATCTTTAAAAATCTTCTCAAGAACAGCAAAGCCACTGTTTGTGATATTTATATGGAAGCATCCTCAGATAGTGTAGATTCAAGTTTGTTCAAATCATGACCTCCAGGAGTGGGGTGGGGCCACAATGAAAGTTTAAACTTGTAGAGAAAAAAGTCACAGTTAATCAAAAAATTATGTAAGCATCCTTAGTTAGTGTAGATTTAATTTTGTTCAAATCATACCCCCACTCCCTTTTAGGGGTAGGTTGGGACCACTTATGCATTTAAGCTTTTCAATACTAAACTGAGTTTTCCTTTTTTCCTCGCCACAGTGCTCAGGTGAGTGATGTGGCCCCTGGGCCTCTTGTTTTACTTCTTCTCTAGAACCACTGGGTCAATTTTCAACCAAACTTGCCATAACTGTCCACAAGGCATCCTTGGGTAAAGGAGTTTCAGACTGTTCAAATGAAGAAGTACGCCATTTTTTTAAGGGGAGATAAATAAGAAATGGTGAAATTTTGGTGGCATCTTTTAAAATATCTTCTCAAGAACTATGAGCCAGAAAAGACTAAAATTTAATTGAAAGCTTCCTTAATAAGTGTAGATTCAAAATTGTTCAAATCATTTGTTCAGGGTTAGGATGTGGCAGAATCAAAGTATTACACTGGGATAAAGAGGGCCGAACCTTTTAAGATGCCAAGAACAGCAAGGCTGTAATTAGTTATATAAATAGGCAAGCATTGTCAGGTAGTGCAGATTCTAGTGTGGTCAAATCATGTCCCAGATAGGGGGCACAATATAAAGGGATATTTAAAAAAAAATGCATGCATCTCCAGGGAGTGCAGATTCCAAATTTTGAAATCATAGACAATCAGATTTTACTTGGGAATATATAGGGGGAAATATGTGAAGGTTTTTTTTTTCAAGAACCACTTGCATATTACTATAGAAGCTTCCATATGTAGTACAGATTCAAATTTGATCAAGTCATGGAACTGGGGGCTAGGATGGGGCTTAAATAGTTTTACAGGAAAATATATACTAGTAAATTAGAAAAAGATCTTTTTCAAGAATGGCAGGATGACACTGAATCATATTAATAAGCAAATGTTCCCAAGTTGTGTGGATTCAAGTTTTTTTTTAAATTATGGACCCTGAGGTTAGGATGGGGCTAAAATCAGGGATCACAATTTACATAGTGCACAACAGTGGGGAAAACATCTCCAGAACAACAAGGCCATGTTAGTCTTTGCTGATATTGAAGCATCCTCATGTTGTGTGGATTCAACTTTGGTTAAGTCATGACCCCTTGGAGCTAGCTATAGGAGCCACAATATGTCAAAATTAAATGAAGAGGGTTTCTTTTCTTTTTTTTAAAATTCCCTGAAGAACAACAGGGCCAAGGTTACCCATGTGAGCATTGTGGACCATGGGTCTCTTGTTAGTATAGATTATAAAACTGTAAAAAAAAAAAATACTTTTTTTTTAAATGAATACATGTAATACAAAGCAATATTTAGCAAAAGTGTGAAGTGTCCATATTACATGAGCACACACTGCAGATTATTGTAAATTATAGAAAACTGAAACATTTTGTAATTTGCAAATAGTAAAAGAAATATTGATTCTGCAACCCAGTTTTGTAAAATGAACATGGTTATTTGTCTGATAGTAATATTTTTTTATTTCTATAGGTTCACTCCTGAGCAGCTGGGAATTCAGACAAGTTCTGCTTTAGTGTGGCTTATCTTGGAACTTTCTGTGTTAAACATGAGCCTTTACATTATGAACCTAAAAACAGATCTCAAGTATCTTGATATTGTAGCTTATTGTGGATACAAATTTGTAGGGTAAGTTATTCAGTAAATTATTTGAATATGAAATTAACAGTTCAACATGGCATGTGATTTTCTTTTTTAGCCTGGAATACAAGGTGATTTTGAAAAATATCAGTGTAGAATTTATGTACATATACAGTCAATTTATACTATAGCAAATGAAATTAAAACTGTTTGTATGAAGAGTGAGAAAAGTAAAAAGATCTAGATAACATTGCCAGCAGTATTTGGATTCTGTTTGAATACTGAATATGAATGAGAGTAATTATCTACTTTTTACAGAATGATACTCTGCCTACTAGCAGGAATGCTTTTCCAGTCTACAGGGTACTATGTCACCTTACTTTGGTTCAGTATAACTATAGCTTTCTTCTTGGTAAGTTGTACTGTTAAGGAAAATATTTATATACTAAGTACACAATATCAATAGCTCTTAATGGAAAAGTTTCTCTCCTTTAAATTCTTTTTATGCCCTCATAATTGAAGATTTGGGGGCATACAATTTTTTTGTCCCGTCAGTCTGTTTGCAGAAAATTAAATCTTGTCCATAGCTTTGGATTGATTGGAACTAGGACTTCCATATTTCATATGTGTATTCCTTGTGACAAGACCTTTCTTTGGGTACCAACATATTTGACTTCTTGACCTTGAACATGGAGTTTGAGCCACTTATGCAAAATTTTATGAAACTTAAACCTTGGCATAAATTTTGAATGGTTGGTGCTAGGGCTTTTATTTTTCACATGTGTATTCCTTGTGACAAGCCCTTTCCTTGGGTACCAACATTTTTTACCTTGACCTAGGGAATTTGACAACTTTTGAAAAACTTTTAATCTTAGCCATGACTTTTGAACTGTAGGTGCAAGGGCTTTCATAATTTACATGTGTATATTCCTCATGACAAAACCTTTCTTTAGGCACCAATATTTTTGACCTCTTGACCTTGACCTGGAGATTGACTTGCATTTGAGAAAGTAGAACTTTGGCAATGAGCTGTCCAATGGGGGCATCAGTGTTTCACAAACAAAGCTGGTTTTAAATTGGGATTTAACTTCTTGCCATTTCCAAAAGAATTTTCATCTTTTATGAAATTTTATACATATATAATATACGGGTAATTGGTTGCTTAATGGACAGTATGAGGAGTGTTGAAACCTGCTAAAGTGACAAGTTTTATAATGTATTTTCTGTTCATTAGGTATACATAGAAGCTTCTCATCAAACTTATAATTAATATTTGGGATTTAAAAAAAAAAATTCTCAGTTTGAGTTAAAAATGTGTGTTTAATTGAAGGTTCAGACACTGCGAGTAAAAATATTGCCGCACTCGGAAGACAGCAACTACTCAAGAGGAAGTAAGCGGAGCCTTTACCTGATCCTTTCTATATCCTTGCTTCAGCCTGTCATGATGTGGTGGTTAACGGGCTATATCATGTTCGCTAAATGAAACCATCTTCATCATATTTGGACACTCATTTTGTCAAAGATATTGTCACTTTTTGGATCAACCAAGATCCCTGATAAAAGGGAGACGTCAGAGTTGCACATGTTGCTCTGAAAAATCCATTTTTGGGACAGGTTTGAAGCCATCTGTTCGGTGGCAATTGTGAATATGTTGATGAATGTATTTCAGACTATGGACTATTTATGAGCTAATTTTATGTATTTTTATTTGTGCCAAAGTTGTACAAGTCTGTATGAGCTAAGAATAAATGTATGAATGCATCAGTGTATTTTTGTATCAAAATTCATAATGAATGAAGTTTTGTCATTTGAAACTGTCATAAGCATATCAACAAATGTCAATTGTCTTTGTAGAATATAGTGTAATGTAAAATTCAGGGCCAAAGATAAGGTATTGGATAACAGACGTCATGAACCTGCCGTCTATATTTCTTTAGATGGAGAGAAAAAAAAAGTAGATGGCAGCATGGTGGATAAAACAATGTTATGTCATCAAACTATGTACAGGGCTGTATTAAAGATTATAACAGCTAGGCTATCTTTTAACATCTCCAATTAGTGAAATTATTTGGTGGAGATTTAATTTGGGGCAATGCAAATTGATGATAGACAGCCTTTTGAACATAGGTAATCAAAGATTATACTGGTCAGATCTAGCATACAAAACAAGTCAATGTGCATTCCTTGATGCATCATCAATGCATGTTTGATCCAGGAAGCCTTATTGTTACTTGGGAATGTACCTGCTCAAAGAAACTTTGGTCACTCATCCAAAAAGCATAGATCAGATCCAGCATCTGCATTGTAGTGTAGATTCCTAGATGTATCATCAATGCAAGTTTGCTCTATGAGTGCTTAGAATTAAACTGGAATGTACCTGCTCCAATAACTTTAACATGGTCACTCATCTGTAAAATGTAGGTCAGATCCAGAATCTGAAGCAGGTCTGAGAGTGTTCATCCCTTGATGCATCATCCATGCAAGTTTGGTTCAGATAGGCCATGAAGTTACACTGGAATGAGCCTGCTCCAAAAAACTTTAAGCTTGTCACTCATTTGGAAAATATAGGTCAAATCCTGCATCTGAAGCAAATTGCCTAGTGTACATCCCTTGATGCATCATCCATGCAAGTTTGATCCAGGCAGGCCTTATAGTTTCTTAGTAATATACCTGCTTCAGAAACTTGAACCTGGTCACTCATCTAGAAAGTATAGTCATATCCAGCATCCAGAGCAAGCCCAGTAGTGTGGATCAATAAATGTATCATCAGTGCAAGGTTGCTTATTAGCTTTTCTGAGCTGAAGGCTCAAAAAGCCAATACTATGGGCATGTGTGCGGTGTGCATAAAGTTTTTAGAATATGGGCCATATCTCAAGAACCCCTTGGCCAGTTTTTGTCAAATTTGTCACAGAGTATAATGGCCCAAGGGCTTTCATTTATACTAAAAATAGGGATATGACCCTTAAACAAAGGGAGATGATTAGGGAAATGAAAACAAAAGTAGTGGATGCTAAAAACTCGTCTCAAGAAGGACTGGCATATTATTAGCAAACTTATGCATAATTATGAGGATAAGTTGTAGATTAAAGATTGTTCAAAGCATCACCCTGGGGCAGAGGGTGTGGTCTCAAGGTCACTTCAAAGTTGACCGAAATTATGTTTTGTTTAAACTTCAATATTTTGCCCACTAAGGCTAATAAAAGTATGGTGACCTACTTTTAGAATTCTGTAGGTATTAATTGTCCCTCACTTTTGTGAAAGTGAGGGGACATTAAATCTTTCAGTCTGTCTGTCTGTCAATCTGTCTGTCTCAAAAACTTTAACCTATGTCATTTTTTTTTAATGAGAAAAGATAGGCCTTTCATATTATACATGTACATTACCTGTGACAAGACCTTTCCAAATACACTATGATTTCTGACTCTGTGACCTTAACCTTGAAATTTGACCTAATTTCAAAAATTTTAATATTGGTTATAACTTTTGAAGGAGAGAAGATTAGGGCATTTATATTTGACCTGTGCATTACCTGTGACAAAATCTTTCCGAACATGCTAATGATTTTTTACCCCTTGACTTTGAAGTTTGACCTAATTTTCAAATTTATAAAAAATTTCAAAGTTATAATAAATTTTAAAATTTATTATAACTTTTGAATGAGAAAAGATAGGGCATTCCTATTTGAAAAGTGTATTACCTGTGACAAGAACTTTCCAAATGTTTGATCTACAGTCTTTTTCCTTTTTTAGCTCACCTGAGCCGAAGGCTCAAGTGAGCTTTTCTGATCGAAATTTGTCTGTTGTCTGTCATCGTCGTCGTTAACTTTTCACATTTTCATCTTCTTCTCAAGAACCACTGGGCCAGTTTCAACCAAACTTACCAAAAAGTATCCTTTGTGGGAATTCAAGTTTGTTCAAATGAAGGGCCATGCCTTCTTCCAAGAGGAGATAATTATGATTTTGCGGAAAATCATGACCCCGGGGGTAGGGTGGGGCCAAAATGGGCGATAAAAGTTTTACATAGGAAAAATCTTTAAAAATCTTCACAAGAACAACAAATGCATGGTTGGTCATAATAATATAAAAGCATCCTCAGTTAATGAAGATTTAAATTTGTTCAAATCATGACCTCCCAGGAGAACAGAGGGGCCATAACAGGGGAGTTATAGTTATACCATAACTATAGTTATACAAGGGAATATAAAGGATATATCAATCAAAATTGTCATCCTTAAAAGAACAGCAAAGCCATAATGTGTCATATTAATTCAAAAGCATCCTTAGGAAGTTTAGATTCAAGCTTGTTCAAATCATACCCCCCAACCATTTTTATACTTAAACTTATCAATACTGGACTGATTTCTGCTTTTTCCTAGCCAATGTGCTCAGGTGAGCGGTGTGGCCCCTGGGCCTCTTGTGTTTGTTTTTTTTTTATATTTGTAAAGAAGATAGGGCTTATGTCAACACCTTTCAGAAAGGTGTATTGTTTATGACTCATGACCTGACCTAGAAGTTTGACCTACTTATTAAAAATTTTCAATTTTGCTCCAAAAGAAAAATGTACAGGGCTTTCATATTTTTTTCACATGTTCATTACTTAGTGACAATACCTTTCAGATTGTATTATGATATTTGACCTCATGATCTTGATCTTGAAGTTTGAAGCTTTAATCTTTGCGATAACTTTTATCAATTCAATAGTTCAAATCTTTTTTTTTATGATGGACAGACAAGACTGGACACACAAATAAAACAGTTATAATATGCCATAAATAATTTTATCCCAACCACTAAGACACCAAAAGTGGGGGACCATAATTCTTTGAATTTGCTCGTTTTCAATTTGATTTTGATGCGTATCTTGGACACTTTGAAGCCTATCAAAACTTGTCAGCTTTGATACCATTGGGCCTTGAAGTGTGTCAACCAAATAGTAGGTCACTGTGACCTACATTCTGAGTTTTATGGCTATCATTTTTTAAACATTTAAGGTCACAATTTCAGCTACAGAGAGGTTAAGAATCGTCAAACCTTGTAAGTTGATGCATCTTGGGGCCTTGAAACATTATGTATGAAAAAGGAGGTCACAGTGACCTACTTTTTGAATTTTGCAGGTATTCATTTTTTAAATTGCTTTAGATGCATATTTTGGACAATGCAAGCCTAGGATCATCAGACCTTGTTAGTTTATGCATCCTAAGGCCTCTGAGTATATCAACTAAAATATAGATCACAGTGACCTACTTTTGAAATTTTATGGCTTTATTTAAATATTGCAGATACCAATTGGCTTAGAATCATCAAACTTTGTCAGTCACTTGATCATGAGTCCTCAGATTGTGTCAACCAAAAAGTAGGTCATTGTAAAATACTTTCAGAATTAATGGCTATATTTAAATATTTCAGATACTTATTGGTTTAGAATCATCAAACTTTGTCATTTGATGGAGCAATTCACAATTTTTGTTCCCTTTTATTCATAGTTGCTTTATATAAAATTTGGTTGAATTTGGTTTAGTGGTTCAAGAGAAGAAGCTGAAAATGTTCAGAAATTTATGACCGATGCAGGGCAGTGGATAAAACAGATCACAACAGTTCACCTAACTCAGGTGACCTAAATAAGGTAATAAAGTTTATGCTAGATTTCAAACTCAGAACAAACAATGGGTAAAGAAATTTTAATGTAATTATGCATAATGGTTTCAATTAATAATAGAAATTTTTTTTTTTAAACTTGTATTTTATTTTCAAGTATTTTATTTTCCATCAGTCACTATCCATAACTGTAATCATATCATTCGCTTTTACACTGCTAACACTATTACTCAATAGCACACAATTCTCTCCTCAAATGCATTATCCATGTATACATCTAAGATAATATATTAAGACGAAACTACAAAATGTATGTACAAATTGGAGACCTGATAAAACTTCTACCTATAATTTTGAACCCCACAAAATGCATTGTACAGTATACATATCTTGGAGTTTAATTTCTCCAAACACAAAAAAAAAGTGGTTCAAATGATTTACATCAATATCATGTGATATACAATTTTGCATGAACCTTTTCATCTGAATAATAAACAAATTGTCATACAAAAACAATACATGTATACATGTATTACATATTTTTTTTTTATATTCATTGCGTTATTGTAAGTTTGATACAATATCCAGAATAATGTATATTTCACAAAAGATTTCAATTCCTTTCATACAGTTTATTTTACACTTACAACATGTTTCTTGTTTCTGTATATCTGTCTATCATTTACACTTATTTACAACATTCAACACAACACATATGTATCTGTAGAACAGTACATGTATTATGATTTTTCTTTTGATGCCATGTGCCTCATAAGCTGATTTGTCAGTTTTTCCAATTTCTTCACATCTTGAGCATGTTCTGTTCTGTATTGAAAGCACTGAAATGAATATTAAAACATTACATATAGTAATTAGCATACAGAAGTATATCATTGAGGGATTAACAAGATTCCAGTTCTGCAAGGCCAGAACTATTTCCCAGGGTAAAGCCAAGGGAAATAGTCCTAGTCGAGGGGAACTGGAATCTTGCTATCTCCCTCAATGATATACTTTTTAACTGTTTTATTATACTGTAACTGGGAGTTAGTTTTGGAAGCAGAAATTAGCTCACTTGACTAACGCATGGCAAACTGATACAAAAGTAATATCTAGAGGATTATGGACAACCAGGTTATTGGCTCACTTGACTAACATAGGCAAAACTTGGATTAGTCCATTCACAGCAATTTCTAGGGAATTACTCAAATCTAATGATCTAAATTTATGTAGGGAAAAACCAGCAGAGGTATAATGATATAAATATAATTCAAGCACAGAGTGCTTCGTAGGATCAAGAAGTAAGACATATCATCCCAATTCCAACCTCTCATTGAAATTCTACTCATTTTGTATTTCTATTTGAAAACTCTAAGGCTTCTTGATTACTCATTAGAATTTTTTTTAAGTTTTAATCTCCAAGAAACTACAGTTTCTATTTATACAAATCCTGTCAACGTGAATAAATCTATCTGGGCTTTTTTTTTTGTTCAACAATGCCAAAAGTGCACAAAACATAATGTCATGAGAGCACTGCGATCTGATTAAAATACGCCAAATTGTACTATTATTGCTTTGTGTTAATAAAGAATAGATTGGTCAATATAATTCAACATACAGCTTTATTTTTTTATATACAACTTTTATTTCTTACCACATGGTCATCTGTAATCTTCACATTCAATTTCCCATCACAATGTCTGTACTTAATAACGAACCTGCACTGAAAATCATAAAAGACAAAAAATTATAACAATGCAAAAGCAATAGATTGTATGATTTTAAAATCAGAAAAAAATACCATCTTTTTAGTTTTACATCACAGACCGTTGGTAAAAATTTCAATAGTCAATCTATCTTGGAACACGTACTGTACAAGATGTCAAAATAATTTTCAGCCAAAAGGTCTTTGCTACATGTAGTTGATGATTATTAAATTTTATGTTGAACATGTCATGTACCTAGTGCCCCCCTCACTGTTAAAGGTAGAGGGGTAAAAGCCCCTAATGGTTCATTAACTATGTCATTTGCTACAAAATTACAAGAATTAGAGGCCAATCTTACAGTTCTTTTTCAAATTTCCTTTACAGCCATTTCAGGATTTGGGCCTCAGTATTTCTTATCCTCTTTAAAAAGTGTCAAAGTTGAACACGGAACACCACAACCTCCCCACCACCCGGAACATTGATTACTTATTGAAAAACCCTCACATCTTGCAAATAATTCCAAAAATGTAATTTTTAACACTTTTTTCAAACTTTTTGTTAACATGCCAGGAACTAAGTGCAAATACTAAAACCCGATTCAAAACGGCAAATTCCAGCCATTCAGATAGTTCTAAATTCTAGAGGCATTCCGGGAAATTTAAATATAACTTGAATTATCTTAGGACTATTTTAATTTTCTTGTGAGGGTTTTTACAATCAGTAATCAATGTTCCGAGACATCCGGTGCATAAAGATCGGTAGGTGCAGCGTTGTTTTTAGGAGTGAAACGGTTCACCGCGGTATCGATGCACCGCGGTATTTCTTCTCGGTTTGATACACGGTGCAAAATCTCAAATTTTCGGTTTGGTTCATTTTTCGGTCGGGATCGTTATTCAGTCGGGTTTGTCATAAGGTATAACACGTTACTCAGTATAAATAAGTATAGAAAACGTAAATTTTTGATGACTGATAGCTTGTAAAATAATTTTTGACAGTAAAATAATTTTAATCAATTTCTTCTAGTCAATTTGCAAATAAAATTCATAAAATATGTGACTAGATTTAGAAAAAGAAAGCATAAAACAACGTAGAATTTGTTTCCTTCTATCAAAATGTATCGTATTGAAAATAACCGAACCGAGACAAAATTATACAATACGTATCGAACCGTGAAGGAGGTGTATCGTTTCACCCCTAGTTGTTTTCAAAGAACATGCCATGTAAACAAGCGAGTTGAACAGACACCATTACGAAGCCTGCACACCTTTACTTTTTTTAGATATAAATTAGCCCTTTCCCAATAACTGTGGTACTGCTCTTTTGCAGGGCAAATTAATCAAGATTGGCGAAGTTTGTGCAGATAATTAAATGATGTTAATTGCTGTTACGTCATACTTTACCAAACCATGTCATTTTACCCTCCAAAAGAGCAGTACCACAGTTACCGTGAAACAGTCTATAAGGTACATAGTCATACATATTTATGAACCAAGACCCCTGTGTGTTTTGAAGCAATTATCATGTATGTCTAAAAAATAAAACTTCTATAGCTTACCTTTTGTGGGTCATTCAAGTATAAACGTTCAGCTGCTTTGGAAAACTCTTCCCATGAAGTTAAATATGTCATGTTGGAGTAATAAGAACGATAATATCTGCAACAGAACAATATGTTACATTTGCAACGTGCCAGTCCTGAAAACCGGAAGTGCACTATATGATGATCACACTAAAGGACGAAAATATTATTTTAAAAAAAGATGTTTATTTTTTTACGTCTAAGAACTAATGAATCAAGAATAAAAGAAAGAAAACCGATTATGTTTTATACTTTTTAAATTTAATTTGTAAAAAGCCTTGGTGTGGCTTATTTCGCAAATTTGCTGAAATTATAATATGATACATGTCAATAAACAAAGTTTATTCAGCTAAAATCGTTCAAAAGTTGTTTGCACCGAATTTTAAAAATGTAAATGAATATTTTGATGGAGTACATACGTCATACTATGTTACTTTGGTACATTTGGCCTAATTTAGAATATAATTTTCTCTTATTAGAGTTACCCATGATTTTGTTTGTTGAATTATTGTAAAGTTTTCCTTTCATAAAGTAGATAACACATAACGAAGTTTTTACAATACAATGAAAATTCTTTGATAAACAAAAGCCAATATTGCTGCATTTGTATTTACAAGAGTTTTTAAAAAACACATTGCTATTTTTCCCATGATGCTCTATAATGACAAAAAAAATATGGCGTCACTTTTGTGATGAGGAAGGTATGTGAGATAATCAATCCGGAAACTAAAAGGTTTCCTGCCGATGGAGAAGTAGGCCACTTGATTGTTTTGCCTGAGTGACTTATTACACTTATAGAGCAGACATACTGAATGTCAACAAATATTGCACTACAACGGAATACATAAATTATGAGGTGAGCTATGAAATATTCTTCATATATAAAACGAATGGGTAAAAGATGCGCTACAAATGCATCGAAATATATGTCATAAATGAATTTGAAGAAAAGAATTTCTCATTCTGTTTACCATCGGTATTCATGATCAATTGAAAACATTTGATGTTGTTAATAAATCAGGGTAATTGTGCAAAGGAGGCACTATTATATCTGACATTTTTTGCATAAAATTGAGGTGGTGAAATAAAGTTTGAATATTGGAAAGCTAGATGAGTCATTTATGAGTTCAGCAAATAAGAATGCTGCATTCCTTTGGACTTCTAGGGAAACGTCTAAAAGTAATAATCAGGGCATAAGGTTATTGGGAAAAAATTATAGTTTTTAAAAGCTTTTATGCACAGATCTGGTAGCCAAGTGAAAATTAATTGTTCATTTAGTCATTAATTTTCTGTCAACCACTAGGCATATCATCAAAGATTTCATGGAACACAATAATGAATTACTAATCTACAATTATGTAGAACACATTTTATTCAATATGACCAGTTACGTTTGAACATTGTACTGCTGCTGAGCTGGCTAAATAACAATGCAGTACATCAGTTAAATGATGTTGAAATTAAAAAAAGGGCAATTATTTGCTTAAAATTTTTTGACAAGTATAGCTTTCCAGAAACTTCATTGTAAGTATTTGTAGCACTGTGGGACAAATCAATTGAGGGTGGTGTATCTGCACAATCTGTGTCAGGTGTTGTTTGTGATCAATTAGGTCATGTAGACCACTCATTCATGGATGGTTTTTACATGTATGCTATCTGGGTGACAGGATCAGGTGTTGTTTATAACCATTTAATCTGTTGTACATATAATGAAATTAACAAGGTATAAATACTGGCCAAAATAGTCAGCCAGTCTTCAAAATTAGACTTTTTAAGTTACTGGCTCAAACACTGTCTGATTTGAAATTTTTTATGGACTCTATTGGAAAAAAAAAAAAAAGGATACAGGCCCAAGGAGGTTTTCATCGGCCGGGGAGTACTGGACCTCTTCTAAAATTGATAACTGTAAAGAGAGGTTTTAGTTAATCTGATAAAGAAGCCCCATAAGGTACAACAGGAAATTTAGGAAGTACAGATCTGCTAATGTGAGAAGTCTTGAGGTCATTTGAATTAAAATTTTGTTCCCTTCAATGTCTACTGTTACCAGAAAGTATCATAGGCAGATAAAAGTGAGTGCTGGGTACCAGGTCTTTATTTAAAAAAAAAGATCATTTACATTATTATTTATTCTGATCTTTTGAAAACTATTTCACCCCCTAACCCCCCGCAACCCCCAACCCCCACCCTTTGGAGTATATTTATCAATATAGACTCCTTTTAATATCATGTTTATGATGTATTAGTACTGTTTCAATAAGATGTGGAACCTTAAACATAAACAATTCTACATTTTAATTTTTATCTTGTTAGCATGGTTTGAACTGTATTAGGAAGTATGCATTGCAAACTTTTCACCACCTATGTTTAGTCATTTAGAACAGTGAAACACTACACAGTTTATAAGTCAGTGCAAGTAGTGTCAAATGTTTAAAGCACTTCCTGAGGCAAAACAAGCAAACTCCTTCTAGTTTTAATGATTATGATGTTGAAAATAAAATGTTATATTTATCTACAATGCCATGATGTATACATTTATGCAAATATTAAAATAACCTACTAACTACTCATTGCCGATATATAGATTACTATAGTAAACTTAGATACTATATGCTTGTGCCCCCTCAATAAAAACGTCTGATGTCCTTTTTTTTTTTGCTGCTTGTCGGGAAATTTTTGGAAGTGCCCCCTCAACTGAAAATGTATGGCTGTGCCCCCCCCCCCAAAAACTGAAATGGGTTCCTACGGGCCTGCTACTAAGGATGTAACAATAGAACCTGTATACTGCAATACCCGAAAAATTGTATCATATCATGGTAAAAAAAAAAAAAAAGAATTATACTTAAGTATTCCGGTACATAACATTTTCAGCAGTTTATTTTCATTTTTAATGGATTCTAATGACGAAAAATATGTAGCTTAGCTTTACATCTATTGTGCTACATGTGTTTTCTTGTCATAAGGCCAAAAAAAATAATAGTCTTGTTTCCTGCTACCCGACCTACCCTATTTTTTAGCCCCCGACCCTAAAGTTTTTTTTAAGTTTTGGAAGAAAAAAAATCGGGAATTTCCAGAATTTCATTGTTCTGTCACCGTAATCAGTTTCCTTGTTAACACAAAAGAAGCATTTCATGAAATTCTTGTTTCAAATATGGACTTTCATAAAATACCACTTGAGTTGTGCATAAAAAGACATGAAATTTAATTTTAAAAGACAACGTTGACCTGTGACGTTTAATTTGATCTTGTATTAGTTCATATCCAAAAAATGCTGTCGGAAAAAAATAAAATAAAAATATAAAATAAAATAATTTTCCTACCTACCTACCCTATTTTTTTCAGGCCGGTAGCAGGAAACAAGACTATTATTTTTTTTGGCCTAATGACCCTGTATAAGTTGTTTACAAAGATGGGCTCCTATCATTGTGATGAGTATGAGCACATTGTATTAATTCTTCTGAGTTGATTATTATTATGATGGGTTTCTTTCTTTACATGCATGACCATTGCTGTTTATTGTTTTGTTTAAAAATTCTTAAATGTTAATACTTGAAGTATAAATTATGTACATCTATTAGTGTTACACATTGCAGTGTTAGATTCCCATTCAGAACAGAGAAACCCAATTTGTGTAAGAAATTATGAAATTATGAAAGGTGATACATGTATATATATTTATATCACATTACAGTCTCAGTTTATCATGGTATGCTTCAGCTGTATCATTACACCCCTACTAACTCCTAAATGTTATTGACAACATAATGAACATATACCTGAAAATACATATACCCAGTATATATATTTACTAGAAATTATGTGTACACATACACATTACATTTGCCTTGTTAATAAAAAAGAAGGTACAATGTTTAACACAATGCACAATTTTGTAGTCAAAGTTCAAATTGTAAATGTAATCAACCGAATTGACATTTGTATGAAAAAAATATGTGGAATATGTGTGAACAGCTGTAAGAGAAATCAGTTTAATTCTTTGTTAATATGTCATATTAATTAAATTATCAGTTCGTTACAACAAATACATGCATATATATGCACAGTAAAACTTGTTTATAACAAAGGAACATATATATGAAAGGAACATATGTATGAAAAATATGATAAATATAATGAACACTTGATTATAATGTAAAAAAAAAAAAATGGATCTGATAAATAAAAGTTATAATTGAAGCCTTTTAAAGTTGTGTGTTATGCACTCATTTTCTATCCATTTTTATAAATTAATATGTTGTGTATTAGTCTTTATTGGATGATATATCTCTGAATCTAATTTCCTTGTCAACAGTATAATTGATCTGACTATATTGTGTTTACATTCAAGAAGAAATCTAACTCTTGACAATAACTAAAGATAACAGACGACCCTTTAGTTTCCTGTCGATGATGAAAGTAGAAAACCTTACAAACAGAGTGTGTGTATTGCAGTGTGATTATGAGTAACACACTTTAGATATCGACTGCACTAACTTGAAAGCACTAACTCTACATCAGCATCTGTTCATATTCTTCATGAGAAAAGTTGAGAATTCATAGACTGATGCCTAATACAATCAGAGTCTGTTGATTTTTAGCTCTACTGGTCAGAGACCAGAAGAGCTTATGCGATAGTAAGGTGTCCGTCGTCCGTCCGTCTGTCTGTCTGTCTGTCTGTCTGTCTGTCTGTCCGTCTGTCTGTAAACAATTTTTCAAAACGCTACTCCTCCTACAGTTTTGGTCCGATTTCAATATAACTTGGCACACAAGTAGACTACACTAAGATACATAATTTAGTGCATCGGTTTTTGATTTCGATGGACGGTGTTGCCATGGTTACTAAAAATAGAAATTTCTGTGAAATTCCTTTAAAACGCTACTCCTCCTACAGTTTTGGTCCGATTTCAATATAACTTGGCACACAAGTAGACTACACTAAGATACATAATTTAGTGCATCGGTTTTTGATTTCGATGGACGGTGTTGCCATGGTTACTAAAAATAGAAATTTCTGTGAAATTCCTTTAAAACGCTACTCCTCCTACAGTTTTGGTCCGATTTCAATATAACTTGGCACACAAGTAGACTACACTAAGATACATAATTTAGTGCATCGGTTTTTGATTTCGATGGACGGTGTTGCCATGGTTACTAAAAATAGAAATTTCTGTGAAATTCCTTTAAAACGCTACTCCTCCTACAGTTTTGGTCCGATTTCAATATAACTTGGCACACAAGTAGACTACACTAAGATACATAATTTAGAGCATCAGTTTTTGATTTCGATGGACGGTGTTGCCATGGTTACTAAAAATAGAAATTTCTGTGAAATTCCTTTAAAACGCTACTCCTCCTACAGTTTTGGTCCGATTTCAATATAACTTGGCACACAAGTAGACTACACTAAGATACATAATTTAGTGCATCGGTTTTTGATTTCGATGGACGGTGTTGCCATGGTTACTAAAAATAGAAATTTCTGTGAAATTCCTTTAAAACGCTACTCCTCCTACAGTTTTGGTCCGATTTCAATATAACTTGGCACACAAGTACACTACACTAAGATGCATAATTTATTGCATCGGTTTTTGAATTCAATGGACGGTGTTGCCATGGTTACTAAAAATAGAAATTTCTGTGAAATTCCTTTAAAACACTACTCCTGCTACAGTTTTAGTCTGCTTCTAATATAATTAGGCATACAAGAAGACTATACTAAGATACATAATTTATTGCATTGGTTTTTGAATTCGATGAACAGTGTTGCCATGGTTACTTAAAATAGAAATTTCTGTGAAATTCCTTTAAAACGTTACTCCTCCTACAATTTTGGTCTGATTTCAATCTAATTTGGCACACAGTTAGAATACACTACGATACATAATATGTATTTCTGTTTTTTTTATTTGGGTGAATGGTGTTGTCATGGTTACCGGTACTAAAAATAGAAATTTCCGTGAAATACTTTCAAAACGCTACTACTCCTAGTTTTCATTTGATTTCAATATAACTTGTCACAAAAGTAGATTACATTAAGATACATAATTCTATTTATTGTTGCATGTTGCAATGTTTCAAATCCAAGTGCTACTTTTCTTTTGTTATACAAACAGACCAGTAGAGCTACAGTCTCATCAGAGACTTCTGGTTTTTTTTACTCTTTACATACTATTCCTTGTGAATGATATTGATGGAAGTGCAGAAATTAATATTTTAGTTGTCTCAATTTCAGCCGTCAGTGCAAACTCATAAATAATCTATTTGTAGCATCAATCACTTGTGCCAAATTATTGAATAAAAAAAAGTGTACACCTTATGGTAAAAAGTGTCAAATTATCAGTATACCTAAAATTAAGTGAAAAAGAACACTAGTAATTTTGCAGCTAAATGGCAGCAATCACATTATTAAATCATGCACAAGCAAGGGAAAAATCACCAATTTATAGGCACTTTCTTATCACTGATTACCAATTTTTAAAAAAAAAAAAAAAAAAAAAAAAATCTTTATTTGCCAGAAGAATCAATGGTTACCATGCTGAAGACTCACTTGTTTTGTTCTCAAGATTGTTCCATTCAATCCAGGAAGCTACCAAGGCCACTGTCTTAGATTAGGTCTTTATTTTTCCAGTGGAACTGTGGAAGTTAAAGACCAGTTTGATTTATCTGTGCTTGGTAGTTCAAAATGTCCTAGTTACACAATAGATATATTAAAACCTTTATGTTGGACAGATGATTTTTGTATGATGGTGTTTAGTCCAGAGTACATTTTGTTCCAATACTTATGGCTGAGATATTAAGCCAGAAAAAAGGAAATGCTCAATTTAAGTTCAGCTGCAGAGTAAGGCACATGTTTCAGTAGATAAGTAGATTAATCGGCCTTTGAATCCGTAACTTATTTCAGAAGTTCACTTACACGCACTCTCCTTTCTTGAAACGTAATTGTTCAAAAATTATACAGCGGCCTTTCATTTGGAAAATTAGGATTTGGATATGCTCGTTTTGGTGGATTTTGATGGACTAGTCGGTCATTGTTTTGGCAAATGGCATGCCTCCATTGTGTTTTAGTATATTTGCGATTCTAACCACTGATGAAAATATAACCCAGGTCTTAAGTATTTTCATTTCAAATCTTCAATCTGGTGTTTCAGTTTTCATTCACTTAGATAATTTGTAGATCTGGCATTTTTACTTGGATTAAAGTGAAGGAGAAAATGCAACAGTGACTTGTAATTAAGTGCTTGTTTTGAAACTTTTCACATACCAGTAATTACTGTCCATGCCTCCAGCAAGAATTCTATTTCATCAATCAAAATTTGTATTGTTGTGTCCTTCTGGATTTCCAAATGTGACTAGGAGATGAACCAGGAACAGTTTTTTTTATCAGTACTTACAGTGGCACAATCCAATTGTGAACTTCCAAAAAAGAACAAAACTTACTGGATCTGAACTGTTGTCATATAATTACAGTTTTAAGGACCTTGTTTCTGTATTATCAAAATGGAATGTTCATTTGACAATCCATATGATACAATCTCAGCTGTTCATAGAGAAGATGAGGAACTCTATACTACTCCTTATGGGTAAGCTGAATGAAAATTGATATACCTGTATGTGTTCAAGTCTTCTTAGTATATTTACGGGATTTTCCCTTAGAATAGAAATAGCAGGGTACATTAAAAAAGTAGAATAACCAGGGGATTGTGTTATTATAGATGAGGAAATTCCCCGGCCCCCAGGACTTAGGGACAACCCTGATATATATATGTGGTTATTATTGTGACTTACTAAGGTGACATGTATGTTTAAATATGCATTAGAAAATATAAAAAATAAGAATTCCTTTCAAGCTGTGTGTGGAAGCTGAGATTATATCCATATGTTTTATGTGATTAGATACTGTTTTTATTGGGTCAGGAACATATTGGTTTATCTGGTGATTGACATGGTCTTAGCTGTATGATGTATTTGTGTTAGTGAAATGCCAATGGTTTGGAATGTTCCCTGCTGTTTTAGATGATGTGTTTTAAATGCATCAAAATACTGAAAGTTAGGGACAATGTGTTTGAAGGTATTATTGATGGTTTTTTGTGACAAAATCTTCAGTTATCAGATACAAGATAATAATTACCTATTGGCAATACATTGGATGTTCAAAGATGAATTTAAAATACAATTCATTTAGCTTGGATATATTTTTCCCATATAGAGAATTAGATGTTAGAGATTCTCTTTTGCTAATGGAGCTTGTTCACATTAGAAATTTTCCACATCCAGAATTCAATGTGATTCTGTTAAAGGATTTATTTCCTTCATCTCCATGTTATTGTATATTTCCTCCGATTTGGCCTTATTTATGATGGAATTGCATGGTAAAATCCATGTGCTATGAGATGTTTGTTTGACTCCGGAAGAGGTTCATCAATGACTTGCTCAACTTAAAGATTTTTGTAGGATTTGCTGCAGAAGAAATAGATTATAGATATGAGGTAGTGTATTGATCTATTTTTATTTCAAGTGAAGAAAATAAAAAATAATGAATTAACAGCTGTGAATAGAGGACAGCGAGTATTTTATTAATCTAATAGAGCATGGAATGACCAAGTTTATGAAGAATAATGTTATTTAGTACCGGGATCTTGATTGGTTAATGTACAATCAGGAGAAAATTGAGATCTATGAACCAAGATTAGTTAAATGTGTTTACCTTTATTTGGTAATTACTTCCTTTGACAAGAGTGAAAATCTGGAAAAAAAAAAAAAAAGAATTCAACTAACTCCAATTTATCTGTACCACACTCAAGTTAATTGAAACAGTTTTCTTTGACAATTGGTTGAATTGACAGGAAGTTAACCCCTTGCAGGCTTACACCATATTGTAACAAGGACATTTTCTTACGACCCAAGAGGATCTTTGTGGTCACTATTGATTGCATGATTGTGGTTAGGACTTTGAAGGATTTGGACAATGATATTTATAGCAAACACTCTAATGTACTATCATATAATGTATATACATGTGTAAGTGTACATGTAGATGAAATGGATTAGTTTTTCCTTGTACACCAGAACACCAGGAAGTATTCAGTTGTCAGTTGGAGGTATTGTATTGTGCTGGTGTGTCCTTTGGAATCTGTACTTTATGTGATCAGCTGTCAGAAAGATCATCTGGATTTTTTTTCTGTGATGAGTCGAAAATACAAATCTAGAGAATTGCCACCATTACCTAGTCAAGAAAGGCCATCTGTCCGACCAGCTCAGGATGGACCTGCAGGGTTTGTCATTCAATTTCTGATGTTTCTTTCTCAATATTTGGGTATAAGTTGTCGTTGTGTATTGTGAAATTGCTTTACATAACGTTTCTGGATTAAGCATTGTACACATAGGTGTAGCTTCCTTTCTGTTGACTAGCTTTGAACATATAGGCATATATATACATGTATTTTTCAACACCTCTATTGAGAGGAGGAAACGAGGATTGTATGTTTTTATTATAATTAAAAGACTTTGAAGTGGATAATGTTCATTGTGTTTGATGTAGATATAGTTGCTCTCTAGAAGGTCTAGGAAAGAGGAAATGGAAATGTGATAAAATTTTAATAGTTCCCTTTTCTGACATTTGTAACCATTCACAACAAGGAACAGGGTTTCATTATTAAATTACATAGCTATATAAACAAAGATCATGTAGAACCTGGGGAATGGATCTTCATTGGCAGTCAATGAGGGTGTGCTATCTTTAAATACTTCCATAAAAATCTTCTTTCCACAACTTCCTTCCAGCTCTTAACAGGTTTTCCTGCGAAGTGCATATAACTGCATTCTCTGTTATGTGAAGCTGTTGTGAAAAGAATATGGCATTGAAAATTGTAAATGCAGTTCAATTTATTGATTTAAGAACAGGCATAAGACAAGAAGAATTGAAACTGGTTTATTTTAAATTAGTTTATCTTTGGGGCGTTAATAAAACAAATAAACAGTTTTATCAAAACAAAATTGATCCTCATTAACTGTGTCTTTATGCCACATCCTGCAATTTTTAGAGTCTGACTTTGAAATTATAGCTTTGTCGAAAGTAGAACTGAAAAAAATTAAACAAACTTAATTCTGTTTTAATGCATAGTTGTGTCAACAACAGGACATTTAGTTTATAATAGTGTAATCTTTCAGAGTAGAACATTACCCTTCTTATTTACCTGCCAGTAATTTAGAATTAAGTTGAAAAAAAAAAGGTGATGTCATAGTGATACCATATAATTTTCAAGTAGCAGAAAGATATGCATCTCAAAAATCAATTTTAATTAGAACCAGACAATTTCTTGTTGTGAATACTGATTATTAGGGTTCCATCATTCAAGATAGTCTACTTAGCTAGATTAATCTGAAATTTTTAATACTTTCTGAGACTAGATAGCCATCATGTTTGTCATATCTGAGATGTCAAGGACTTGATACTGCATCACCAACACATACATGGTGTACATTAGCCATTACATTACTCAGGTAATATGAAGGTGTGTTTACACCTGTAAAAGCTAGGCATACCAGGAGTGAAAGACTAACACAGTAGAGAAAATATCTGAAGAAAGGTCAGAGATCACACATACTGATTATTTAAATGACAAAACTTCATAAAGTGGCAGGAAATCTTGTCCGGGCTTTTAGATATACCGGTAGATATACTAGTATAAATAATTGTATACTAGTACATGTATTTCTTGTTGACAGATTTACTTCTACCGAGCATAAATACATGTAGAATATCACTTGCGGAAGTTTGGAATTTCCTTTTAATAAATTTAAGTACATGTGTATGATGCATGCACAGTTTAAGTTCCCTTGGGATGGGGTCATTAACTTTTGTTTACTTTGAAGTTGATTATAATTTCTGGTGGGGAAGAGGGGGAGTGGGTGATGGTGGGTGATATATAGCAATTTAAAACTAAAATCTTAACAGATATCAAATTACTGTTATTATGTATGTAGTCCATAAATTATAGTAATACATTTCTGGGAAATGGGATCAAAGTTTTATGTGTTATAGTAGTGTGCAAACAGACATGGCTGATCTGATCAGTGGACATTTATTGTTCCTATTATCTGGTAGCCATTGCAAAAACTTGTTATGTTGTTGTCTATATATTTATGGATCAAAGTGTACAAACATTGATGTTGGGTTTGAATCATACAGTTACCTACATTACCTGACATCTGTATACCCCCACCCAACCTCTATCACATGCTATTACATATACGGTACTAATTCATTATACTATCTGTTTAAGAAGTAATCATGGTGATCTATAAAACTCTTTGAGCTACAACTTCACAAGTAAAACATCTCAGACAAAAGTTCATATCTGTATTGACTGTAAGTAACTAAGGCCCGTGTGACAGGTCTGACGTGAAATTCAGTGGAAACTTATGCAAGAAGTACAAATTTGTCATGCAACCACTCTGTGCTGTGGTGCACTCATTATTTAATACATGTAACAGGAAATATCATATGAGTAAGATTGTGGCTTAATATAGTTGTATAATGATACTTATTAATAAGCCGTTCCTTTTCCACATTTTGGAATACAATACAGGTTATCTGTATGCAGACCTTGTTAAATGGCAGTTATAATTGTCATGTTACCCGTAACTAAATTTTCAGGTGTGTAATGTCAGGGCAGATGAACTTAAGAGATATACTATTATTGTTGTATGTCAATACTAAGAATCTTTAGAGCCATCTGTGCCAGGACAATCAACCAAATATCTTATCTTTCAGTGTGTTGATTTTTTTGCAGTCTTCTGGTACAATGTTTGAAATATTGTGTTTCCTTGATAAAGTGCATTTCTGAGTTAACAAAAGATATACATGATACAATTACAGTGTTGACACTTGTTTCAGTTATCAAAAGTAGTTGAATCTTTTAAGGGTTTAAGGTGATTTGTGGATATTTGTAAGTTTTCAAAACTTAAAGAAATATGAAGGATCTTTCTGGCAATATGTATTTTCACACCAGTCACTTAGTGAGGTAGGTTGTTGGACATTAGGTCAGTGTGTTTGATAATTAAATGGATTTTGGTTTAGATTGTGTAAACCCGTCAATAATGTCAGATTTGCAAAGGGAGAAATTCAAATGAAAATTAACTTTATTTAGATGGCTCAAAATATTTAGCATGCTCTAAGGTTTGAAATGAAGTATGAAAGTGGAGCATACTATTTGGAATGCCAAAGGTAATTGAAATCATTGAAAGTTCATTGATCAAAGTATCAACCACGATGTATATAGTTAGTGAAAACAGTTAATATTTCTAGTTTTAATAAGCACTACAAAGTACATATATTTCACTCTTGAGGTCTTTTGTAACCAAGGACTTTCCTCTGTAAATGTAAATCTGTCAGAATAATAATTCAGTTGTACTGATTTATCAAAACATTATACATGTAACAATAAACTGTATACATATATGTATTTTTTTTTCAGTGAGGTCCCAATAGCTTCAGGCAGGGCAAATGTCATGCTATATGATGATGCCGCTAAGAAATGGGTGGCTAGCGGCACATCTCAAGGACTCTCCAAAGTCCAGATCTATCGACATACCACAAATAACACATTTAGAGTTGTGGGCAGAAAGTTACAAGACCATGAGGTAGGTACCATATTGTGACAGGCTTGAAATACTTGTAATTTCTGTTTGAAACTTTAGACCCAAGTCATTGATCAAAGCAGGTATGCAATTTTTATGTCCCCATAAAGATTTGGGGGCATATATATTTTTTGCCCTGTCCGTCCATCTGTGTTTGTCTGCAAAAACATTAACTTTGCCCATAACTTTTGATTGGTTGAAGCTATGGCTTTCATATTTTATCTGTATATTCCTTGTGACAAGACCTTTCCTTGGGTACAACATATCTGACCTGTTGACCTTGGAGTTTAACCCACTTTTGCAAAATTTTAACAATCTTACCTTTGTCATTACTTTTGAACAGTTGGTGCTAGAGCTTTCATACTTCACATGTGTATTCCTTGTGAAAAGACCTTTCCTGGGATATATATATTTTTAGGTCACCTGAGTCACTCGTCTGTCGTCGTGCGTCGTGTGTTAACATTTGAACATTTCAGCTTCTTCTCTGAAACTGCTGAACCTGAATTTCATGGTCCCTGCCCCCCTGGGGCCTGAGGGGTGGGGCTAAAACCATCAAAATTAATGCAATCTTTAAAAATCTTCTTCTTTACTCCTGGACATCAAGCAGTCAAACTGTTGACATGATTGTAATAAGCATTGAGCCCTCTACCAAAATTGTGAAATTCATGGCCCCAGGGTCAGGGGTTCTGGTGCTAGGGCGGGGCTATATAGATCATATAGTGAAAGTGCATTATTTCTTTGAAAATCTTCTTCTCTACTCCTGGGTATTATTGAAACAAATTGAATACATAGTTATGATAAGCAAGGGTGACTCTACCAAAATTGTGAAATTCATGGCCCAAGGGTCAGGGGTTCTGGTGCTAGGGTGGGGCTATATAGATCATATAGTGAAAGTGCATTATTTCTTTGAAAATCTTCTTCTCTACTCCTGGGTATTATTCAAACAAATTAGATACAGAGTTATGATCAGCAAGGGTGACTCTACCAAAATTGTGAAATTCATGGCCCCAGGGTCAGGGGTTCTGGTGCTGGGGGGGGGGGGGGTATATAGATCATACAGTGAAAGTGCATTATTTCTTTAAAAATCTTCTCTACTCCTTGGTATTATTGAAACAAATTAAATACATAGTTATGATAAGCTAGAGTGACTCTACCAAAATTGTGAAATTCATAGCCCCAGGGTAAGGGGTTCTGGTGCTGGGGGGGGGGGAGCTATATAGATCATATAGTGAAAGTGCATTATTTCTTTCAAAATCTTCTTCTCTACTCCTGGGTATTATTTAAATAAATTAAATACATAGTTATGATAAGCAAGAGTGACTCTACCAAAATTTTGAATTTCATGGCCCCTTGGTCAGGGGTTCTGATGTTAGGGCGGGGCTCTATTTATTATATAGTGAAAATGCATTAATGCTTTAAAAATCTTTTTCTCTGCTTCTGGGTATTATTTAAACAAACTAAGTACATTGTTATGATAAGCAAGGACACCTCTTCCAAAATTGTGAAATTCATGGCCCCAGGGACAGGGGTTCTTGTGCTAGGGTGGGGCTATATAGTTCCTACAGTGAAGGTGAATTATTTCTTTGAAAATCTTCTTCTCTGCCCCTGGGTACTATTTAAACAAACTAAGTACATTGTTATGATATGCAAGGATGCCTCTTCTAAAATTGTGAATTTCATGGGTCAAGGGTTCTGGTCAAAAGGTTGGGGGGGGGGGGCTCTATTGATTATATAGTGAAAAATCAAAATTTCTTTGAAAATATTCTTTTCTGCTTCTGGTTAAAAAGCAAAGAAGCTAAGTATATCGTTATGATGAGCAAGAGTGCTTCTTCCAGAGTAGTGAATTGCATGACCCCTGGGTCAGATGTGCTGGTATAAGGGTATGGCTGTTAATAATGTAGTGAAAATGCATTAATTCTATTAAATAATCCTGTCTGCTCCTTAATGTTAAGCAGTTAAACAAAGTGATTACTTATGATGAGCAAACTTGAAACTTCTGGTCCCAGGGTGAGAGGCTGTGGTGTTTCTCGGTGGTGAAGGGGGGGGGGGGGGGGGGGCTCTATTGATAATATAGTGAATCTGTAGTGAAAATGCATTATTTCTTTAAAAATCTTCTCTGCACTTGGGCATATCAGAGGCAAAAAGTGTAAAAGTTGTAATAAGGAAGGGTATTTTTACCAGATTTTTGAACATCTGGACCATTTGGTCAAGTGTTCTAGTCCTAGCCAGGGCTCCGTTAATTTGCATTCTACTGAGAGGAGTTATTCCCCTTTGCCATTTACTTTTGATAATTAATCATTGTAAATAATGTACTTGAAAAATTAATAGAATAAGAGAATTATGCAAGAATTTTTATTGTATAATACAAAAAGTATTTTCATAGTTTTAATGATCATGTGGACTTGTAAGTAATAGATAAATAAAAATGAGACAAAAATAACTTGTCTTATTAAATGTTCATCAAAGACCAAGAGAGGCCAATCTAACAGATTACAACAAGGAATTAAAATAGTACAAAAGCACTGATAGTTTGTTAATATACTATATGGTGATAGTGATAGATGGGGAACAGATTAGAACCTAATTTATGAACTGTTAATGAATAGTAGACTAATTATTTTGTTGATCCTGATCACCCTATTTTTCTTGCTTTTGGGCATCAAAGCTTCACCTTTCATTTCATTTTAATACTCTATGGATCCTCTAAATTGTTGTATTGTACTCAGGTGACAGTTAAGGTCCTTGGGCCTCTTGTTGATCTTAACCTTGGACTTTCAGGGCTCGACATTAACTTTTTTCCCTACTTGTCCATTCGGACAAGTGACCAAGACATTTACTTGTCCGAACTTCAACTTCACTTGTCCGAAAATTTTCCAATAAAGATCTAATACTGTCAACTTGAAAACTAAAATAAAGTCCATTACACATGACATGTGCTTGATTGATTCGTGATGTCATTGATATTTACAACAAACACATAAAACGAAATTTTATTTAGGCTTTCTGTCCGGACAACAACATAAATGTCCACAAGTGAACCAAACTTTGTTAAGTTCGTAAGTTCCATCAGTCCTGTGAATCCATGCCTTTTCAGTAGTATGCAATTAGTGAACTTCGATCCCGAATCAATGTGAACTCAATTAGTAGCGATCCCGATTTTTTATGTACAGCTTCCGTTTTGAAACTACCGATTATCTTTCACAGTCGTTCTTATTATTATTTAGAGACTCCTTTACATTAAAATACACTTGTCCAATCGGACAAGTGCCCAGCAATATTCACTTGCCCGTAATTTTTTTTCACTGGTACCGAGCAAGCGGACAAGTGTTAATGTCGAGCCCTGACTTTGACCCATTTTTAAAAACTTTAACCTAGGCTATAACTAATGATTGGTTAGAACAATGAAATTTCATATTTCACAGGTGTATTTCTTGTGACGAGACCTTTCCTTGGGTTCTAAAAGTTTTGACCATTTTTTTTCTTGACCTTGGAGTTTGACCTACTTCTGAAAACTTTAAACTTGCATGTCCATAACTTTTGAATGGTTGGTGCTTGGGCTTTCATATTTCACATGTGTATTTCATGTGACAAGACCTTCCGTTGCGCACCATTAATTTTTGACCATTTGACCTTGATGTTTGGCCTACTTTTGAAAAACTTTTAACTTTTGCCATAACTTTTCAATGGCTGGTGCTAGGGTTTTTATATTTCACAGATATATTCGTTGAGACAAGACCTTTTATGGATACCAACATTTTTTATCTCTTGACTTTGACCTTGAAGTTTTACTTGCATTTTTGAAACTTTAACCCTCGCCATAAGCTGCCATTTGGGGGCATCAGTGTTTCATAAACACATCTTGCTTTTTTTTTCCATTTAGAGATAATAATTTTTTATTAAGATCTCTTAAACCAACAACATTTACAATGCAACAAGTTAAAGGTGACAGGAATTTGCAATAAAAGTATTCTTTTATCCATTCTCAGTTTTTCCCCTTTGATGAGTAATTCTGATTTGGGGGGGGGGGGGGGGGGGGGGAAGAGGGGAAGGGTAGTTCTTTCAAAACAGATCTAGTTATTTATGGGGGAAAAACACACACACAAGAATCAATACAAAATGATTTGTTGAAACAACAACTTTTAAGGAAAAGGAGTTCAAACTGGTCAGCAGGAAGCTGCAATCAGAAAAATTTTTAGGGACCCTCCGTTCTTTGTACTCTGTTTATAAAGAAGATAATTTAGAATCTCTTATGTCATCCTTTGCTATTAACATTTTCTGTTATTAAGTAAAAATTTTGTATTTTTCAGGTGGTCATCAATTGTGCAATTATACGTGGGCTGAAATACAATCAAGCCACACCAACGTTTCATCAATGGCGAGACAACCGGCAGGTTTATGGTTTGAACTTTGCCAATAAAGAGGATGCAGAATGCTTTGCTCAAGCCATGGCCACTGCTTTAGATACGATCAATAGTAAGATTATCCAAATAATGTCTTAAGTTATTGGTATTGACAGTAGTGCTAATATAAAAAGTACCTTATACATACCGTATAACAGGTATTTTCTGCAGTTGTCCAATTTTTGCGGATATGACAAATCCGCAAAAATTACAATTGCAAAATATTTTTTCAATATTAATTCAGATATTTTATACGTGCAAGTCTGATAAGTGGTGGATATATCAGTCAACCTGCTTTAATATTATTATTTTTAATAACTTCTTACTCTATATTCTAAAAATAAAGAATTATGCTCATGGATGTATGAAATAAAAAAGATTTGAAAATAGTTGACGAAGATTAATTAAAAGATAGTTGAGCTTGGTACCAGTTCTCATGCACCTTTGATTAACATGTCTTTAAACAAATTTATAAAACGTAAACACGGCAGTGTTCTGCCAAATCCTTAGAAATTGATGTTCATAAAAATTGTAAATAAAGTTTTGCAGTATAATGCAGCCACAGAAAATGAAAACGTCAAAATTAATTTGCTAGCTTTCAGGGGTCAAATCGCAAAAATTTCCAACCACAGAAAATACCCGTTTAATATACGGCATTGTAATGTAAAGTGACGTAATGAAAAATAGTACATATCAGTAAGGTACATCAGTATCTTAAAAATTTTGTTTACCATACCTCGTTAATGTGATTATGAAATGTGTAAAGCCATCTTTTCCAGTATAAATTTGAAGAAATTTTCATCATTAATTTCTTGTTCCTTTTGTATGCTTTCCAGATGCAGGTAGACCTGGTCCCCCTGTAATGCCACCCCCAGGGGTACCAATCCAGCCCCAGCAAAATGGACCAGAGTAAGTAATTACAATGATTACACCGTAGTACATGTAATTTCTTTTATCTAAAAAGGCATTTACAATTGTCTATGGGTGACCTTCAGAGTGTTTTTATGCCCCCACCATGAAATGGCCGGGGCATATAGTGTTACCCTGTTCAAGCATTCTGTCATTTCGTCATCATTGACTTTCCGTTCATTATCTTGGCAACAGTTGTATACATTCAACTCATATTTGACATTATACACTTATCCACTGGCTGTGAGTGGGATAGCTCTTTTATCAAACCCGCGACAGGAACCATTCCCCGAGGGGAATAGTTCCTGTCAAGGGTTTGATGAAAGAGCTATCCCACTCACAGCCAGTGGATAAGCGTTTTATTATACTGATGTATATCATAATTTCTGAGGGTTAGATTTACCTGATACTACAGTTCTATAGTAAAAACATTAAAAAAAAAATTAGAAGAGTCTTGAACAAGTATTTGGAATAAGATAACACTGCTAGAATGAGCTGAAATCCTGAAGACGTCACAATGCTACTGAAGTCAGGATGACATCATAAGTCTATAGATTGATTACAGGAAATCAAAATTGGCGGCAAAAATTGCATGAAAATTTTCCGAGGGGTGGATAGCAAAAACTATACCCCGGGGTATAGCTTTGCTATGTGTGGAAATTTTGAGGCTATAAAGATAGTTGTTTTACCTTCTTAACTTTATATAGGAAACATTTTAACAGAAGTATAATAAATGGATATGTCATAGGAATACGCAGGTCAAGTTTGAATTTGTCATGGTCCAATGATTTTTGACAGAATTATCCCTCTTTAAGTTGGAAAAAAAAATAGGAATTTTTCAGTTTGGGCTCTCTAACTTTAGGGATGTATGTATAAGGTTGAAATTGCATATGCAGGTATTTTACCAGAAAATACAGAAAATCTAGGTCAAATTTGAATTTGGTTGTGGTCCGATGATTTTTGACAGAGTTATCCCCCTTGAAGTTAGAAAAAATAAGAAATTTTCGGTTTCCGCTCTCTTACTCTTGTAGGGATGTATGTATAAGGTTGGAATTGGATATGCAGGTATTTTACCAGAAAATACAGGTCAAGTTTGAATTTAGTTGTGGTTCAATGATTTTTTGATAGAGTTATCCCCCTTGAACTTAGAAAAAAATAAGAAATTTTTAGTTTCCGCTCTTTTACTTTTGTAGGGATGTATGTATAAGGTTTAAATTGCATGTGCACAAACAAATTTAAAACTAAATATGGCCTTTGAAATTTTGGCTGCCTGCGGGGGCATTAGTGGTGTTACGACACATCTAGTTTATCATGCAGTCTTAAACCATATCTTTGATATATACTATTTGCAACATTGATAACATATCTCTTTGAAACTTTTTCTGCTATAGAGAACCAAATGAAAAGTAAGTTCAAAGTTTGAAGATCAAATTGTTACATTTATATTTAACACATGGAAAATGACAATGTTATAAACTAACACCATTGAAGAATTCACTGTGTTAAGGTTTTGTGTTTTCACTTTTGATTGCACATGGGTTATGGTAACTTTCAAAATCCTCATCATGATTTGTACTTGTATACTGTATTATATTTAATGAGGTTGAAAAACTGTTGAATAATTTCATCATTGTAAATAAAATCTTAGAGGGGATTTTCAGTAATCACAAATTAAAACAAAAAAAAATGGAAAGGGGGGGGGGGGGGGTGAGTTGTGGATTTTCTGCTCTCTTGATAAGTAGACCAAGGTTGATTGAGAAGAAGTAAATCAGGCCACAACAGAATCAATAAAGAGAAATAAAATCTGTTTTAATGCAATATATTTAGGAGCACCAACAGCATGCTTGCAGCTTTCATTCAGCTATATTGTCAAAGTGAGAGAAGCTAACAATGAAAAACAAAATATGTATTGGGGGGGGAAAACTTAAAAAGCCCACATTTATGCTTATCATAATAAAATTAGAGAGAAATACAGATTTGTTTTAGTTTTAACTGTAGAATTTTTATAAATTTGTTTGATAAGAAATTATCTTATTCATAAAAAGTCAATGAGAAGCAGTTAGTTTGCTGGTTGATTGTGTACATACACTATATAAACTTGGACTTCCTTTATTTTTGCAGCACAGGGGATTATCAGAGGCACCCTTCAGGAGGAGCACGTAAGTTCAGGATATTTCCCATGTTTTGAAATATGTTTTTAAGAAAAATAATTATCAGCCACGAGTAGAAATTATAAACCTTTAGGAAGAAGGGAGCACGTACAAGACCTCCCAGGTTAAAGGCCGAGGTTTTCAACTATTCGGTTTTCCTCAGGTAAGTTTAGTGTGGGGTGGAGCTTAATCGAAACGGCTGTGAAGCCCCGAGGGACCCACACTGGCTTGTGTATACCTACCTATATACACAGGATGTTACCTGTATTACCTGTACATGTATGTTTTCCTACGACATGGTAAAACAATGTCATTGTTTTTTGTTGATCAATCGAAATGTTGACCGTCAAATTTACTAAATAAAACATGCTAAATTTTTGTTGGGGACATACTCCTAGTTCAATTCCTTCTTTTAGAATTAATATGTTTTAATAATTAGGCAATTTCAATATAGCTGTGTGTTTGCTAATTAATTAATTAATTTCAAATGTTAAAATGAATATTGGACCAAAATCTTTCGTTGTAAGCTGGCGATACAAAGGAAAGTAATCTGAATTGCAACCCGTGTGGCAAAACGAAAGAAGAAAGGTGGTCATGAATAAGTCTCTGAGTAAGTAAGACTTATTTAATAAGTCTCTAAGTAAAACAGATTTATAATAAACTAAATAATTCTGTTTTAAAGATAATTCCTACGTAATTTTTCCAGGATGACGCATGGGCTTCAAAAATGGTCAGGTCTTTGGGCCGGGTGTGGTCCCCCGACAGTTAGGCGAAATGGGAATTGAATTATCTGTATCCTACTTTTTCTCCCATCGGGATTCATAATTTCAAGTATTATAAACAAAGCAAGATAATGTAATACGACTAATTTTTCTTCTAAAACTGGTTATTATACCGTAACTTTCTTCACAATGTCTCTAAGAAAAGCGACACGTACAGTCATGTACTTGTCTTTATAAAATTTCACTTGAACAATATCACAGTGTTGTCATAATCATTTTAAAAAAGATATATTATTATATTTAATTAAATGATACTTCAAAAGAGGGTCGGTATATTCTGTTTAAATTAAAATAAATTTACGTGAAGTTATGTTTTGACTAACTGTCAGTATAACTATCGATTGTAATCGTGAAATGAAATTCACCCTTCTTAAATTACATTTTAAATATATAAGCATGATTTTTCCTAGCATTTAATTATTTGGCAGAATTACCGGTATATTTATAGCATATTCCTAAGAATTAAAAAAGAAAGAGCTTTATCATGTTGACATATGCGGTAGGCATCAAAAGCCTGAATGTTAATTCGATGGTTGGTACGATATTCAGACAAGGTACAAGGTACACATGATGTACACAAAAGCGGAAAACTAAATGTCAGTCAAATCCAAGTATCCAATCTCAGGCTTAATTTCAGGTGATTGACAGGGGTTATAAGACCAGGTAAATTTGAAGTAGGTGCTTATTTCCTCCCCCTTTAAGCCGTTAGAGCAGGTCCATTTCCAAATTTTGATCTAATTTGCATGGTTGACCACCAGTTTTATGCAAGTTGCTGTAACTGAATTATGCTTTTAAGATAATAAGTTAAGTCCAGACTTGGAGGAGGTATATTTTCAATAACTATAAGCTCTACCTGGACCAAATTTGATTGGAAGATGAAAGTGGGGATGCATACTACATGTATTAGCCAAGCATTGAATGCTTCATCTGACCTATACTGAGTGAATGGCCAATTCATAGTTTTTTGATCAAGTGAAGTTACTACAAGCTCCATATGAATCAGATTTGATTTGATGATGCATCTAGGTATGGTGTAATTTTTTTTTTGATACTTGGCCAGATCTATATATTAAGGTTGAGTAAAAGGTACAACTTTTTGGAGCAGGTCCATTCATCAGATTGCTGGTATATGTATCTGTAACCACATTGACCAAACCTTTATGGATGATTTATATAGGAATGCTGTGCTGTATTACCTAGATGCATAACTAAAACCCATACTAATAAACTCACTGATTATTCCTTTGATATAAGGGTTTGCCTCCTTTAATCTACTTTTTTTTTTTTCATATTTGCAGTAGTATGGTCATTCATATACACGTAGTTCTTTATTGTATTGATTCAGAATTCACTTAAAAGTGTGTTTTACATGGTACAGTTGAACATGTTGAATAACAAAATCATAGAAATATGTCTTATGCAGTGAAGAGCAATGCATAAATTGTTCATACTATAAAAAAAAATTTGGAAGAGTGGCTTAAGAATTATTCATATTTTATGCAAAGGTGTATTATTGAACTTGGAATTACTATATACTGTAGATCACTTAATTTTCGCTACATTTTATTTTCCCAAGATATTCATTGACTCTTTATTAGCAAAACAAAATTTTCACAAATTGTGGTTATTGCTATATATAATCTTTAGGAATACTAATATACGCGAGAATGAAATTTTCGCGAGCACACTGTCTCGCGTAATAACATGAAAATAAAGTTCTCATGAATAAAAAGTGGTTTACAATGCATGTATATCTGCAAGTGTTGACAAATGATACATGTTTAACAGTTCACAGTTCAAACTCAAATACAGAAAACAGAAGATGGTATAATGTCTACAGCTTTGATATATTTGCTGTTTCTAAGAAATGTCTGTTTTTTAAGGATGGCAATTTGTAACCGGTTAACCGATTACTCGGTCGGAACGATGGTAATCGGTTAGAAAATCTGTAATCGGTTAGTCAGAAAAAAAAATAAAATATATGACAATTGTAAATTTGAATGCAATTTTCATAAAATTCATTTGTAAAAAAGAAACTTCTGCATAAAATTTGATAATTTAGGTAATTATGGCTTTACAGTTCGAGATTGCGGAGTAATTGGTCAGTTTGTGAAGTTAATTACTGTTTTTAAAAACACCACGTCGTTACCCCGATTGTCTTGTAATTCTTTAATGATATTAAATGATATTAAATCACTGTTGAGCACTATGAATTGGTGTGTGTGTCTTTTGCCGTTATCTATTAAATTATATTATTAGACAAACATTGTAAATTAAGTGAAAGTTCAGTCATAGTTTTGATAATTGTGACAATGCAAAATGAACCTGTATGACATTATGCTCTGGAAAATTATCAATGTCCGATTTCTCAGACATGTTTCATGGTTTTCTTATTTTTTTTTCTTGTTTATTGAAATTGAAATAAAATATATTTACATGTAGTTTCCTGATTAAGATAAACAGACTGTTTTTAACTTTTAACTTCTTTTTCAGTCTTCTTGTGTATATGAATAGCGCTACTTGAAAAAAAAAATATGTTAAGAAAATGTCTGTTTTGATACGATTAACCGGTTAATCGGTCGGAACGTCTTTCGGTTAACCGATTAGCAATTCTGTATTCGATTGCCATCCCTACTGTTTTTGCTATATTTTGACTTGGCAGTTGCCCATTCATACTTTAACTATTGTTTAACTAACTTTAACTTTGGTAATTTTATCCTTAACTCTGAAAGCAAAGTGAGCAAAAAAAAAAAAAAACCAATACTGAATATATATGGACATGTAATTTTGCAGCCCCTCCTTCTCAGTACAGCCATGCACAACCAATGGAGCAGGCACAATCAAACATTCCACCACAGGTGCCATCTCAACCACAGGCACCACCAGGACCCCCACCTGCTCCCTCAGCCCCTGCTGCACCACCAGCCCCAGCAGCTCCCCCTGCACCACCAGCCCCAGCAGCTCCCCCTGCACCACCAGCTCCAGGAGCTCCTCCTCCTCCAGGGGCACCACCGCCCCCTGCATCTGGACCCCCCAAGGCTCCTAGTGGAGGTGGTGGAGGATTAGCTGCTGCTTTACAATCTGCAAAATTAAAGAAAGCACCTGTAAGTACAACCAATAACTTATACAGAGATGAAAGATGATTGTGTTCAACTTGTGTGATAAAAACATGAATTTGTATGTAGTATAAACTTTCTTATGAGACTACTAGGGAAAGAAGTGTTTGATAGGGTCTAATTTTATTTTTAGCTCTTCTGAGCCAAAGGCTCAAAGAGCTAATGCTATTGCCATTTTTGCGGTGTGCTTAAACTTTTTAGAATATGGGCCATAACTCAAGGTTGTGACCCTTAAACAAGGGGAGATAATTAGGTAACTAAAACCAAAAGTACTGGTTGCTAAAAATCTTCTTCTCAAGAACCAATGGGCAGATTATCACCAAACTTATACAAAAAGATGAGGATATGTTGTAGATTAAAAATTGTTCAAGGCATCACCCTGGGGCAAAGGGCGTTGTCTCAAGGTCACTTCAAAGTTGACCAAAAATTACATTTTATTAAAATGTTGATATTTTGCTTGCTATAAGGACTAGGATCATCTAATCTTGTCAGTTGATGCATCTAAGGACCTTATGTCATGTTGACTCAAAAGTAGGTCATGGAGACCTTATTTTTTAAATTTTGCGGCCATTTTTTTTCAAAATGATTTCAAGATGAATTAATTAAGTAACATGAGTTCTGTTCTATTTAATCAAATGGAATGAAACTTTACACAAGGACAAAATAAATGTTTTTGCACTTGGAAATGTGTTGATCATAAATCTTGTAAAAATGAAATCTTGAAGAGCAATATTGTCTACGTATTTTTTGAATGACCCTCGTATAAGGCTCTAAAGCAATTATGATGACAAGGTTCCTGTTGGGCTTATTATGTGCCATGCTGTGAAATTTCTTAACAAGCCAATAAAAGATTTTTTTTCCAAAAAATATGTTCATTTCTTGCAGAATGAAGAAAGTAGTGGTGGCAGCAGTAGCAGTGGTGGTGGTGGTAGTGGAGGTGGAGGAGGAGGGGGAGGTGACTTTATGAGTGACCTCGCCAAAAAACTAGCCATGAGGAAGAAAGCCTCTCAGAATGATTTGGTAAGTACTCTGTAGTTTACATTTCTCTTTTTTTTCTTTTTAGTTAATTATTTTGAAGTAATACAAAAAATGACAACTTAATATAAAAATTTTTATTGAGGATTTTTCCTTGTACATGCATGTGATATCAAAACTGGACTGGACTATATGTGCCAGGATAAGTTTATGAATTGTAAAAGATCCATCTGTAAGTATGTACTAAATCATTTGCAGCAGAGTGAGGGATCCACTCCCCCAGAAGACAGAAGTAAGCGAGGGGGATCCCATCCTCCACCACCTGCCCCAGCCAAGATAATGAATGGAAACACAAGTTCACCCACTCCAGTGAGAAAGTAAGTCTAGTAAACTTAAAAAAATTGCCCTGTTTAATCCAGGGGAAGGGAGTCTGAAAATTTATGTGTGTTTGTAAGTATTTGTTCAGCAAGTTTATATTTTTAAAAAAGCTTATAAAATTACTGTTCTTTTGTAAGTGTCAGTTGTGGCTGTTGTAATGCATTGCTTTTTTTGTCACTTTTCTTAGCCAATTTTGAATTCATGTCATGCCTTTTTTGTGTTACTGTATAATCACCTACTTTGTGGCATTGTTCTTCATGCTTAGAATTGTTGGTAGTGAAGTATAGAAATATTTATGATACCTGCTAGAGTGATGATATATGATATCTTGGTGTTCATAGTTCTGCTAGCACCCTCCCCCGGAATTTTGCAAGGACCTCATCATCATCTCCCTCCATATCAACAGAATTCTCCAATCGAATTTCAGGAGAAGTTCAAACACGACCTTCATTTAATAAAGCATTTTCGTGAGTTTTATTCACAGCAACAAATTCATTTGCTTCTCTTTTCCCCATTTCTAGTTCTGATGAGATGCAATTAGATAGGCTTATGCAGAGTCTGCAAGCATTTGGGTTTGTTTGAGTTGAAGAGATAAAAATATTAAACATTCACATTTATTCATATTCCACTTTCTACATTGTTCATACATCTTCTTTAGCCTTGCATGTTTGTATTAACAAAAGAATGTCTGGAATGTTTTGTTAATTAGTATTACTGTGTATTATGTGATTACACTGTAGATTATGGTGTCAGCAGTTAATTCTGGATGAATTTATAAAAGAATACTTGTTTTCCTTTCACACTTTATTCTGAGATTATTGAAATTTATTATTAACTGCATGGACTTTCATTGCTAGAAAATTTCGTAATTAAAACTTTTGTTTCTTTGAATAATTATTTGAATGTGCTTTTTTTTTTTCACTTATTGTATTTATTTACCACACAAGCATATAATGATACTTTCTGAGTGCCTTTGCAAATATCAGTGGTAACAAAACAACACTTTTTAAAATGACGAGTAAATTAACAGAAACCAGTGCTTGGCATGTTAACTATCTACCTTAGTCAATCATTCAGTACATGTATTTTTGTTTGGTGTGGAAAGTGAGTATGTTTTTACATAAATTATATTATTTTGTTAAATACATGAAACTGTTTCACTAAGTTTTAATAGATAGCAGAAATTCTGAACACTTGTTTGCTTGATTTTTGACAGACGCCAGCCTTCATTAACGGGCCAGGAAGTCACCTCCTCCTCCCCAGCAGTGACCAGTAATGGGCCGAGTGACATGGAATCTCTTAAACAAGAAATCCTCACAGAAATGAGACAAGAAATGAACAAAATGAAGTCAGAAATCATTGCTGGTAAGGCTACTTTTTATCCTGTTAATAACTTCTTTAAAAAAAAAAGAAAACAAGATGTGTTTGTGAAACACTGATGCCCCCGTATGGCAACTTATAGCGAAGGTTAAACTTTCTCAAATGCAAATCAAATATGTGGGTACCCAAAGTAAGGTCTTGTCCCAAGGAATATACCTGTGAAATATGAAAGCCCTAGTAGCAACCATTGAAAAGATATGGAAAATGTTAAAGTTTTTCAAAAGTAAGTCAAACATCAAGGTCAAATGGTCAAAATTAATCGTGCTGAAGGAAAGGCTTTCTCACAAGAAATACACATGTGAAATATGAAAGCCCTAGCAATAACTGTTCCAAAGTTATGGCCAAGGTTAAAGTTGGGTAAAATTTTGCAAAATTGGGTCAAACTCCAAGGTCAAGGTCAAAAGGTTAAATATGATGGTACCCAAAGAAAGGCATTGTCACAAGGAATACACATGTGAAATATGATAGCCATATCTCTAACCAATCAAAAGTTATGAGCAATGTTAAAGTTTTTGGGGGAAAACAGATAAACAGACAGACAGACGGATGGACAGGGCAAAAACTATATACCCCGGAATCTTCGATACGGGGGCATAAAAAAAATATTGTTAGAGTGACCGATGAAAGTATTTATTGATCTATTTGGTGATATTGAAACAAAATAAGGTCTATTGTTTGATGATGAGCATCCACTTGTCTTTGTCATGGATTATCTGCACTTTTATATAACATTAACTTTATTGTGACGTGTGGGATTTAATTTCGTTGATAATTATTAACAACAAAATAAACAAAAGGAAACCCAAGGAATATTTCTGCTTTTACAGTATTTCACATTACAACTATGTCCTCATAAGTGATTTCTTGTTTTTATCTTTTGTAGCCATACAACAAGCAATGAATGCTAGATAGAAAACAGTATAATGCTGTCTATTATGAGCAAATGGATGTGTGTCTGAGTATGCAGGGCAAGAGAGAAATAAGAATAGAATGGAGACCAAATTATATTCTTTGGTGCTGTATTCTGACCAATGAGTGGAATTATTGACTGGTTCCAAACCAGATAAACCACATTTGATTGGAGGCATTGTTAACCCTGTGATGTGTGATCTGCTATCTGCTGCTGGTGTTACAACAGAATTTTGTGGAATTCAACACAGACATTTTCTCTTTTCCTTGGTTATTTTAACTAAAACTGCATCGGTGTCTACCCACATTTCATTTTGAAGGGAGCCAAAACGAAGTTTTGTCAATCAAATAGGTGGCTATTTCATTGGCCAATTTTGTAATCATTTTATCTGAAAAACAAAACTTGAAACTTGTGCAATGATCCATGAATGTATTTAGTTTCTGTGTATGTGTACAAGTTAATATGAAATGTTGAAAATAGTTACCAGTTGTTATGGCAACTTTTTTGTACTGTAGTACCACAGTATAATAATACATGCATAACTATTGAATTGTTATGAAACCATGAAATTTCATTCTTTCAGTAATGCAGTTGTTTTGCTGGCTTGATAAATGGGATATAGAATAGTCCTGATTATTTGAGTACTTTTTTATTGTTTACATCTTCATGATTTATTTTTTAATACTGATTTAAATTATTAGTTATTTATACCCAAGTTACTGCTTTATATTTGCTAACCATAGTTTTACAATTAATAATACTTCTGTAAGATTTTGTGTGAACACAGATATTTGGTCATTACAAATCATGCATTCTACTCCAGAAACAAGTAGTGAACATATATATTTTCTTTATCAAGGCTTTATACAGTGTATATAGATTCTTATGATTGTGGATTCAGTAAAACTATTCACAAAATGATCATGTTTAAAATTGTTTTCAAAGTTGATGAATACATTTGAGGAAGATTTCAAGAAAACTCCGTGAGATAAGGGATATGAATATACATGTATCATTCTCAAATAATTTTCAAGCCAACTCCGCAATTTTATGATGTGGGTTATACTGTACGAATGTTGCTTCTTCAACAAAGTTTGAATCATGGTGTAGCAGTTATTTTTTTCTCTTTTTTATGTAGAAGCAGAGAATGTGCTTAAACCGAATGTTTTTTGCAGCTACAAATCATTACATCAAAAGATGGTCTTATTTAGGAGTATTTTAATTGAAAATATGACCCAAAATTTATCTTTGGTTCCCACTTAATGTGTGTGAAGCTGATTTCTCTTTGCTCAAAACCCACATAAAGGTGTATGCCTGATTTTATTGGATCTCAAGAACAGCATACATGTTTGTATTGTGCAATGTAGACCAGTAGTGCTCAAGTAGAATTGGTTTATATAGATCAATCCTTCAGGAATGTAAACTTATTGATATTAACAGTATTTTTTAGTAGTATAATAAAAAAAACAAATTGAAGAAAATTGGGGTAAACGTATTCTACAATCCTGGTAAAGCGAAAACAGGACAGCAAGATTTTTAGAGGTAATGGATTTGAAAGTAAATAAATGAGAAATACACCTACAAATACCTGAATGCTTTTGACATATTGTTTGTACTCTGCTTTAACTTTTTTTTTTGCATAATGAGTTCTTTGTTTTTGGTAAATCATTTTTACCAGCTTTGCACTGTAATTTTCTTGTATGATGTGGTTCTTGTTTTTTGATATTGGTTTCAGTCACGAATCATCCTTGGCAACTAAATATTTTGTTTAACTTTTATCATTTTCACATAGTATCTGTAGGGACCATTATTTAAGAATAGATGTTCTCTATATGTGACTGAAATTCTACATGTACCTGTTTGAGTCATTTATTAAATGATAATAAAAACACCTTTTTTTTATAGTGGATATTGAGTGTATAAGACAAAAAAGAACCCAAAAAAGGGAAAAGAAATGTTTTCTAGACAGGAAAAAATAGTAGACTTTGAGAAAAAAAAAAATTTCTGGTCTCGAGGATGTAAATTTATTAAAAAAAAAAAAGTCACAGGAATTCAGTCAATTGCAGTGACCCGGTTCTCTTTACACAGCATTAACATTCTTGGATAACACTGTACCTCTTAAAAAATCCAGGTTCTTCCGTACAAGATGTTAGCATGCTATTTATTGATATGTGTTCTGTGATGATGGAACAGTTTTTGTGTTATTTTTATAGCTGCTCAGTTGAAGTGCTTAAATTGATATACATGTATATGAGGAATGCTATTAAAAAATCCTCCTCAATATACTATATATGAAATACTACAGAAGACCAACCCCTTTATAAATGAATATTTATACATGTTGCACTTTATTTGATGAATTAACCTTTATGAATGGTTTAATGTTATCACCATACAATTATTTTTTAAATGTTTGAACCATGTACTGTTCATCCTAAAGTAGATGATGTAGTATACACACCATAATGATGTTCAACTGTACACGTGTAAATCTGTGTTACCATTGTCTTAATGTAATATATGATAAAATTTAAATATCTGGCTTATAATAAATCTGTAAAATTGAAATCATGTAAAGAGTTTATTTTTAGCTCACCCGAGCTGAAAGTTTGATCAAAGTTTGTCTATTCTCTGTCGACTCCTAACTCTGTTACATTTTTTGATTTCTTAAAAAACCACTGGGCTGCTTTCAAAAGAACTTACAATTAAGACCATAATGTAATTTTCCATATGCCTTCCTATTGTACACTAATTTGAAAATGGTTTTAATATTTTCTTGAAGAAGCTAGATATTTTTAAGCAACCAATTTTTAACAGAAATCATTAATTTTGCAAGATTTTACAATCAACTAAAGTTTTCAGTCTTGGTTGCAAGTTTTTCTAAAACAGGCCCAAGACTACTATTAGTAATATGAATATACAGACATCCCCATGTAGTATACATGTAGATTTAAGTCAAACTATTGCATACATGATTCTGGTAGAATTCAACTGAGTAAAGCCTGCCACACACTTGGAATCAAGCGACCCTGCTCATGTACAATAATGGAAAGACTGTATTTCATAAAACGTGATCTAACATAGACGAGAGTCCCAAGGGCCTTAAACTGCTCTTCTGATAAATTTTAAAACCTATTACTTCTATTTGAAGCCTCTACATATTTAGATAAAGCCTTGAAATTCCAAAAGTAGGTCACAGTGACCTACTTTTCAGTTGACACACTTCAAGTACCCAATATTATCTGAAATATTTAAATATAGCCATAAAATTTCAAAAGTAGGTCATGGTGACGTACTTTTCAGTTGACATACCCAGAGGACCCAAAATGCATCAACTGACAAAGTTTGATGATTTTAAGCCAGTTAGTACCTGGAATATTTAAATACACTGTATAGCCATAAAATTTCAAAAGTTGGTCAAGGTGACCCACTTTTCAGTTGACATACTCCAAGGACCCAAGATGCATCAACTGAAAAAGTTTGATGATTTAAAGCCAATTAGTATCTGAAAAAATATTAATATATAGACTTAAACTCCCAAAAGTAGTCACAGTGACCTACTTTTAAGTTAACACACTTCAAGTACCCAATATGCATCAACTGACAAAGTTTGATGATTCTTAGACAATTAGTTTCTGAAAAAAATATTTGAATATTGCCATTAGATTTCAAAAGTAGGTCATGATGACCTAATTTTCAGTTTACATACTCCGAAGACCCAAGATGCATCAACTGACAAAGTTTGATGATCATAGGCCTCAAAATGTCAAAAGTATGCCTCTAAAACAATTTGAAAATAAATGCTTGCCAAATACAAAAAGTAGGTCACTGTGACCTACTTTTTGATAGATATGTTTTAAGGCCTAAGATGCATCAACTTACAAGGTTTGTTGACTCTCAACCTCTCAGTATCTGAAATAATGACCTTAAATGTTTTGTAAATGATTAGCCATAAATTTTAAAAGTAGGTCACAGTAATCAACTTTTTAGTTGACATACTTCCAGGCCCAATAATGCATAAACTGACAAGTTTTATGATCATAGGTTTCATCCAATATATGCATCAAATTCAAATTGAAAATGAATAAATGCAAATTCAAAAAGTAGGTCACCATGACCTACTTTTGAATCAACATGATATAAGGTCCAAAGAAACATCAACTGACAAGATTTGATGATCCTAGGCCTTATAGTAAGCAAAATATCAAAGTTTTAACAAAACATAATTTTTGGTCGACCCTTTGCCCCGGGGTGATGCCTTAAACAATTTTTAATCTACAGCATATCCTCATTCTAGTGTTTAAGTTTGGCGATAATCTGCTCAGTGGTTCTTGAGATTTTTAGCAACCACTACTTTTGTTTTTATTTTCCTTATCTCCCCTTGTTTAAGGGTCACATCCCTAGCTTAAAAATGAAAGCCCTTGGGCCAAGGATACTCTGTGACGAATTTGACAAAAACTGGCCAAAGGGTTCTTGAGATATGGCCCATATTCTAAAAAGTTAACGCACACTGCAGAAATGGCCATAGCATTAGCTCTTTGAGCCTTTGGCTCAGAAAAGCTAAAAAGGACTACACTTTAAATATCATGGTCTTTGTACCAGAGTACCTATATCAAAAGCTTCACATCTTAGAATAAACCGCTTTAAATACTAATATCTCCAGAGATGCCATGTTGAAGCAGCCCGAGCCCATCAAATTTTCCAGCTCAATTGGGTCACATGGCTTGATGCAAGCACAATACCGGCTCACAATCAAGTGTGTTGCTGGTGTTACCTGGGTACGCCAGATCAGACTCAAGCATGCTATATATCACAGTCTCTCGGGCTGTAAAAGGATGACTGATTGAAGCCCCCTGTTCTGGTGGAGACTTTTATATTTTCCTTTAAATTCTAGTGTAAAACTGAGAACTGTTGCGGCTCCAGAGGTACAAGCATCATTGTGTATTTCAATTTGTTGACTTTACCTGTCATACAGTGGATATTTCTCTCAGATTAATCAATAATATTGTCTGAGATAAACAAAAAAAAAAAAAAAAAAAAAAAAAAAAAAAAAAAACAGCACTTGCAGCATATTGAAAAAATTTACTGTATAAATAAACATATATATAATCAACATTGTACAAATACAAGGAAAATGGATTTCAACAAAAAAAAAAGAAAACATCAACAACATTTAATATACGAGGACAAGAGTTAATGCATAAATGTATGGATGGACTCACTGCAGAAATTAGAAAAATACCCCTCCTTGGGGAACATTAAAAGTCAGATAATTAAAATCATGTACTAAAACTTTTTTGTTATAAATAAGAAAATAAAAGATCAAGTTCAATCCTTCCTTCTCAAACTACATCATATACAGGAATACAAGTATTTGTACAATTTGTATGTTTTCTCTGCCAGAAATAATTTATTACCTATACTAGCAGTTAGTTTTTTTAGTATATTGTATTAAAAGTAAACATGAAAACTAAATATTCAAACTTACATGTACCCTGTATGAAGTCAACTGGGAAAATGTGTAAAGTTTTTATATACATTCAAATAAATGCAAGGATTAATTGAATTTGCTACCTTTAAATAATGGGTACAAGATCTTCCTAATCATTTGTGTTATCTAATTCCTAAGACCAAAATAGTAATTTTTATCCTATAAACAATGTAATTCTTATCATAAATGGAATGCCTTAATGTCAGCACTTCATTCAGCAATCCTTAATAATTATAAATAAATCTAGAATGAAAGTTCACAAAGAGCTGTAATAATTGCAACCTCATTAAGGTTTTCAATGGAAAACTTTCTGGAAACATTAAAACATGATTACATAACACGGCTATTAAAAAATAGGATGCGCAGAACATACAAGTACAAATAAATGGATAATTTTTTTTTTGAAAGGGAAAAATGCAAAGGAACATTCAGGATTGAATGCATTAAAACTCGCAGCAAGGTCATTTTCATGCCACGCAGTGTTCTGTGTTAAAAACAATGAACATAGATAATGGAATTGTTTGTGCGTGTGTTTTAAAGATAAAAATGACACAATTTTCAATGAGATGTAAAAATGCAAAAAGTATATTGATGATCTTTTCTGAGTAGTACAAGTTACTTAAAAATATTGCTCAAATACCGGTAAACACTGCAGCCTCCTTAGTGTGTTATAAAATACATCTTTCTGGATATAATTATACTTTGTGTCATTGCAAGAAAACAATCATAATGATTCAGACATAAAATGTACATTCATGTTGCACATTAGCAGCTTTTTAATAAGGAGTGATAATTCAATCGATAAAGGTAACTGAAAATTGATGAATTTGACAGAGAATAAAATCTGCAGTATAAAAATAATTTCTCACCATTCAAGAACATTTTCAAATAAAGAGTATAGTTTTGCAAACAATTGCGTAAAAATATCACAGATCTTTGTCATCATAATGCATACAGTAATCCTTATCAATAAACAGAGAAACTGAAAACATGCAAGACTAAAACAGGATTTTTAAAGTAATACTGAAAACTTCAAAATCTATGACTTAAAATTCTTCCATGTACACTAATCTCAACTATTGAAGGATTGACCAATCGTCACACAGCTTTGATGGGGGAACTGGAGGAGAACTGACCGAGGGGGTACTTGCTTTTGAGGTCCACCTCTTCCTGTAGGATTAATGTCTTTTGTTGTAGCGAGTTAATCTGAGATTTCAGGGATGTGATGGTGTCCTCAAGTTCCTGCACAAAAAGAATGAGAAGAAATGAGTGTTCATCAAAGAGCAGCATTGATAAAAGCACAAGGCAATACTTCTGAAAAACTAAAATCATTCAATTTCAGTAGATATCCTGTTAAATATCTAATATGCTCATGGTGACTATGTTTCTATTATAAATGATCATTTTTTTTTTTGCTTGTTTTTGTATGATGACATTTTGAATTGTGCTATTATTCCCAATTCATGAACATTTCTACCCAGTGAGACAGTGACCAAAATTTTAAGTTAATAATTTGAATATATACTGTACAACAACCCCTATGAGGACCAAAGGCCAGAGGCTGAGATATTGGTCAAGGGTTAATATATGGTATGATACAGATACTGACATCTATGATTGTTTCTATAACCAGTTTGCATTTGAAAATAGTGTCACTAATCTAAGAATGGAAAATTTGATAGAATTGTTATTAAAAAATCCATATAATTGTCTATATATTTTTTTCGGATTTAGGCCTGTGCTCAAAAAAAACCCAATCTTTATTGAATGAACTCAAGAAGTTTGCTGTAAAATTCAACAAGAATGCACTTACACAGTGCTTTTTCTCTTATATGTAGGCTATGTGAAGGATTTCTTTTTTTATATGAAATGATATCTTTTAACTTGATGCTTGAAATTGTACATTAAGAGTCAACTGATTAACTAGTCCATACACAGACTAAAGTCAACCTCGCTCATTTAAACATACAAAATATTAATGAAATAAAAGATCTTATTTTCTCATTATTCATAATTTGTATCCATTTCAATTAGATTTCTAATAAAATTGTTCCTATTCTGGTTAACTACATGTACATGTACCTGTCTGACTGAAGAAGGAATAAGGCCTCTCAATTTTTCTTCAAAAGATAATTTCAGGTGTGTTATCTAGAAAAAAAATGTACACAGTGAGTACAATAAAAACATCATAATTAGTAAATTATTTAACCACAACACAACGGAGAAAGGAACTATGATCTTATCCCATTAAATCACCTTTTCCTCATGGTCTGCCTCCATTTGTTCCAACCTGCGCTCTAGCTGCCTATTTCTTGCCTGCTGGGAATCTATTTCACGCTGCAAACTCTGAAAATAACAAAGATGTTCAACCTTTACAAACAAATCTGCGTAACATACAAATTTACTTTCAAACCTGACTCATAATTCTTTTCCCACTATAAAGATCCAACCTTCTAAAACATGAATGACTACCAAATTTCATATATTATCTCCAGACTAAATTTTTCAAGCAAGTGTATGTAATAAATTAAGATATGTTTGTGAAACACTGTTGCCCCCACATGACAGCTCATGAACAAAGATAAAGTTTTCAAAAGTAAGTGAAACTCCAAGGTCAAGGTCATGAGATCAAATACACCAGTGCCCATAGAAAGGTTTTGTCATAAAGAATACAGAATGAAAAATGAAAGCCCTAGACCAACCATTCGGAATTATGTCCAAGGTTAAAGTTACAAGTGAAAGATGAAAGCCCTAGCACCAACTGTTCAAAAGTTATGGTCAAGGTTCAAGTTTTTGTACACAGACTGGCAGACAAAAAACTCTATGCCCCCAAATCTCCCATTATGGGGGCATAAAAAATGTATTTTCAATCATGGTCTTATTTCACTATATACATGTTCAGTACAATTTTACAATGGATCTTGTCAAACTTACCTCCATATTACTGTTATACTGTTTTTTGATAGATTTTTTCTCATCTTCATATCGCTGTGATATATCTTGGCATTTCTTCTCTCCCACGTCACGGACTCTGAGTTAGTATAATTGAGTGAGTACAATTTATTACGATGTATATTGGTATTTAATCAGATTGTAATGAAGAAATATTTCCCAGGGCAACATTCACTTCAGTTGATTATAATTTTACATGTATAAATCAAAGAATAATTGGGGATTTCAATTCCAAAGGGCAGATAGAATTATGTACTACGTACGTTGCTGAGTTATACAACTCTTTTTGTTATGAAATAAAGTGCAGATTTTTTTAATTAAATCCCCTTAAATCAAAAATCTTTTTTCTAATATTTCATTTTTCAAAGAATTTAATTCACTAAATTTTTTAACTTTTTATCAAGACATCAATGTTTACTATGAATATGAACTTTAACCCTATGTGTCTACTGACCTTTTGACCTCGTCTCTGAGATGGTTGATGTTGGCCTGAAGCTCCCCTATTGTCTCTGTAGCTTTCTGCCCCCTCTCATTGTATTCTCTTTCAATGTCCTTGAGCCTTGCATTGGTCTATAATGGAAAAAAATGTTGATTGTATTATAAAATCCTACTCACTCTTGGTCTAAAAGTACAAACAATTTTGGTCTGTTTTTTAAAAATAGGAAATATATTCAATGATGAACAAATGCAGTATATTTTAAAGTACTTTTGTGGGCAATTACTTCTATTTTGGCATAAAATTGCTGGTTACATCATCAAAATTTGGGCCAAAAAAAGTAAAAGTGCAAAATGTTTGTAAAGATTTACCAATTATCTTTTTGAAACAAATAATGATAATGCTATTCTCTTAATTAACTTAAAACAGAAAATATGAGAGCTCTTAAGTTTTGGACACAAATGTATATAGCAGTATTCACACAGATAACACATTAGCTTGGATGTGATTGGCTCATTTAATCTTATCAAAAGATGTGGTATTCAAGACTCAGTTACAGGCAACATGTACTGTAAACCAACTATTATTTGCGTCTCGTCAGTTTGAAATCAATCCGCGAAGATTAACTTTCGCAACTGAGGAAATATTCTCTACAAATATAAAGCAAAATAAATGGTTCGCTACGATTAATACTGCGAGTTAAAGTATGTCGCGAAACTCACGGATATTTCTTGCACGCGAATAAAAGTTGGTTTACAGTACATGTATATTGAACAGGATTCCTTGTGTTTACAATATCAAAGAAAAGTAAGGAACGTTTCAATTTGATATCATTGATTCAAGATTGTTCAGAATATAATGGTTTTTCTTGTTATTAATAAAGACAAGTAACTAAGATAGGTCTCATTTCATCCAATAGATAACCCTGCTTTGTGTGAGAATATAGTGTTAGTGTTGATATAGTGAAGCTCCCTATAGACTTTCTGTAGGAAAAATTATAATTCATCATAGTGACTAAATTGTTAAATATCTTCAAAACTTGGGAAAATTATTGGGGAAAACAGCCTGTATACAGTTTTTATTTTCAAGAACACTGCTTACACACTTGAAATTCTGCATGGCCTAGCTTACCTTCTCCAGCATTTTTTCTAGCTCTGTACTGTGTGTTTTTTGCAAGTCGAGTCTCTGCTGTTCCATCTCAGAACGTAACTTTATAACCTAGACATTTAAAATATAGAGACATTATTTTTTCATCTTTCCAAGTACATTGTATTATTGTATGTACATACATATTATTTAACACCTCATGGAAGATAACTGCTTCACTTTTTACCATATCTAGTGAATACTGAATTTTTTTATTCCTTTTTTAAGACAACTACATCATAGATTACACCACATGATACACAGTGCAGCAGGGTCCTTCACTGTGAGTTGGTGTTTAAGTCTCAGACTCAAGATCTCACCTCAGACTCATGCTCTCTAAGCATTTTCTGTTTCTCCTCCTCCCTTAGGAGCCCCAGCTCTACCAGCTGTTGTTTTCTCAGCTGATTGGCCTGGACCACCTCCTCTCGTAACTCCTGAATCTGTCTCTCATACTGGCTCATCTTCTGTAATACACATGTAAACAACAACTGATTACATGTTCCATATACTGTTGGTTATAAGAACATCACAATCTACATTTCTAAAGGATTTAATTAAGGAATTAAGGGCGAAGCCCGTTATGCATAAATTATCCCATGTTTCCAACTATTGTTGATGTCCCTTGCATACTCTACTAACTAGACAGTGATTCCTTATATTTCCATTTCATTGTGAAATAAAATTGTAAATTTAGATTTCAAAAATGTAGACTAATGGACTTAAATTACACGAGGCCTCACTTGTCAATTTCAATAGTCCCCGCCCACTGATGTCAAACACAAAGACAGCCGCACCAGAATTACATGCATATTAGGCCTCCTTAGCGTCAGACACAAGACAGCCATTATTTAGAAATACATTTCTATATAAAATTTTGTACAATATTTTGAGGCATCGAGTGATCACCTGACCTACAAGCATATTTGAATATTTCTTACCTTAACATCTTTGTCCTGTTTCTCCTGGACTCGACACTTCAGCTCATACAATTCATTCTGATGCGTTTCTTTAAGGCTGTCAATTTCCTTTTCATGCTCCAAGATAACAATTTCCTTTTGCGTGTGAAAGTCTTTTAACATCTGAGCTTTCTCATGTTCCAGGGCCATCTTTAGTTCCACAATCTAAAAAAAGGTTGAAATTCTGAAACTATCCTGAACAATTACAGGACAAAGTCCATAAAAGTTTGTTACATTGATTAAAATTTATCATTTTTTTATTATACAGTTACACAGATATTCACCAAACTATTCCTGTTGACAGATTTTATTGTATTTGTCCATTTTAAAAGAAATTGCAATCATTTTTCCCACTTTTTTCCTCAATATCTTTACCTTTCTTTCATGCTGATTTCTCTCTTCATCGATCTGTTTTGAGAATTCTCGAGATTGTTTCTCTCTTGCTTGCTTTGATTTGTTTAAATCAGTTTCTACTCTTTCCATCTGAAAAACAGATTACAATAAGCTGTGTTTTCCCTAAGAACCGGCTACCGACCAAATTAACCATGCCACGTAGAAATCAAAAATTTAAAAAATAATTGTTGTAAGGTCCATAAAGATTTTGTTCATAAACCTCAACCCCAGCCTGTTTCAATTGATCTCTAACCCTTTACTTTGAAATAAATGGAAAACACTGCATAAGAACACTAATGTAACAAGAGGCACTGTGAGAACTGAGCTTACAAAATACCCCCCCCCCCCCCCAAGTATAATGAAAAAGTCCATTTTTTGCTATGGGAAACTCAAAATATCTGTCTGATCAGAACATAAAAAAGCTGCTTCTATGAGAGTCTCATTAAATTTTATTCCGTGGTATAGGAGGAGTTGTAGATAAAAGATGGATACCCCAATATTATAGAAAGAATGGCAGTGTCCATGTATTGCTATGGGAAATGCCAAATATGAGTTTGATCAAAAAGTATAGTAAAAGGTGCACATTGGCACTTTGTAATAAGATTTTAAGAAAGTCTCAATAAATTTTATTCCATGGTATAGGAGGAGTTCAGGATAAGAGATAAAGTACCCCCAACTGTTAAGAACTTATGGAAGGATGTACAGACAAAAGGAAGGAGACCCCTTCACTATAAACCCCCTGTTTTTCAACCAGAGGGTATAAAAATTTTCTTGGTTATCAAATAGAAGGCTCTGAAATGTGTTTTGTCCTGTTCTTTATTCAATTTCATGTAAGCAAAATTAGCTATTATGATCAAAATTTGTTCAAAAAATTTTCATAACAACGGATGTAGTATGTAAGTATGTACTGGTATATACATGTGCTGGTTTATTGTTATAGTTTAATTTCCTGAGTATTCTAGGGTTCGCTCTACTTTTATTTCCAAGATTAAAAATTTCATCCTCATTTGTATACTTGAGCTCTTGATATTGCTTTTAAAAGGACACACTCCCTTCCAAAGTACAGATGTTTCAAATTATCTCTCTTCATTCTCAAGGAGCTAAACAGGTTACAGAGAACAAACTATCCACACACACTCTTTCCTTCCTGTTCTCACCTGTTGTTTCATTTCATCATACATCCTGGTTTGATTCTTCTCCACCTGTAGTTTAAACTCCTCCAGGGACTTCTCAGACTGCATCAGTTGATTCTTATTTACTTCCTGGAGTCGTTTTATTTCATCATCTTTCTCTCTGAATTTAACAATATATTCATGATCAAAGAATTCTCAATTCTGATACCTGACACTTGCCAAAATGCTTTCTTAACTTCTCAGTTTTAAGTTGCATCTGGTAAAGTATTCATGATTGACACTAATCTATATATGTTGAGCCAGTATAACCACTCTCAAAAACAAATGGTCAAACAGAAAATCATCATGCAGAGCCCACAAAAAATGAAAAATAGCATGCACAAAAGGTGTAAAAAATTTATAGTTTTCATCCTTCAAAAGCACTTTAACATCTCCAAATCCTATCAAACTTTACACCTGAAAATTGAGAAATCATGAGAACAATTTTCTTAGCCTTAGTCTACTACCTTATAGTTTCTTCCAGCTTTTTGATTTTCTTCTGGTTTTCTTGATCTGTATGTTCCATTTCATTTTTCAAACCTCTTACCTACATTTACAAACATAAAAAAATTGGCATTTAACAAATACATGAACACTTTTTTTTTTTAACTAAAAAAACACTGAAAAGCATCATTGTAGCAACAACTCTTGTTTTAAACATACTCTATTCCCATATACATTTTACATGTAGTAACTGGTTCATTATTCAACCTATACCCTTTTTCCACCACTCAACTAAATATGTTTTATCAATGTTAATTTTGATATGGATACACATGCATTTCTAAGGGTTAACTTAAAGTCTTTTTCAGCAATGTTTGTAGCATACATTAGTTTACAAAACTTTGTAGTCAAGTTAACTTTTGATCAGGATGAACATTTAAAGAGAATGCTCTATGGTCATTTTGAAAATTTATTTTTAAACCAATTTGCATTTGGTAATCATTCAATTAATTCAAATTATGCAAATAAGCTATTTCATGCAATTACAAAGTCATCATCTACTTGAAAATCCGCAGCTTCAATACACCTCAAATACATGTATGTACAAGTAACTTAGATATGGAACTGACCATAGCGTTCTCTTAAGCAGCAAATCTTAATGTCAGTTTGGCAAAGTCCATTAATTTTTGTTAGTTCACACATTATGGATTTTTGGTCATGAATATAATAAGTGCTTGAGCATTTGCACTGTCTTACTGTCTCTAAATTGGAAACCAAAATTTCCTCTGAAAATTTTCTGACTTGAAGTCTGATTGCAGGAAACAAGAAAAGCTAGAAAAGAACACACTCAAAATTCAAAACTGCTATCTCTAACACATCCAGCAGTGATCTCATCTAGAGCAAGTTATGATGAATTTGATGATTATGATGAAATGATTGTGATTGATATAAATATTTTACATATATGAGACTTACATATATTAAGAACATATCTCTAATATGAAACATTAATATTTACCAAAAATCAAAAAAAAAAAAAAAAACACAAACAAACAAACAAAAAACAAACAAGATCCCTTTAAAGAGATTTTCTTTTGTGTTCATTCAGCTTAGCTAAAAAATTTCATGTTGTACACAAAATTCTTAAAAAATGGATGTTTAATTAATGAAGGTATTTCTATGTTACAATACAAACAAAAACTGATGAGAAATAAAACCAAACAACAAGCTCTGGTTTCTGTTCACAAACACAAGGTTAAAGTCCTGTTCATTTCATAAGATTACCTGTTTATCATGTAGGTTTTCCAAATGGAGTTTATCTTGCTGATGATTTTGTTCCAATTCCTGTCAAAAATGAAGGACTATGAAATGCAACCATGACAAATTACACTAGTTTAAACAGTTAGTATTTGTAAAGGATAGAGATTTGCACTGAATTTGTTTTGAACTGGTTTGTTGTGAATAATAGCCAAGGTTCAAGAGAATTAAGCAAAATTGCAAGAACAAATCAAAGAGGTGCCATCAAAATCTTAATCAAGAACTTTTTGAAAGAGTACATGAATGAAGAGATGAGCTGAGAAAGTATCAGTTCTACAGCAGGCTGGCAGAAGAGCGAAATCAACACAATCAGCTGACACACAGCAGATAGAGAGAAATCAACACAATCAGCTGACACACAGCAATGGTAATATAAACACTCTCTCTCACCCTCATTTGTCTCTGTCGTTGTTCCTCAGCGTCTTTCAATGAACGTTTGTACTGGTCCAGAGATTGCTCCAACTCTGATATAGAGTCAGAAGCCTAAAATTGACAACAGCAATAGTTAAGTGACATTTTATGAAATACAGCATCACTATACATTAATGAGTGCATCATATTTATGTTTTATTTCTCTATTATGTATATGTTTTTTTTATATAATTTACGATTATACAAGATAGAATTAGTGTTTTGTAGCATTTTTCTATTAATTTGTGCCTTGTTCTATACTCGATTTATTTGTGCTGTGTTATATATTCGATAAACCATCAATAAGAAATTCTGCACTAACTTTGGCTGCAGCAAGATTGTGTTCCTGTTTCATGAATTCCAGACTGGCCTCCATCTTGTTTTTGAGAGTTCTCATTTCCTGTTCATTAGTTTCCACTGTTCTGTGATGTTCTTTTTCCAGATTACTATATCTGTGGAAGTCAAAGAAAAATACAGAATGGAAAAATATTTTAAATCTACTTTTTTAAATTTACTATTTAAAAGATATTTTAAGCATCCATTTGTGACATGCAATTTCCTGAAGCTAAATTATCACCAGGAGTCTGACCTCTCTCTAAGATCCTGTAGATCTTGTGTAAATCTTTCCAGCTTGTTGTCTGACTCCATTTTGGCCTTTTCCAGAGCATGTTTGGCCTTGGTATTTTTATCAGCCTCTGTCATCAGCTGGTGAACTCTGGCCTCCAGGTCTTTTATAATGGAAGCCTGCAAAATTTTACATATATGTCATTAAAACCTAAGTTCTCTACTGGGTTTTTTTCTGTTCTGTTTTCCTGTGTAATCTCTATCATCTTATTGAAACAATTCTTTTTAGATAAAAAAAAAATGTACTTCTGATGGTAAGATTGTTTCACCTATTCATAGTATTCTTTTACTTGATGGAATGTACAAGAGTGACTTTAATTCCTTATAAAATATTTCCATAGGTTCAAATACCAAATTTCTAATAATTTTTCTTTCTTTCTTTATTTAACACAATTTACAAGACTATGATATCATATCACTGCAAATTACATATGGCAAATATGCATTTAAACATGCTTCTAGAGAGAGAACCCCATGCATATCTGTATGTAATACATGTATATATTGTCATTCCACATGCATGAATCTCCAAGGCTACAACAAATTTATCATTTTCCCTCTGACCTAGATTTTTTAGAATAATATTACATGTACTTAAAAAAAATACTTGATAATATGGCAATTGATTATTATGAGTAGTGTGGATATTTTATTTTAAATATAGAAATTCTCCAGCACTAAAAAAACAACTGAATGGAAAGAAGAGTTTATCAATATTTTAAATACATTTAGGCCTAATCTAATTTCTACTACCTTGTTGAATTTATTGTTAAAACATTTTGCAAATTAAAAAAAAAAATATCTAAATCATTAGATCATTATTTAAATTTGACATTAAGTTAAAAAACCACACCCTTACTATATTTAGATGTTATTGTCTATTTTGTATCTTTTTTTTTCTCAACCATAACCAGCTAAAAAGAATGTAAAATTTTAACCACAGATACAAGGAGAGAAGGAAAATTTACAGACTGGTTTATTGAATAGAAGCAGACAAGAATATGAGGCAATGATGAAAAACTACATGAAGCAAACAGCACCCCTTACCTGGTAAACTTCCTTAAGGAAATAATTAGACAGCTCAGAAATCTCACATCAAATTTGTGCATCACATCACAAAGCAAATTTATATTTCTTTTTCCCACAACTTCCTAATTTTGTGAAGATTCTAATGAAATGGACTTTTATTTTAAATAGTTAATTTATTTTTATTATTTAATCTGAAAATCCTCTTTCCTTAGAAAAAAATTTCAAACACAAGAAATGGCTAAAAACAATATGAAAGGAATGCAAAATTTTCACTAACTTCAAGTCATAACCAAGATCAATTCCAACAGTGGTATTTGAAAAATAATATTCTGATTCTGGTGTAACAATCAGAACAGTTATCCTTTTCATACACTGTGGATACACTTTTCATTTACTAGTGACAAGGTCCCTGGACAAGGCTAAGGTCAATTATTAATGCAAATTGAAAATATTTAAAACATCTATTAAATTCTGATCAACTTATGTATGAACTTTGAAAAATATACTTTGAATAGGTCACCCGCAAGAGAGCTAAATGCATGTATAAGGATGAGCTCAAATCGTCAATCCATTAGTTCAGATTTAATTTTGCAATCTGGCCTTAAAAGGAACTTTTTTTACATACACATGCTTAAAGTACATGAAATAAAATGGAGAGATAGAGAGCATTTTTTTCTTAAGATAAGACAGGGTAATATTTCACTGTTTTCTCTGATTATTTTGGTAAATATAACAATGAATAATGATCAATAATTCTATCAGTAAAAATATCATAATACTAATTACCAGTAATTACTTCTCTACGAGTTTGCAATTTTTACAAGAGTTAAATGAACATGATTTCTCAGTTAAAAAACCCAAAAGCACTATTCTTCATCTCCACCACAAAATGTCCAAACCTCTGCAACAATGAAAATTCTAAAACAGTCATAAGCTATGACCTTTGACCTACCGTGGATGCTGTCTGCTGACCATACTCTTTCTCCATTTTCTGTAATCTTGCATTTGTGTCATCTAGAATGTCTTGGATGTTTTTGGTGTGCTGCTTTTGCATCTCAAACTTCTCTTGTTCAAAGTCAGCAATCATATCATTCATCTATGTAGAAGATAATAACCCAGAACATTGATTTAGAATTCAAAGACTCGCTTAAAAATGTGGTGGTTTGAAAAACTGTGGGGAAAAAATCTTTTCTTCTTAAAACACTAATCAGAGTTTTACAGCCTCATTGCCAATTTAATGCTTTTAAAAGTTACAAACCGATACACATGTACCTACACAATGACCTATTTGCACTGACCTTTTTCTCAAACTGGTTGTTCCTGACTTCAGTGGATTCCTCTAACATCCTTTTCAGTTCTGTGATCTGTTTGTCTTTGGTTTCTATCACTTGCTGGGAATCCTTTCCAATATTTTGTACTAAAATTAAACAGCAAATCAGAGTGAATACAATGTTTCAATTCAAACAGATAATTACTATTCAATCTAGCCAATATTCAATCATACATATTAAAATGTTGATTGAATCTGAGCACAAATGTTTTTTTTACTCTCAAATCACATTTACAGTTGAAAAATATAAAATGGCAAGCAAAATTTAACAATAGTCACAAGCTCAATAATAATACAAATGCTTGCTACAGTATACAGGGAAATTTTCGCCCCCGTTTTATTTTCGCCCCTTCCGCCCTAATCACAGATTTAAAATGGGGCAAATTCAAAGCACACAGTATAATTCCTTAACCATGCTTAAACAAAACTGTGATTGAGCGAATTTAAAACGGGGCAATATTGATCGCAAGTGTGAATAGAAAAAAAATAACACAGGGCAAAAATAACCCTGTATATAGCATTTGAATCATTCATAAGGATTTTTTTTTTACTTTTTCGTTCCAGTTTGCTGATTGTTTCTTCCAGATCTTTGGCTTTAGTTCTGTAATTCGTCTTCAGATCCTCAATCTCTACATTCTTTCTGTCCAAAATCTAAAAAACAGAACTAGCATCAAACTGTGAATTCAAATCCAAAGAGCACTGTACATGTATATTTTGATTTCTTTAATTAAGGTTGCTATTTCTTTTTTTATTTTTTAATAAAGAGAAAACATATAGGTACAAAAAGGGAGAGACTGAAATCAGAATTAATAAGAAACATAAAGTGTCACTATACATTGTCCTATTGGACATTACCCAGTGTAAAAGTAACAATTTTTAAAGTCTGTAGAATGAAAATACCTTCTGAACTGCAGAATCATGTTTTTGCTGTAGTCGAAGCTTTTCCTCATGAAATCGCGCCTCCAACATTTTAGTTCTCATTTGAATATTCTACAAGAATTGAAACAAAAATGTATTCGAGATTACTTAAAAGTGAGAGAGGATTCGTTAGTGCAATACAATGCCCTCCTGGCAGCAGAGATCTAGTATGACAACTTACTCATGCTTGAACTCTTGACCTGCTTGTTGATATTGACCAAAAATGAAGTTTCTATCTCAACAGTTCAAAAGGCCTAATGATAGTTAAAAATTCTATACAAACAAAAAAAACAATATGCCATTAATTCTTTATTTCTTGGGCATAAAATATAGACCATAGTTACCTTTTCAGCATTATACTTACATCTTTTTCTAAATCTCTTGATTGGTCAGGGAAAAATGTACTTGATGCCCCTGTGCCTGTTATAACAAAAGTAATTCTTGTAAAACTCTACAGATAGAAGTTCATATTATTGTTTTTATTATTCCCCATGAACATATTACCTAGATTTTATTATTCACTGTTATTCAAGTTTTGTTATTTTCTAGTTTTTCTGTTACTGATGAAGATATTTCCATATTACCAAAACATATGTAACTTTAATAGCAAATGATAAAAAATAATGCATTGCCCAATGAAAAGAAATGGAGTAAATTAAACAATTTTACTGACTGCCAAATAAATTGCTTGTAGTTTTGGTATAAGGTGGGGAGGGTTGACTTAGCTCTTCATCTGTGCCCTAAAAATGAAAGTAAACAATTTAAACAATAAAATAAACAAATGTATATTTCACTTCAGTTATCTTCTGTTTACATGTGTATGTCCTTTCTCAGTGATTTACATCTTGACAAGAAAGGAATTCATATTCATGTAACTTACACTGACTTTGAATTTTAAAGTGGTATGCATCATGATATTTATGTGAAACTAACATTAATTATAGAATAAATATCATGGATAAAGAAAGCACTAATACAAGTACTGTGAGCAATCTCAAAAAATAATCCCCCCCCCCCCCCCTTGGCACTTTTTTTTCAAATTGCTGCATCCAATGTTTCTCTCTTACAAGGTTATAGATAGGCACAAATTTTATACTGGTTCTACAAGTAACTTTGAACTTGCCAAAATGACCTTTGGTCAAGGTCATGACCTATTCTAAGGTCATATGTGTAAGTAATCTTTGTATAAATTTTTCTTCTTTAGCCGGAGGTAAATGACGTGATGTCACAATGCAAAAGTTCTCTATCAGAAAAAGCAAATAACATGACATCATGATGCATTGTAGCATGTAGTAAATTTTATCGATAGTCGATTGGACTTGGGTTTACAAAGAAATTTAGAAACATAAGATACCCTTGATTGAATCTGGATAACCAATAATACCAACAAACGATTTTCATATTCATGAAAGTGATTTCCCTTTGTCGGCATAGCTTATATTTATACATTTATATATATATATATATATATATATATATATATATATATATATATATATATATATATATATATGTATTTAAAAATATTTTAAACCTTCAAATGCTTTTGGTCAATTCTGTACCATTCCTATATTGCCATAATATCAGACAACAAAGAAAATTTAATGAACATATATGATGTTCATATAGATTTCATTTGTCAGATACCATAAAGATGAAGTATTATAGAGGGAAAACATTACTTTATGCTGTTTCATCCTGTGAAGGAAAAATAACTCTTGTAAATGTGAAAGTGAACTAAACCTTTCTTTTTTATATCTATTTTATAAACATTAAAAAAGTTAAAAAAGAAAAAAGCCAATAAAATAATCAATGCTGATTTCTTTCTTAAAAGCAAATTTTTTATATATGTCTGAGATATGGATTATGTCAGAGACATCATTTATATATATTCATATCTTATTATTATTCTATAAATATATACATATATCATATACAGATTTTTTTTTTCAATTCAGTTACACCAGCTCCTGTAACTTTTAAAGAAATCAGCATAACAAATATTGTTAGTGCAAATAAGAAAGCTTGATTAGCATGCAGGCGCAAAAAATAATACGCAAACAATGCAATACTGCAAGTAAATATGCATAGTCACATTGTTAGATGCAATATGATATTTCAGAGTGGAGAAAAACTGGTCCATTGCTACACTGTGAATTTCCTGATTATAAAGTATCATTATTGATATGCATATATTTTTTTCTGCTATGAATACCCTTACCTTCATATTAAACAATGCTGTCTTTTTCTTGTCACCATCTAATGAAAACATGCAAACATGATGTCACCCAACCAATAAAGACTACCAGAAGTTGTTATTATCATCAAAGGATATCTAGTGATATCTGAGGTTACTTCACAGAATTTAATAAAAATATTAAAAAAGTCATTTTTCTTGGAGTTTTAAATTTCTGAGTTCACATTCTTTAAAAATTTGAATTGATCTGCAGCTACATGAACTCACCAAGTAAATCAATATTAGGTTTGTCATCTATCAGAAAGTGGGCAGTCTTTATTGTGGGCTTACGGAAGTCAATGTAACTGTCATCCTGTTGTAAGGTAGAAGCAGAAGGTTAGGAATGACCAAGATAAATTTTTTTTCTGATGACATGTATATAGGATAGGTAGACTAGCTGATTTTGCTGTTGTTGAAAAGGGAAAGGGGGGGGGGGGTGAAAGATATAATTACACATCAGAAAACCTTAAACCTTCACCTAAGAACCCAGCCCTCTTAATGCTATGATCACTGGCATTCTATCACTGATAATATTTTTGGAATTTTTTTTTTTTTTGATGGAGAGGGGGATGCAAAAAACTTTTCCTCATTCTTATACAAGCAAATTTTCACCCTAATGCAGAAAAAAAAATATTTCATTCCATTTTAAATATGTCAGAAAAATTCTGAATTAGCCCACTGTAAAATTTGCCCATTGAGGATAAGGACGAAATGCACAAATTCAAAAAAGAGTGGACAATTTTCACTGCGCTTCTGAAGCATAGAACTCCAGGCTTTTTCTGGTGCAGTACATACTCCCACCACAGAGTACAAAGGTAGTTTCACGATGATAAGAATGCAATCATGAACATGTCAAAGATATGCATGAAAAACATGATGTCAAGCATTTAAATACTGTAGTTGCACATTGAACTATGTAGTTAGTGTAGGGAGATTTAAATTGGTTACTAGCAGATTAGCAAACAAAATATTGGAAGATTTAAACATGTTCTGAAGTTCTGGAAAAAAAATTGGATCTACAATAATTGAGGTAATTCTGGAATTAGAAAAAGTTAAAAACAAACACAAGCAGTATATCTAATCATTAAAGCCAGGGTTTTCCATCACTTAATATTTTACTGTAATACATGAACAGCTTTTTTCAGAGATCAATAACATTTGTGTAAAGACAGGCAAAATTAAACCTCAAATTTGGTAAACATGTACAAAGTTTTTATTTATATTAATTTTTTGTTGTTGGAATAATTATCTATGTCTTCACATCAGACCCTTCTAACAGTAGCAGATCTTAATAAGTCATGGTGAATTCTACTATGCCACTGAGATAAGTCATTGTTGAGCTAAAACTTTAATGTGACACAACAAAAGTTTCTGTTGCACTTGTACACAGTGAAAAGGTTCATGGAGAACCCTGAAAGCCTTCCCTGGAACCAACATTCAGATCACACTATCAGTAAAAGAGGAATCAAAATATTTATGTTGTTTAGTTTTGGATTAATTTTTAAAGATTTTGACTTACGTAGGTGTGGCCTGCAAACTCTGGCTGTTCCAATCCTCGAGTAGGTGAAGAAAGCCCTGGGGCCTTATCCAGGTCAAATCCAAGACTAGTGTGAGGACGTCTGTAAAATCACAAGGATTATAGAAATTCTAGGGAAGGGTATGGAAATGGATTCAATCATAAGGCTAAATTCTGATAAATACAAACTTTATTACAATTCACTTTTCATTAATATATTATAAAGTCAACAATTCATATACGACAAACAGCAATTTTATACATGTATTTAAACTGAAATTCTTTTTAAGATTATTATAAAACTTTGACAGAAAAAAAAAAAAAAAAAACATGTAGCATACCATACATGTACAAACATAAAGCTGGTGTTAAAAGGGCTGTTTAAAAGGGAGCTGCTGTGTATATTGCATTCAAGAATATATGATATAATATTTTGAGTTTTCATAAAATAGATGCATTAAATTGCTTATATGGGATTTTGAATATACAGACTTGTCAGATAAATGTGTTATGTTACCTGCATCATGCATTAATATCCCATCATGCACTTGGCATGCAGTCTACCCTGGCACCAGTAAAGGTCAAGTGCACACTTAATGAACCTTTAACTATGCTACAGATATTCCTTTATTACCCCATCCCTTCTCTCCAAATCTCCCTTCATTAAAAATATTTTAAAAATTTCAAGTCTGTCTTACATTAATTTGTTTTAGTTTTTGTGCTGAAGGCAAAGAACTTCCTCACAACTTTAAAAAGACATGAAAGCATCTAAGATTCTATGAACAATCAAAACAAACAGAACATCTATAAAAAGTTTCATCTAATTTAATCTCTGTGCACTTGATCCAATACAGTGAGAGAAAGCGTCACTCTGCTATCTTGTCACACTTAACTGAACATGCTTAGCATACCTCGGTGACTTTGGACTTTTTGGAACAGGGATTTTAGAGGAGTACCTTCTTGGTGAAGATTCATAACGAATGGGAGACAACCCAGATTTCCATGTGGATGATGCAGCAGGATTTCCAATGTTAGATCTGAACAAAGATGATCCCACAGAACTGGTTAGCTCCCCTGCTACCCAATCTGGCACCTTCTCCTGTTTACATTGAACAAAAATTATGTCAGAAATATTCTTAAGGACTTTTTTTTATACAGTATCATAACTTAAATGTCAAGTTATTCGTATATAAGGAAATCTTATACATTCATTGCATTTACTTCAAATTTTATTACAGACATGTTGTTAAAACATTGAACATCACTTACATCATCAGATCCTTTATCAGAAGGTTCATCAAAATAAATAGACTGAAAATAAAATTAATAGCATAGCATTATCTTTAAAACAGCATAAAATAACTAGGCCATTTCACAATACAAGTTTTTTTTCCCATGAGCGAAAACCTAAAATACTTCTGAAAGTTAATTTTTCCATTGTCACTTCTCAAAGCAAATGCTATGATTCTAAATATATTACTTATAAACTCAGCTTAGATAGCATTATCACTGAAGTTAATGATATGGTACTAAGTATGTCATTTATAAACTCAAGCTTATAGTACCATATATGGTGGCAAGGTCGGCAGAGGCCCCTCCTGGGGTTTACTTGTAAATGGTCCTTCTAACACTCCTCTCTTCAACATGTGTAGCATTAGCTGGGCATAAGCATTCCTATTTTTTCTGTGAATGTGTCAAATGTTAAGTTTACAATTATATATTTTTTGAAACACTAAAATAACTACACTGTAAATTACATTAATTGGTCCCAAAATAATTTACTAAAAATCCATTTGTCCAGTAAAAATAAAACATAATATTGCCATTTTACATGTTATCATGATGCAATATGTTATGAATAAAAGGAATATTTATCTTAATGTATACAACAAATCCCACCTTCCAGTTATTCCAGTCACTGGTTCACAAAGCTTCTTAATCCAAATAGCACATTTCTGACGATCTGAAAGTCATATTAAACAATATCATTATTACACACTTCTGACAATCTGAAAGACATATCAAACAATATCATTATTACACAATTCTGATGATCTGAAGGTCATATCAAACAATATCATTATTACACACTTCTAATGATCTGTAAGTCATATCAAACAATATCCTTATTACACACTTCTGATGATCTGTAAGTCATATCAAACATTGACAAACAACATCACTATTACACACTTCTGATGATCTGAAGGTCATATCAAACAATATCATTATTACACACTTCTGATGATCTGAAGGTCATGTCAAACAATACCCTTATTACACACTTCTGATGATCTGTAAGTCATATTAAACATTGACAAACAACATCACTATTACACACTTCTGATGATCTCTAAGTCATATCAAACAATATCATTATTACACACTTCTGATGATCTGTAAGTCATATCAAACATTGACAAACAACATCACTATTACACACTTCTGATGATCTGAAAGTCATATCAAACAATATCATTATTACACACTTCTGATGATCTGAAGGTCATATCAAACAATATCCTTATTACACACTTCTAATGATCTGAAAGTCATATCAAACAATTTCATTATTACACACTTCTGATGATCTGAAAGTCATATCAAACAATTTCATTATTACACACTTCTGATGATCTGAAAGTCATAGCAAACAATATCATTATTACACACTTCTGATGATCTGAAAGTCATATCAAACAATATCATTATTACACACTTCTGATGATCTGAAAGTCATATTAAACATTGACAAACAACATCACTATTACACACTTCTGATGATCTCTAAGTCATATCAAACAATATCATTATTACACACTTCTGATGATCTGAAAGTCATATCAAACAATATTATTATTACACACTTCTGATGATCTGAAAGTCATATTAAACATTGACAAACAACATCACTATTATACACTTCTGATGATCTCTAAGTCATATCAAACAATATCATTATTACACACTTCTGATGATCTGTAAGTCATATCAAACAATATCATTATTACACACTTCTGATGATTTGAAAGTCATATCAAACAATATCATTATTACACACTTCTGATGATCTGTAAGTCATATCAAACAATATCATTATTACACACTTCTGATGATCTGAAAGTCATATCAAACATTGACAAACAACATCACTATTACACACTTCTGATAAGTCATATCAAACAAGCTGATTATTACACACTTCTAACGATCTGTAAGTCACATAAAAAAACATCATTATTATAGAAAAATATTGCTCTGCTAGATACATATCATTTCTTCAATGTTCACACACACTCATGATAAAACTGAATTCTATATAACTGCAAGCTGGATGTAACAAATAGCAATTCTTTAGAATAAGTGGAATACTCAATCATTTTAAAGACTGCTGAAAATATCCTTAGTTTTGCTTCATAAATTTAATTCTTTTTCTTCACAAAATTGCTTAACTGGTGTATTAGTGTAAAAGAAAACAATTTCTGCCTTTAGTCCTAAAGCACTAAACAATGGTTGAAAGAGCATTTAAAAGAACAAATAAACTCAGCATGATTACACTGAAAATTTCAGCTAAATTAACCATATAAGAATACTTGTATACCTGTTTTATGAGGTAGTTTCAATACATGAGGTTTCATATCTGCCAAGACTTTGTCAAATTTCTGGTCCAGCCCCACAAATATGGGGTCTTCTGATGAAGACGTCATAGTGGCAAGATTGATGTAAAATTACAATGCTCTTAAGGCCTGCACATCATTACTGCAATCCAATGTTTTAAAAAAGTTATGAAAAATAATTTATTGACAAATACATCAACAGAAATAAATCAACAGAAATAATGGAAGAGCACATCTTTTTACCCCAAGTATACCCCAATGACATCTCATTCATCCTTAATAAATCTAAATAGAGTTAAATTAATTAATATTTGGATTTGGATTTAGATAGTGATAGGAAATAGTTACAATGAAAATTTCATGCACATTAATTGAAGGGATGAAAATAATTATAATGATTTTTGGCATCATGTTTGCACTGTTTTAAAAACTTTTAATATTAACTTTCATCTAGTTAGTAGCATTATATATTTGAGCCAATTTTTTTTTTCTTCTAAAAATCCCCTTTTTAATAGTTTATACTATATCTTGCACTAAGTTCAATGTTATGTTGATCAAATTTCAACGTAGCATTGTATTAGACGATGTAGGACTTTTTCCATATAAAACAAATATATTTAACCGCATTCTCATTTGATAGATCTATTCAATCCAAGGTAAAAGCAATCAAACTAAATTGATTCTTGTTTGAGATTAATTTTAACTATTTATTGCGCCGTTTTTCGATTTATTTCACCGTATATTTCCAAATATTATTAACTGGGTTTGGGGAAATGTTTTGTTGTGGAAGTAGTAAAAGAATATGCTAGGAACACATGATTAGCAAAAATTTGAGATGTCAGCATAAATAAATGGAGAAATAAATTGAGAAACAGTGCACTTTTTTGTGCACAATATACACTTTTTTCAATGGGTGGCACTGTAGGTCTCTGGTCATCCATCCCAATTTTTTCAGACCAGCGAGCTACAGATCTGCAGCTACTATCATCCTTGCATTTTTTTTAATGAATGAAAAATAAGTATCTGTAGTCAGGCAACCTTTTTGGGGAAGCTGTCCCTGTGTGACTAGCATATTATTTGTCATTTTGATTCATTTCTCAATCTCCTGTTGTACATAAAACAAGCAAACTTCATGTAAAAAGCAAGATTTACTGAAAAAATTGCTTATTAATATGATATATCTATTAAAGGAATTATCAAATCTATACAAACCCAGAAAAGTATACAATTTCATAATTAACAGACAATTCATGGATGCATATAGAAAAAGTTGGCACATGTACAGACTTGCTTGCGGGTCAGATTTTTTGAATTGCGAGGCAGTAAAAAATTAAAATTTCCAATGTATTTCATTGTGAAATAAAATGTAAAAATAGTTCATATAACTTTTGTGAAACGCTCGTCAACTTGCACATTTTTCAGGAAGAGATGTAAATGATTTACTTACAAACACAACAAGTTCAAGTTTGGACCTTCAAGTTTACCGCATCTTTGTTGTTTGGAAGTGTAAGTATTACACCGAGCCCGAGATTTTTAAAAATACATTTACTTAAAATTTAATTATTAAAATCTTTAAACTCCACTTAAACCATTTATATATAGTTATCATCATCTTGAGTATTTTTTGTTATTTTTATGATTATTATTTTGGCTTTAACCATGTTAATATTTGATTGATCGGGATCGATATCCTATTCTATACTGCACGGCAAAGAAGAAGGATGACCACGATTCGTCCGTTTGTTTGTGAAGACTTATTCAGATTTAACAATGTGTATGTATGTTTTGAAAGATCATTGTATATTACCCGAGCAGTGCATAAACAATATTGGCTCTCAAACTTCAATCTCTTAGCTTAATTAAGCGAAAGAATAAAAGAGAACCGTAAAAAAAACACTGTTGAAGCATTTTTGGGGGGTCGGAGTGGGGATGGATGGGTGTATGGGGGATGTCAATGAATAAGTTCTACACTTTGAAAATTATAGATTCACCATTTCAGTTTGCATATTGCTAAAGACCATCATTTCTAGCTTGGGGGCAAAAAAAACTTGGACTAGTCTGACTTGGTGTCACTTTTCTAAAGGAATATATGGTGGAAAAAGAGGCTGAAATCAAAAGTGAGCTCATCTAAGTTTTATAGCCTTGGAGCCTGCAGCCAGCATTAATTGCACTTTTATTGCCAAATGATTTTTGTGACCTCGACAAATTTTGTAGAGTCTAGTTTTGTTTCTTAAGACTTGGGCAATTCTATATTGATAATCAGATACAGAACTTCTCTGATGATTCTAATACAAGTCTGACAAAATAAAAAAAATCACAAGAAGAGATTTTTATTAAAAGTACTGACTTGAGAATGGCATAATAATCAGAGCCATGTGAATGAGGATATATAAGATACCAGTTTGTGGCAGAGTAGTTAGAATAATCTAACTGTGTCTCGGGACAAGCCCTTACCACAGTTAGAATACGTCCCATCTACTTGCAATGTAGCAAATCGGAGTGGATCCACTCTGAAATGATTTTGAAGAATACAAAAGGAGTTGCACTGAAAATAACTACCAAATTAATCATAACAAACATTTTTGAGATTGTATATGCCTTTTAACCTAAAAAATAATCCATATAAATACGAATATTCAACTCATTCTCAACATATTTTCCTCCCTTCAAATTTAACACCATGTTGACATTCGGAACTCTCTGGATTGTTCATAGAAAATGCACAGAGTTCGAGTTATTGCCCATGTTTATTTTGCAACATTGCCAATACACGGAACAAATTCTATCGTTAAATCAGGTCCGTAGGACAATATCATTGTCTTCAATAGAACGTTCTATCTAGTGGCAGAGATACTACATAACTTTTTTTAATCGTAAATCTTTTTAAGCCATGTCTATGCTGTAGCCACTAGTTGCTATGCAAGCAAAGCCCTTTGGGAGTTTTAGATTATTTTAATGTGGACTCATCAAAATTTTTTTGTCAAGGATGTATATTCCAATTTCTTTTTTTCATACATGCACACTGTCAATGAAACAGTGTTTGCTGTAGTGTCTACTGAGTGTTGAATTATAGTTCTCTTGGAAAACTTGTATTTGGTTAAGGCTTCTCTGAGAGATCATAACCAATATTTAGATTAAGTTACAAGTTCTCCAAAGTATGAGTTCTCAAATTTTCCCTCCAGTTTGATATGGGATGTCTCATGTTATAATCTTGTAATCTATAAATACCACAACAATTTATGGACACATAGTCTGATCCAGACTTAATCCAATTTATAAAATTTAACATCAAGTAGGGATTCACAAAATTTTCATTTCATAACTTGAATGTTTTGATCTCTACCATATTGCTGGAAAAGATATTGATGTAAACATAAATGAATATATTCAAATTTTAGCACAATCACCAGATATGGAGTGGTTGGTGCAACCACAAATTTTCCCTCGACATGTAGCACCAAAATAAATACAATGAGTGTACAATGAGTGTACCGGTAATTAAACTTGTGAAGGAATGCCACTCGTAACTTGCATTAATAGAGAGGATGAGATTTTAAATTTGTATGTGTACATTTGTACATATACTTTGACGTACACATACATGTTTTTATAATTTGTCTGTTGAGATTTTAGTGAGGTGTAACGTGAATATGTACATTGCAATCTGTGTCTCTATTTCAACTATTTAATTGATTTTTGATGTCAGTTTGACTTCATTTAGTAAATAAAACACAGTTAAAATAAGTGCTCATGAAACTAAACATCCTAAGTAATGTGCAACAATCACATTTTCACACATAAATTGACAAATTTTTATTATAAAAGTTATACAAGTTTACACTTACATGTACATGTAGATGCTATTCTACAAGTTGTAGGAATGCATAGGAACTTGTATCACTAAAACTGATGACATAATACATGAGGAATTTAAGGAATTCCCCTACTAAACGTACATGACTGTATGAAATCTCAACCTCTCTATTATGAAGCCATTATTTTCATCAAGTAAAGAGAATAATTTCACCAAAGTACTTTTACAGCTTCTTAATAATTATTAATATTGTACTTTCATGTAAATTAGTTGAATCCGATTCGTCGAGAAACATTTGTTATTATTTACATTTGCAAATATTTTTTTTAGATGAACCTATAGAAGAGAAAATATGTTCAATTCTGTATGAACTTATTAGGGGGTCAGAGGTCATGGCGTGACCGAATCACACAGCGAGACGATATCTTGTCTACATATTTCTGTCACAGTGACACTGGTTTCGGAACTTCTGAACCGTCAAAGCGATGAAAAAGATAAAATTATTGAAACATATATTTTTTTTTAGTTCAACAAATGATCGTTAGATCTTTCTTCGGTGTGAAGAATGTTTCTAATTAGCCTGAAATCACGCTTACCTTTTTAACCCGAAATTCCTTTGAAGGTATGTAAACTGAAGACGATAGCACCGCTTTTGACTTTATATATAAAGAACTCCTACAATAATTGTAAGATAATTCCCAGTAGCGATCATTGTTTTTTCATTATGAACAGATATTTCCTGAACTGGACTGCTAAACATCAATGTAAGTATTCAAATGTTGGAGCGAGGCGAACTCTCAAGACCAAACAACTTCTAGGTCATTGCGCGTCACAACATAGCAATACGGCGGGCCGTTCGTGTAATAAATGCAGTTCTATTCAGAATATTCGTCTCAAACGTAAATAAAAGTAATAAACAACAATGTTAAAAAGTTCACTGGGAAATGAACTTGGTTGGTACGTGATCAAATCTTCTGAGAAGCCCTTCGGGCTTCACAGGATTTGATCACGTGACCAACCAAGTTCATTTCCCAGAGAACTTTTTAACATTGTTGTTTATTTTTTAAAAAAACACTATTACCAACCGAATAATGAAGCCACTCCCTCCAGTACATCAACAGTCAACATTGAAAATTTTCACCCAGATAAAACCATTGTCAACCGAGGCACATGTATACAAATACATATTACAATATTTACATTTCCAATAAATTTCCTCTATGATTCTTTACAAAATAGAATACAGTTCATTTTCTCATGAACTACCATGAATGGACATGAATATCTCCATTGTTACGTCATAATACCACACTTGATGTCAAAACTATAGTGCAAACTGTTTTGGTTTAAAAATGACAAATGAATGGCGTTAATTGTTGCAAATCATCAGAAAAATAATGTAAATATAAAAAATGAATTTAATTTTTGAAAATTCATGAGGTACATGAACTACAATGCTTCACGCTGGCATATTTATCATGAAGCACTAACGCGCTTCATGAAATATGCCGGCGTGAATCGTCGTAGTTCATGTCCTCATGAATCTTCAAAAATTAAATTCATTTCTTAAGTGAACCTTGCACACATAAATTCTGCACAGTCAATATTCAAGATAATCATGAATTAGTGCAATCCTCAGCGCCAAGTTGCTAAAAAATAAAGCACACTTTTTAAATACACATATAGCAGTTTACTAGAGTGGCATGCAAGTGCAAGCAGATCCTTTGCCTCATGAGTACATGGTTGTTATGAAGTCTCTTTGCACAGAGTGTGTTTACAAAAATCTTATTCAGATTGAACATGTTTCTGGGTGAACAGACTCTGATTCTATAGAAATGCTCCCAATTTTAATGTTTCAACAGTTTATATTTTCAATTACCTGTAATTTTTAAAAGTGAATAATTTCTCTTTTTTTAGGAATTTGGATCCATTAACAGAAACTGTATCCTTTCTGCAGCCTTTGATATACAGGTAGAAAGGCTTTCAAGCCTCTAAGATTGAAAATTTTGACCAAAATGTTATGTTCCCATCATTTTATGGATGGTACAAGTATTATGGTACATGTATAGGTTTTCCTGTTTTTTTAGCTTTTTCATGTCGGAGTCATATCTTTCATAATGTGATGATTCATTTTGGTAAGAATTGTATTGCAACCTCAAATTAGATCACTTTGATCTCATTTTGGAATTTTATGGCTATACATACTGATAGTCAAATCATATCCAGATCATATTTTGCACATTGTGAGACCTAGAATCATTAAACCATATGGTTGATGTAGAATTTGTGTTACAACCCAAAAGCCTTATTTTAAATTCTCTAGCTTTATATAGTCATATTTTGCACCAGTTTTATCTTGCCCCATTACAATCTTAGAATCAGCAAATCTTGTTAATGGATGTTTATTCATATATGATGTGAGCTTTTCTGATCACATTTTGTCTGTCCGTCTGTCTGTTAACTATTAACATTTTCGACTTCTTCTCAAGAACCACTGGACCAATTTCAACCAAACTTGCCACAAAATATTCTCGGGTAAAGGGGATTTAAGTTTGTTCAAATGAAGGGCAGTGCCTTCTTCCAAGGGGAGATAATTAGAATTTAGTGAAAAATGAATGGCATCTTTTAAAAACCTTCTTCTCTAGAACCACTGGGCCAGGAAAGATGAAACTTATATGGAAACATCCTCAGGTAGTGTAGATTTAAGTTTGTTCAAGTCATGACCCTAGGGGTAGGGTGGGACGATCGAAGTTTTACATAGGAATACATAGGAAAAATCTTTAAAAATCTTCTTCTCAAGAACCACTAAGGCATGATTGGTCATATTTATATGGAAGCATCCTCAGGTAGTCTAGATTCATGTTTGTTCAAATCAGGGCTCGAGCTTTGATTCGCCATTTGCGCCAATTGCGAATTTTTTCCAAAAGTGGCGAAAAGAAATTCAAAAGTGGCGAAAATGAACTTTTTTTTTAGATATACCATACAAAAGTGTGTGTACTCCTGGCTATCTCCTTTGTTTATTCAATGTATACATATTAGCCCCTTTGTTTATTTAAAGCAAGCAGACGTGTGAATTCAGGGTGTGAAAACTCCATGAAACTAACAAAGCAATGTACATGTAGGAAATCACGTCTCGCTTGAACGCACACAGCTGATTTAGTAGGTAACTTTAGCCTGGAGCAGTAAGGGGATACAAAATTACTTGAAATAATATAAGATGGATTAAACAAGGAAAGACGAAGTGTTTTTGGGAGATGAAGTTAGTTAATAAAAGATTTTAATCAATAAAATCTGGATCTATATAGATTGTTTTTTTTAAACCGAAAGTAGGAAAACATGACGAAAATTGCAGAGCATGGCTGCCAATTTTACCTGATTAAAGTTAAAATAGTGTGTTCATTATACCATAATCTGACAAAGAGTGAAAGAGATACTGGCTTGGAAACAAAACAATACTTTTGTCAATTACGCTGAATTATTTTCAGTTATATGAATTTACATGCATATACACCCAGTGTCCAAGTTGTTAAATTAAGCCAAGTTTAAAACCTGATTTTAATTACTTCTTTTCACAATTAATTGTTGATATGATTAAAATTTTCGCCTATTATATTATTTTTTCATTTTTAAAAAAAATGTCATATATCTTTACTAAGTCTGTAACCCCCCTCCCCAGGCTAAAAAGTTATGAACAAGAGGACATCTACTGTCAAGAGTTGGCTAATATCAGTATCAAATTAATTGTAGAAATAATTCCTATATCAGTTTTGTAAGTGGACACAACTTTAAAATAATGCCTGTGATATAAACAAATTGAAATAGTGCTATTAGTGGAGTGTGTAACACTGTACACATGTCGAGACGAGATGTAAAAATGTGATTCCTTTCATCGCGAAAAGTGGCGAAAAATATTTTTGCTCCAGTGGGAGCTCTGGTTCAAATCATGACCGTTGGGGTAGGGTGGTTCCACAATGGGTGATCAAAATTTAACAAAGATATGCATAGGAAAAAAACCTTCTTCTCCAGAACCACTGGGCCAGGAGAGATGAAACTTATGTGGAATCATTCTCAGGTTGTGTAGATTCAAGTTTGTTCAAATCATGACCCCCATGGGTAGGGCAGGACAACAATGAACCATCAAAGTTTTTCATAGGAATACATACTAGGAAAAATCTTTAAAAATCTTCTTCTCAAGAGATTGGTCATATTTATATGGAAGCACCCTCAGGTAGTGTAGATTCAAGTTTGTTCAAATCATGACCCCTGGGTATGTGTGGGGCCATAATGGATGATCAATGGTTTACATAGATATATATGGGAAAAATCTTCTTCTCAAGAACAGCAAAGCCATGATTAGATATATTTATATGGAAGCATCCTCAGGTAGTGTAAATTCAAGATTGTTCAAATTATTACCCCTGGGGGTAGGGTGGGGCCACAATAGAAGATAAAACTTATAGGAAAAAAAATCTTTGTAAAAACTTCTTAATTAAGTCATGATTTGTAATAGAAATATGGTAGCATCCTCATTTAGTGTAGATTCAGTTTTGTTCAAATCATGCCCCCATCCCCTTAGGGATAGGTTGATACCATTCATAAAGTACCGATCTCCTAGCCAAAGTGCTTAGGTGAGTGATATGGCCCATGGGCCCCTTGTTTAAGCATGTAAGGCAGAGACTTCATGTGTGGTCATAACAAAGATTAATCATTTTCTTCAAATCTAAAGCCATTCTTTTAGGTCAAAGGTGAAATATGGATAGGAATATATAAAGCCAGATACATTTTGGATTGTGATTCACCAATACTTATTTTTTTTTCAATAAGTAGCGTTTTTTTCCTTATATAACTGGTACCAATAAACAGTACCGTTCCCAATGCCAAAAAACGTTAATTTTTCCCAAGTTTGAGACTAAAAATTCCCAATTCAACTGCCAAGCAACAGACTATGATGACATCATATTTCTTTTTAAATGAAACATTGTTGTACAAGTTGACTAATTGTTTCACTTCCGCTTGAATCGAAAGTAGAGATTAGTTGTAATATGGCGGGACCTGTGGTGTAGACAGCGTAATGTCATACATTTTGACAAATTGAAAGCATGAAAATGCGAAAACAAGGGACAATGATATGAAAAACAATAAATACTTGTTGTTTATTCTTTAAAACATGGGGTAATATGTAATGAAGTTGGAATAAACTGAAAATATGTTTCATTTTTTTAAATGCCAGAGAATTCTCCTTTGATCTACTTCGATGCTATTTTTCCCAACTGAACCAGTACCGGACCCTTTCCCAGTGGGTAGAAAAAAATTGCTGATAAGTATTCTAGATACTGAAGTTAACATGGTTTAAACTTTAATAAATAATGAGGTCAGGACCACAGTCTCACTCAGGTACAGTTGATCTTCGGTATCTCTAACACGGATATCTTAAATACCATGGATATGTTGAAGTGATTTTGAAGTCCCAAGCGCTTATTTCTTAAGTATTTTACCTTGGATATCTCAAATCCTTGGATATCTTGAAGTATTTTCTTGGTCCCATTAAGTTCAAGATAACAAGATTTGACTGTATTTAACACAGAAATGTTCAAGATATTTAAGTTCAACTGAACTTAATAATGCCATTGGTCATAAATCATTTCTGAATCATGATTTTCACATCTAGGCCTGTAAGGAAATCAACAAGGCAGGTGAATAATATAGGATGTGTACTACTGTATGTGGATAATTTTTTTCATAACTTTTGCTATTATTCAAAAAAAAAATGCCTTGTAGATTTCTGGGTTTACAATTTTTTTCAATTCTATTCATACTGAAGTACCAAAGATATAGGAGTTGAATATTTTGTGATTTTATTTGAGATTTGACAGAGCCACAAATAAATTGAACAGCAGAAATAACCCATTATGCCCATTATTCATTGACAAGAATCTATTAAAATCTAACTTTAATTTATTAAAGTCTATTTTAATAACTACATGTATGTCTTAATTCAGCCTTATCTGTGATAGTATGGTCTGCCATTTTACATGCAGTACTTGGCCAGATGGCCTGAGTATTTTCAGACTTGTGAATCAGCTGGAGGGAAAATTATGGGATACAGTAAGTATAAAAAAAAAAGATATTTTTAAACATTTGCTTACCTGGAATTTTCGATTCCAATATCTACTGGTTTTACCATCTTTCACTTTGTAAATAATGATAATGATCAAAGGATATGTCATGAGCCTCATCCAAGATCATGAAGGTTATAACATGTCAAAGTCACAGGTCAAAGTCACACACTTCAAAAGTATCAAATTCTAAGGTCTTGGAAATGAAAATTTCTGAAAGACAAAACTTTGTATTGGAAGAGCAACAGGAGGTCCTACTTCGTAATTTGAAGATAAAATGGAAATATTGAGATTTTTAGCTTACCTGAACCTTTTCTGATTACCTGTCATATGTCTGTCTCAGTGTCCATCTGCCTGTTAACCTTTTAGTTCACCTGAGCTGAAAGTTCAAGCAAGTTTTCTTGATCACCTGTTATCCGGCATCTGTCTGACTGTCCATCTGTCTGTAAACTTTTCAAATTTCCTACTTCCCCTCCAAAACCATAAAGTTGGCACAAAGCATCCTTAAAAAAAAGAAATTCTAAATTTTTCAAATGAAGGACCAAGCCCCCTTCCAAGAGAGGGGGGAAATCAAAAAAAGGTGAAAATAGAGTGGGGTCATTAAAAAAATCTCAGGAACCACTGGAACAGAAAAGGTGAAACATGTGAAAGCTTTCTGAGGTAATATAGATTCTAAATTGTTCAAAACATGGACCCAGAGGATCAAAGTTTTACATAGAAATGAATAGGAAAAATTCTTTAAAAGTCTTATAAAGAACTACTGCACCAGAAAAGATGAAATTTATGTGAAAACTTCCAGACATAGTGTAGGTTCTAAATTCTTGTAAGCATGGCTCCCTGGGGGTAAGGTGGGGCAACAATTGGGGATCAAAGTTGTACACTTTGGAATGAAAAATTCTTTAAATTCTTCTCAAGAACCACTGGACCATGAGAGATGAAACTTATATATGAACTTTGTGACATAGTGTAGATTCTAAATTATCCTAATCATGGCCCCTGGGGTAGGATGAGGCCACAATAGGATCAAAGTTTTACATTAGAATATATTTGAACAAATCTTTAAAAATCTTCCTCTCAAGAACAACTGGACCAAAAAAGATGAAACTTATATGAAAACTTCTTTACATAGTGCACATTCTAAATTGTTCCAATAATGGCTTCTTGGTAGGGTTGGTCCATAATAGGGGATCAAAGTTTTACATTGGACTATTTAAGGAAAGAAAAAAGTAAAAAAAAATCTTCTTAAAAACCACAACAGAACCATTAATTTGCAAAGATTCTTCCAAGTTGGATTTTTAGCTCACCTCGACGAAGTCGAGATGAGCTTGTGCTATACCCCCGGCGTCAGCGTTAGCATCGGCATCCCGGTTAAAGTTTTAGGAGCAAGTCCATTCCCAAGTAACTATAAGCCCTACCTGGACCAAACTTTCATGGATGATGCATCTAGGGATGGACACTACCACACTTGCTTCGGATGCTGGATCTGACCTAGATTTTCCAGATGAGTGACCAGGTTAAAGTTTTTGGAGCAGGTTCATTCCCAAGTAACTCTAACCCCTACCTAGACCAAACTTGCATGGATGATGCATCTAGGGATGGACACTATCACACTTGCTTTGGATGCTGGATCTGACCTAGATTTTCCAGATGAGTGACCAGGTTAAAGTTTTTGGAGCAGGTCCATTCCCAAGTAACTCTAACCCCTACCTAGACCAAACTTGCATGGATGATGCATCTAGGGATGGACACTACCACACTTGCTTCGGATGCTGGATCTGACCTAGATTTTCCACATGAATGACCAGGTTAAAGTTTTTGGAGCAGGTCCGTTCCCAAGTAACTATAAGCCCTACCTGGACCAAACTTGCATGGATGATGCATCTAGAGATGGACACTATCACACTTGCTTATGATGCCGGATCTGACCTAGATTTTCCAGATGAGTGACCAGGTTAAAGATTTTGGAGCAGGTCCGTTCCCAAGTAACTATAAGCCCTACCTGGACCAAACTTTCATGGATGATGCATCTAGGGATGTACAGTAACTCACCTGCTTCAGATGCTGGATCTAACCTAGATTTTCCACTTGAGTGAATTTTAGCCATATTTTAACCAAATTAGCATGGATGATGTATCTAGGGATGGATACTTCCAGACTTGCTTTGGATTCTGAATCTGACCTACATTTTCCAGATGAGTGACCAGGATAATTTTTTGGAGTAGCTATATAATATTATGGCCTGTTATGATAAACTTTGTATAGATGGTGCATCTAAGGATGAAAACTTCCAGACTTGCTTTGGATTTTGGAACTGACCAGAATTTTCTTGAGTAGTAAACAGGTTAAAAGTTTTTGAGCAGGTCTATTTCCAAGTAACTATAAGTCCTACTTAAATCAAACTTGAATGGATATTGATCTTTGGATGTACACTAACTGGAAAAAAAATATGATGTGAAATTTGCATTACTTATAGATAACATTCGTCAAGGTGAGCTTCGTAATCTTTGATTACCTATGTTTTCTTCAAATTATGGACCCTGAAATAGAGTAGGCTAAAATCAGCATCAAATTTTAGGTGATGCATGTATACAGGAAAGGAATTTTCTTCTCCATAACTGCAAGGCCATGTTAGTTATATTCAGAGACTCCTTATTTTTATGAGAATATATTAAAAAATTTAATAGCAGGGATGAAGTTACTAATGTGAGTATTCTGACCCTTGGGCCTCAGGGTTCTTCTCCAGAACCAATGGACCAATTTCCACTGAACTTACCATAAAACATCCTTATGTGAATGGGATGCAAGTTTGTGTAAATGAAGAGCCACATATTCTTTAATGGAGAGATGATTAAATAAAGACAAAAATAGAGTTGCTGTCTTAAAGAAAAGTTTCCTGACATAGTGTAGATTCAGGTTTGGTCCCAGGTGTAGGGTGGGATCAAGATTCCTGATGTAGTGTAGATTCAAGTTTGGTCCACAGGGGTAGGTTGGGGTCAAGATTCCTGATGTAGTGTAGATTCAACTTTGGTCCCCAGGAGTAGGTTGGGGTCAAGATTCCTGATGTAGTGTAGATTCAAGTTTGGTCCCCAGGGGTAGGTTGGGGTCAAGATTCCTGATGTAGTGTAGATTCAAGTTTGGTCCCAAGGGGTACGTTTGGGTCAAGATTCCTGATGTAGTGTAAATTCAAGTTTGGTCCCCAGGGGTAGGTTGAGGTCAAGATTCCTGATGTAGTGTAGATTCAAGTTTGGTCCCCAGGGGTAGGTTGGGGTCAAGATTCCTGATGTAGTGTAGATTCAAGTTTGGTCCCCAGGAGTAAGCTGGGGTCAAGATTCCTGATGTAGTGTAGATTCAAGTTTGGTCCCCAGGGGTAGGTTGGGATCAAGATTCCTGATTTAGTGTAGATTCAAGTTTGGTCACAAGGGGTACATTTGGGTCAAGATTCCTGATGTAGTGTAGATTCAAGTTTGGTACCCAGGAGTAAGTTGGGGTCAAGATTCCTGATGTAGTGTAGATTCATGTTTGGTTTCTAGGGGTAGGTTGGGGTCATTAAGATTCCTGATGGAGTGTAGATTCAAGTTTTGTCCCCAGAGATAAGATGAGGTCCAGATTCCTTGATCTAGTATAGATTCAAGGGTAGGGTGGCATGGGGTCAAGAAGGAGCATCAAAGTTTTACTTGGAAATATATAGGAAAAAAATCTTTTTAAGAATCTTCTCAATAATGGAAAAACCATAATTAGTGATATTAATATTCCAGCATTCTGAGGAAGCTCTGGTTCAATTTTGTTCAAATCATGGGCCCACACTAGTAGGGCTGGGACTATACAACTTTTTCTATATCAAACGTATCACAATATTTGAGCCACGATACAAAATGTTTCATGATATGTTTAATTGGTCACAAATCTTTTTTTTGTATTGAAATGAATTTCTTCACAAAAAAGAATAATTTATTCAAAGAAGTTGTATATCTGTTGTAAAACAAAATTATTTTACACAAATGGTATTAATTTCATATTTATATTTATATTTAGCATATTTATTTTATATATTAAACCCAAATGTTAAGTAAACAAAGAAAAACATAGTCGAGTTTTTTGGGGCGACATTTCGATATTTCTTCATACGTATCAATATGCGTATTGTCCTCGCACAGAATCGATATTATCGATATCTCAATATATATGGTTTGAGCCCTACACACTAGGGATCATAATGTATAGAAAAAACTTTAATATCTTTTCTCATTAACAATGAGACCATGATTAGTCATATTATTCAAGCATCCTTAGATAGTGTAAATTAAATTCGTTTAAGTCATGGCCCCCAGGGGTAGAAATGGAGTGCGGTGGAAAATCAAAGTTTTATCTGGGAATATACAGGAAAAAATCTTTTAAAAATTTCTTCAATAATAACAAGACCATAATTAGTCATATTAATATGCAAGCATCATCAGGTAGTGTAGATTCAAGTTTGTTCAAAATGATAAAAATGTTGCAATCTTTTAAAATTCTTCTCTGAAGAATAACAGAATTTGAGGAACAGCATGACCAAGGTGATTGAGGTAAGCATTGTGGGTCATGGATCTCTTGTTTGGTTGAGGGCATGAAACACCTTAAGTTTGTAACTTTATGAATATTGTAAACTTGCAAACATAACAATACATCGATAAATAGCTCAAAACCAGAAGATAAATTTACATTGACCATATACTTATGCCCATTAAATAATTTTGTATGCATATATTTTCCTTCACAGTATAACAATCCATATGAAACATACATACTACATAAATAAACTGTATCTTTTAATCAGTCATGGGAAAAGCAGAAGGAGGGGGAGAGAAGTGGCATGGTCATGTGACAGCACTGACAGTGGCACCAGAGTTCCGTCGCCTGGGTTTGGCCAAGACTTTAATGAATAATCTGGAACAGATATCAGAACAGTGTGTATGATAGAGTATTCATTTTGCTAATTCATAGAGTTGCTGTAAATCTACTATATTTAGCTTGTACAATATTTGGTAGAAATTGATTTTTCAACAAGCTAGCATAAATTTGATTTATCGCTTTCACAATATGCTAGATATATATAAACAAGACATAAAGTGATGTACTTCATTTAGTGGAAGCTTCTTTCCTTCAAAGGCACTAAATGGAAAACACAGCCAACTGACTACTTTTAGAGTATACATAAGTAAAGTGAATGTAACAAGGTCATTGCAAAGCAGAGCATCCCCTCGCAAAAGGAATCCAGTCTGATATAAATTATTACTTGTGTAACTTCCTTTACGCACGCACAGACTCATCCACACACACACACACACACACAAGCGTTATTCTTAAGCAGGGTTTATATTTTAGTTTGTGATGTCTTTAGCATGCTGATTCAAGATCACCATTAATATGAATTGACATAGGTACATATACATGTACAGTACAATTCGTTTATTATCATAGTTTATTTGTCAGGCCAAAACTTTATAATAAGCGACTATTATAAGGGTGAATTCAAAAAAAATGACCAAATGCATATTTATCAACCCACAATAAAAATACAAGCAATGAAAATAGATTTCTATGCCTCAGCATATGTCTTTAGATAGTGTCTAAATACCTGCCAAATATCTCGTTGATATCTCAATTAACAAAAAAGTTATGCCCAAAAATGATGCTAAAATTGTCAGGAGTGCAACACCTTTTTGTGACATTTTGAAATTTCAATATTTTTTGGAGATCTGTGAAATAAAATATAATGCTTCATGTTGAAAATAAAGACTTTCCTGATAATATTCAAAGTATTGAGCTTTAAATGTGGACTGTCATAACTTTTGTTTAATCAAGTTGTGGTCATGGCTGATGTTTAAAAAAATGTTATACCATGTCAGGAGTGCAACAGAAAAAATGTAGTGTTGCCAAAAAAACATCAATTGTAAAATTCTGATAGAAAATTAAGACAAAAAAGAATTTTGGAAGTGTAAAATAATAACTGATATACATTTTGAAACTTAAAAATGTTATATAAATCACAAGCAGCATTAATGAGAGTCAAGTATATGTGCATACCCAAAAATGTCAGGAGTGCAACATTTGATGTTTTGCTCCCAAGCATGAAAAAACTATAATCATTATATGAGTTTCTGATTTTTATTTTGGAAAATAAAGACACAAAGAACATTTTTACCAAATAGATTTATCAATTACAGGATCTGTCTGTGCTTCAGATCCATATTTCTATGGTCAGGAGTGCAACACATTTTTTTAAAGATTCAAGTTGTTTGACGAAAAGACTTCTATTCATGCTTAGAAGTATTCATTTATTAATAATGATCTTTTTGTATAATTTAATGCTAAATTATTGACAGTTTTATTATTAAAATCCTTCCTTTTTCAATTTTATCAATTCAGAGGTGTTTTTATCTTTTTTGTGATTTTTTTAATGAACGTTAAAAATAAACACACTAAAACGTTGTCATTAAATTCAAGTAATTCCTCCTCAACTTCACTGAAACAACAGAACAAGTTCTTATGTAATTTTCACTTCACAATTCTACTTTACAGGCCCCAATGCTTTTGGTCAGGAGTGCAACAAATATGTTAGAATTATAAATCATCCAATAAGAATAAAAATAAAGAAAAAATGATGAGTAGAATTTTTCTGGTGGGTTACTGTGTTTGTCTTGTGAAGGAAAATATGCTTTAAAATATATTTTATCTTCTAAATATACATTTAAGCTAGTTTTTTTGGCATACAATAGGTATAATTCCAGATAAAATGTGAATTTTAAATACTTTCATCTGTTTTAATTATGAAGTATTGGACTATAAGTATTGCACAATTTCATTACCACTTGATGTTGCCAACACTTTGTGAATTTTTGTGTTCTATGGTTTTAATTTTAAACTTTACTGCAGTCAGGAGTGCAACAAAACTGCTTCATAATTACCGATGCTTTTTAACTACCTTTACTAAAAAATAAGTTGAAAAAAAATGCTTGATACTATTTGATGTTCAAAACACTATGTCTATCAACAAATTACAGAAATTTTACAGTCAATTCAGGGAATAGTTTTCATCATTTCACATATATTCTAAATACAATTTATGTATATAACACTTTGCAAATAATCATGTTTTAAGGTCTTCAAAATATGAAAAACCTGCTGTAAACGATGAAAAATATCAACATGACAAATTGATTTACAAAGTAAGAATGGGTTATTGTGTGTTATAATTTTTAAAACAATGTTAAATAAAATACATATCAGATGTCAGGAGTGCAACACAATAATGTAACATAGGGTCACTTCAAAATCTAGTATTTTTTGTAAGAGGACTTGTATATAACAATTCTTTTTTGGCTTAGATTTAAAGAATTGACTTGAACGGACAAAAAAAGTGAATTTTGGGAAATTTTATTGCTTCATATTTTTTTCATATTAAAACTTTTCAAATCAGAATTGAAAAAATAATGTAAAATAACAATCAAAAAGCCAATTTTTTGTCACATGTACAAGAAAAGATACTCATTCAAGGTCTAGATTTAATCATTTATACCCCTTTTACCATTTTGAAGTATAAAAAACTATAATTTCTTGTGATTTTGTATTTTAGAAAGTCTTTCAAGGTGTAATGATATTTTCTTTTTTCAAAAGAAATTTTACTAATAAAAATTCTGAAACTTTTTAATCCAATTGTCTATTCTATTGCCACTTCAGGATTTTAAACTAGAATGCATTTGCAATATGATGATATAAGTGAAAAATATGTTACAAGTAGTTGAATTTTGCCAAAAAAATTCAGTTTGGTGGTCATTTTTTTTTAATTCACCCATAATAACCATAGTCGGTTGATATTCATGTCGAACGTCTGACATGAAACAACGTATGTGTAAATTATTGGATGTATTATACATGTTATGTTACATATAATTTCAATTTTTTAGGTTTATTTGAAATACAAGTTAACTAACATATCATTTCACAATATTTACTTACTATTTCAACTTTTTGTTATAAATGAATTCACTTAATTAAAGTTTAATATTCTTCAAACTCAATGTTCTAGATCCCTTGGCATCCGTCTTGTTTATTTTGATCTACTTTCATTTTTAAATGAACGATCAATTCAAACTACCAATGTTTGGTTTTGTTTTTTTTTTTTATGTCACATATTAAATCAAATAACACAGCAACAGAGCATGCATTCAAATTGTTTCTTTTATTTATCCAAAGTAGATATTAAAAAAATACTGATTTACTCCTAATGTCTGTCGTATAATTAAAATTTATTGATACACTGACGAGCATATAAATTCAAAGCTGCTTGGACTGACTGATGAAAGAGTTAATTTCACTTAATTATTTCTTAATTAATCGGGTAGTTTTGAAAATGTAATTAACAATGAACGTTAATCCAGACACCAAGCGTAAGAATGCTTGGATTAATATTGACACTATAAAATTTAGTTTCAACACATTTGGTAAAACGCATTCATTCGGATTACAAACATACAATTCAGGATAAACATAAGAAGAAAATAAGTTATGAAAAAAAAGTTCGTGTTATCCTGTCACGTACTTCATGAAATAAATAGACTTCTTGTAAATCGCGCAGGTAAGTGCACTGAAGTGTGACTAATCTCCCCAGTCTTTCACTATTGGCATATTTCAAAGTGATAATCAAGCCATTGTGTATAGACAAGCGACAGTGCATGAACCACAGGTGTAGATAAGTGTTATCTTTTGTTTTGTTGATTGTCCCAAGAGTGAAAAGGTGTGAAAAAAATATTACGGACGAAAATTTTCTATTATAGTAAGCGAAGTGTATACTTTTACCTGTGATAATAACAGATGAAATTTACAATGAATTATTAAGAAATGGTTTTGTGTTTCAAATATCTATGATAAAAAAAGAAGTATGATATAAAACCAGTATGATAAAAAACGAATTGTACTGTACAAGGAATGTCAGCATCACTTCATATTTATACTGCATGTAACTAGTCTCTAGAGGAAATTCTGATTATTCTAAAATAAGTACATGTCGAGCATGCTATGTTCTTCAGATCCAAATATTACTGTTTCAGAAAAAAGTGTTTTTTCGTGGACCTGTTTGTGAGAGTGTCAAATAAAGTAGCAGTTAACATGTATAGGAAGCTTGGCTATGATGTTTATCGTACAGTGCTGGAATACTACTCGGGTGATGTAGATGAAGATGCATATGGTAAGGGGAAGTAGTCACGTTCATTCTAAATTTAGAAATACAAAAGAGTTGTCTCTCTTTTATTATCCTGCTTTCTACACGTGGAGCAGTAAATGAAAAAGATTAACTTTGGAATCGATGGTTGGAAATGCAAATAAATAATAGTTAAAATTTAGATGTGGTAAATATTTTGTTGTGTGATATGCATTTATGAAATATACATGCATTTTGCATTTCACTGTTGAACTTTATATTTAGGGAAGCATAAACTTTAAGAGCTAGGTTCACTTTATGCATAAAATGGCCCTGTATATATTATACAATTATTGCTGGTTTTTGAGGTCAATACGATGATTTAGACACCTGAGGAATACAATATTCACTGAATAAATGATATTTAATGTATTGCCAACTAAAACTAAACAGTTTCACTTTTTCAGAAATTCACAGGGCCAAAAAAGGCCCTAAGTGAACCTTGTTCTTTGTACATGCCAATGTGTTATATTCATCCAAACAACATTCAACAAATATATGAAATACATAATATGTTTAATTCTTGACAGAGAGTTTAATTGTAATACTCATTTTTATGCCCTGCCATGAATATGGCCGGGGCATAAAGTGTTTGTCATGTCCATCTTTCGTCCTTCCGTCTATCCTTCCGTCACACTTTGTATTTAGCTCTGTTCAAAGCTCAGTTTCAAAGAAACTATCCAAGATATTTTTATCAAACTTCATATGCTGATTGATATTGATGAGAGCTATGCAACTGCATCAACATTTTTTGACCTTGACCTTTCCTTTGACCTTGACCTCACTTTTCTTAAATTAGTGTTTAGCTCAGTTTAAAAAATACCATTCAAGATAGTGTAATCAGATTTCATATGTTGATACATACTGATGTAAGCTATTCAACTGCATCAACATTTTTTGACCTTGACCTTTCTTTGACCTTGGCCTCAATTTTCTTAAATTAGTGTTTAGCTCAATTTTTTAATGAAACCATTCAAGATATTTTTAACAAACTTCATATGCTGATACATACTGATGAGAGCTATTCAACTGCATCAATATTTTTTACCTTGACCTTTCCTTTGAACTTGACCTCACTTTTCTTAAATGAGTTTTTAGCTCAGTTTTAAAGATACCATTCAAGATAGTGTTATCAAACTTCATACTGATGAGAGCTATTCAAATGCATCAATATTTTGTTACTTTTCCTTTGACCTTGACCTCACTTTTCTTAAATTAGTGTTTAGCTCAGTTTTAAAGAAACCATTCATAATATTTTTATCAAACTTCATATGCTAATACATACTGATGTAACCTTTTCAACTGCATCAACAATTTGATTTATTTTGAATTAGTGTTTAGCTCAGTTTTAAATAAACCATTCAAAATATTTTTATCAAACTTCATATGCTGATACATATTTATGAGAACTATTCAACTGCATCAAAAACGTTTGACCTTGAACTTTTCTGGGACCTTGACCTCACTTTTCTTATCATCTATATCAAACTTTTTAGCTCACCTGAGCTGAAAGCTCAAGTGAGCTTTTCTGATCACCCGTTGTCCGTCGTCCGTCCGTCTGTCCGTCCGTCCGTCTGTAAACTTTTCACATTTTCAACTTCTTCTCAAGAACCACTGGGCCAATTTTAACCAAACTTGGTACAAAGTATCCTTTGGTGAAGGGGAGTGTAAATTGTTAAAATAAAGGGCCAAGTCCCCTTACAAGGGGAGATAATCAAGAAAAGACAAAAATAGGGTGGGGTCATTAAAAAATCTTCTTCTCAAGAACCACTGGGCCAGAAAAGCTGAAACTTATGTGGAAGCATCCTGGGATAGTGTAGATTCTAAATTGTTAAAATCATGACCCCCGGGGGTAGGGCGGGGCCCCAATAGGGAATCCAAGTTTTACATTGAAATACATAAGAAAAATCTTTAAAAATCTTCTTCTCAAGAACCACAGGGCCAGAAAAGCTGAAACTTATATGCAAGCATCCTGGGGTAGTGTAGATTATAAATTGTTCAAATCATGACCCCCGGGGGTAGGGTGGGGCCACAATAGGGAATCCAAGTTTTACATTGAAATACATAAGAAAAATCTTAAAAAATCTTCTTCTCAAGAACCACTGGGCCAGAAAAGCTGAAACTTATATGGAAGCATCCTGGGGTAGTGAAGAATCTAAATTGTTCAAATCATGACCCCCGGGGGTAGGGTGGGGCCACAATAGGGAACCCAAGTTTTACATTGAAATATATAGAAAAAATTTTAAAAAATCTTCTTCTCAAGAACCACTGGGCCAGAAATACTGAAACTTATATGGAAGCATCCTGAGGTATTGTAAATTCTAAATTGTTCAAATCATGACCCCTGGGGGTAGGGTGGGGCCACAATAGGGAACCCAAGTTTTACATTGAAATATATAGGAAAAATTTTAAAAAATCTTCTTCTCAAGAACCACTGGGCCAGAAATACTGAAACTTAAATGGAAGCATCCTGAGGTATTGTAGATTCTAAATTGTTCAAATCATGACACCTGGGGGTAGGGCAGGACCACAATAGGGAATCCAAGTTTTACACTGAAATATGCAGAAAAAATCTTTAAAAATCTTCTTCTCATGAACCACTGGGCCAGGAAAGCTGAAACTTATGTGGAAGCATCCTGGGGTTGTGTAGATTTTAAATTATTCAAATCATGACCCCCGGGGGTAGGGCGGGGCCACAAAAGGGAATCCAAGTTTTACATTGAAATATGCAGAAAAAATCTTTAAAAATCTTCTTCTCAAGAACCACTGGGCCAGAAAGGCTGAAACTTAGGTGGAAGCATCCTGAGGTAGTGTAGATTCTAAATTGTTCAAATCTTGACCCCCGGGGGTAGGGCGGGGCCACAATAGGGAATCCAAATTTTACATTGAAATATGCAGAAAAAATCTTTAACAATCTTCTTCTCAAGAACCACTGGGCCAGAAAGGCTGAAACTTATATGGAAGCATCCTGGGGTAGTGTAGATTCTAATTGGTCAAATCATGACCCCTGGGGGTAGGGTGGGGCCACTGGCACAATAAGTACTACAATGGGGGGATCAGGTGAAAAACAGCAAGCCAAAGTTACTCAGGTGAGCGTTATGGCCCATGGGCCTCTTGTTAGATTTCAATTTCAATTTTAAAGAAACTATTCAAGATATTCTCATCAAATTTCATACACTAATACAAATTTTCATGTTGCATTACTAATATACCCTCGGCGGGGCATTCATGTCCTATGGACATATTTCTAGTTTTGTGTAATATGTTCATAAACAGTTTAATCCAGCTCAAATTTAAAAATAGTTTGAATACACTATTTTTTTAAAACACATGTACACTCATCCCATTGGACCTATATTACACTTTTTTTCTATACATTTAAAAAAAAAACAAACATACAAAAATAAAAATGAAGATGTAAAAAAAAAATTAAGGAACTACATATGGAAGAGGCATATTTCTGCTCCCATAAAAGTCTGATTTTGAAAATCTCTAAACATGTGCACAGTTGCATACATTTTACACAAAATCTGGATTAGCAAAATATATTATAGAATGGAAGTAGATTATTGGCAATTTTTGTCTCTGTGATGCACAAAGATTAAAGACCTGTTATTTCTAAGAAAGGACAAAATCTGTTCAATTTTGACTATAGTATTTATAGAGCGCAACTTTGCTCAGGTACAGTATTCACATATTTCATTGATATTGTTATTCTACACATTACCGGTATATCAAATAATTGAGTATGAGCAGACCTGGGCTTACTAAATTCTCATCAAAATATTAATGTTAAATACAACATTTTCTCTAAAATCATTAAAATTTTGAATTTACATCATTTTCATGACCTCATATCTAACTTATGATGTCATTGTTGATGAAAATGTTTCGTGCTTTGAAGTTTGCAGATATCCCCCTGGGTCATAATATAACAAAAGATTTCTCCATCAAAGTTTGGTTTTTAGGGGCAGAAATAGGCCTTAACAGAATTTAGTCCTTTGCAGTCTTTATACTAATGTTCTATGGAGAAATGAGCAGTCAGTATACCGGTATATTCAATATTCATGGGTATGTTAAGCATTTACATATTTTCTATTGGTTATTATGTACAGCTGGTTGGATTAACTTACACCAAACATTTCAATTAGCATATTATGCAATACATTGCATCAGGGGGGATAACTCTTGGATGCATGGCATTCTTGACAATTGATTCTTCTTAATTAGACATAAATAATCTTGTTTTTCTTTACATCACAAGGAAAAGTTTGGCATTCACATTGGCAAAAAACTTTATCTAAAGCAGTTAATGTCATACTCTATTGATATTTCATGGAGTTATTTTTTAATCTGTTGGGCAATTTAAATGTTTCACTGTGTATGTAAAAGAGTTTATCATTGTCAGTTTCAATTTTAAAGAATGCATGGATATGATTTTATACATGCTTGACTGTCTTAACCAATTTTAACAGACAAGGAGAAAATGTTTCTTTTTAATTACATGCTGATCTAAAGGAAGATAATTTAGATTAATAATTATAATTTCACCATATTTCCATGTTGAATTTTATTTCATTTTTACTTTTTTCACTAATTTAATTAGAATATTTTTTTCCTTAAATAAATTCATTATGTAGAGTACTGACAATAATGAAGATGAGGTTACAAAAAATGTTAAACCACAAAAAATTCATCATGCTTTAATTAGTGGACTTAATAATGAAATCTTGCAGCCAGCTTGCCTAATTGCACAAAAGAATTCCCCCCAGCTAAGTTTTTGTTCTGTACTGGATTTCGGTGAAATGAAGACCCTTTTAATAATTAGTTTTATTCCATTTTGTAATTCTTTAATCCCCAGAATCTGAGCTTTCTCATAATCTACCATTGACGTAATAAGTAAAGTATACAGCATAGCTGTATTCACTCAAAGATGCATACCTTTTCAATTTAAAATTTGAAATTCTTTACCAAGGGCTCTTGTGGCC